CCATTCGCACAAAAAGCTTATTTCGCTCAAATTTTGTGAACGCATTTATTTACATCCCTGTTAGTGAGCATTTCTCCTTTGCCAATATCATCTATCCACCTCTCAGGTGTGGCATATCAAAAAGATGATTAAACATGCTGGGGACAATAGAAGGCCACTCTAAAATGTGCAGTTTTGTCTTAAGTTTTGAGAGAGTGTGCAATTGGCATGCTGACTGCAAGAAAGTCCACCAGCGCTGTTGCCAGAGAATTGAATGTTAATTTCTCTACCATAAGCCACCTCCAACGTCTTTTTAGAGAATTTGTCAGTACGTCTAACCAGCCTCACAACCACGTGTAACCACGCCAGCCCAGGACCTCCACATCCGTCTTCACCTGCGGGATCGTCTGACACCAGCCACCTGGAACCAACTTCAGTGGGCAAATGCTCACCTTCGATGGCCACTGGCATGCTGGAGAAGTATGCTCTTTATGGAAGAATCCCGCTTTCAACTGTATTGGGTATGACGTCCTGTGGGCGAGCGGTTTGCTTACAACAACGTTGTGAACAGAGTGCCCCATGGTGGTGGTGGTGTTATGGTATGGGCAGGCATAAGTTATGGACAATGAACACAATTGCCTTTTATTGATGGCAATTTGAATTCACAGAGATACCGTGATGAGATCCTGAAGCCCATTGTCAGGATGCTAGTCTGTTGTAGGGAACTTACCCCCAATCTATCTCTTTGGTAGGACTCCCAACCTTCCAATCTTAGGGCGGAAACTAACCACAAGGCCGCTGAGTTGGATTATCGAACCCGATGATCACAGTCAAATTACTTTGATCGCTCACTCCAGAACATGCTTGACAATCTCTCACCTCACTCCTCCCATCCCCCTCTCCATCACTCCTCCTCCCATCCCCCTCTCCACTCCTCCTCCCATCCCCCTCTCCACTCCTCCTCCCATCCCCCTCTTCACTCCTCCTCCCATCCCCCTCTCCACTCCTCCTCCCATCCCCCTCTCCACTCCTCCTCCCATCCCCCTCTCCACTCCTCCTCCCATCCCCCTCTCCATCACTCCTACTCACTCATCCTACTCACCACCATTCCACTATCGCTCTCCCCTCTTAGCTTACTGTACCCCTCTCTTTTCATCCCCCCTCTATTTCCCTTCCCCACCGATCACATCCTGCTGGGGGCTGAAAGGCCACTGTGAAATTGTGTGAAATAATACTGTGAAATTGTGAAAATGATAATGCCCTTTTAGTGTAAGAGCTGTTTGAAATAAACGCCTGAAATTTCTGCCTGTTTTGGTGGGATGGAGTTATGGCCTGCCTGGTGACATCACCAGGCGGTAAATGAGTTAATAGACCAATAAGAAAGAGTTCCAAACCTCTCTGCCAATAACAGCTAGTTTTATGTTTTCCCCTACCAACTCAGACCACTCCCATACAGTCCTAACGAAATTATTTGTGTTTCTTTTTGACAATTTTAATTGACTACAATCACAGTTAAGTACTTAATTGTTACTCAGAAACGATTTGATATTGAGAAAAAAATGGCTGCATTGGACTTTTTACTACCCAAATCAGCGTAGTGATCAACACACACACACACATATACAGTATACACTAGGGTGCACGCGCACAGGGGCGCAACTTTGGTTTTAGAAGTGGGGGGGGGACATATATATATATATTTTATCCAGTCGGTTAAACACTCCAAACAGCCTACCCGACCGCTCGGAGGCGTCCGCATGGTCCTAAAGCATGTTCTTCCCATCCCCAGTGAAAGTGGCACCCCTGCATACGCATACAGTACACACACTCCTTTGAGTCAGAGGTCTGTGACTGAAGTTCTCCACTAATCCTCATGATTATGACATCGCTGTAATTTAGGCTAATTCCGGTGTGGTGACACTGATGGTTTCTCTGGACTGATGGCTTACATTTACATTTACCAGACGCTCTTATCCAGAGCGACTTACAGGAGCAATTAGGGTTGAGTGCCTTGGTTAAGGGCACATCGACAGATTTTTCACCTAGTCGGCTCGGGGATTAGAACCAGCGACCTTTCGGTTACTGGCACAACGGTCTTACCCACTAAGCTACCTGCCGCTTCTAGGGTTGTGGCTAGATGGAGTACAGCTACAGCCCAAAAGTAGCATGTTCGAGTTGCGTCGGGGACAACTGTAACATTTTAGTTAAACCTAACCCAGGAGCAGGTGTGTTGAATTTAGGCAATCATTGAACTGATCAATTAGCTCAGTTGGTCAGGTGTGGTGCCTAGTTGAAACAAAATCCTGCAGTACCTGCGGCACTCCAGGAACAGGGTTGCCTACTCCTGGGCTATAGGCTACACAAGCCTCTCCGCAGTAGGCCATTCCTCTTCTCGTGAAATCCCAGGAAAAGCTTTAGTAAAAGTTATCAGACATATACTAGGCCTAATAGCCTATTTGGGAAAGAAGCAGGTTTGGTCTTGCTAATTGATGGATGTAAACAGGCCTAGAGCATAGAAAATGCATGTTGGGGAATGTTGAGAGAGAAAGTGCATTGATGTGATGACTTACAGCCAGTTTTGATAACATTTGATAAAATAGTTGTACAGGACAGACAGAGAGATGAGCACAGTGAAAAAGAAGTCCCAAAGGAATTGACAACCATTAGAAAAGTGGAAATCACTTGCAAACCACTTGAGCAACGAGGGAATTACATGCTGTAGGCTAATAGATGCGCAGGCTAAACAGCGTTTGTTGTTGAATTGCTGCATTTAAATACAAGTTACTATATTATTTTTCATTAGGCCTACATGTACTGTACATTGAAGTATTATTAGCAGTTGTCACTATGACAATGAACACACCCTGAAAGCACTGAATGGTATGAACCAGTATCTGTGGGTTAGAGACCTCATGAATGGTCTGAACCAGTATCTGTGGGTTAGAGACCTCATGAATGGTCTGAACCAGTATCTGTGGGTTAGAGACCTCATGAATGGTCTGAACCAGTATCTGTGGGTTAGAGACCTCATGAATGGTCTGAACCAGTATCTGTGGGTTAGAGACCTCATGAATGGTCTGAACCAGTATCTGTGTGTTAGAGACCTCATGAATGGTCTGAACCAGTATCTGTGTGTTAGAGACCTCATAAATGGTATTGTGTTACCACCTTATTAATAGGCAGTGTGCAGTAGGATGTGTTGATCAGTTGATTGACAGGTGTAGGACTACAGAACAATAAACGATAAACTTTCCTCTAGTGTGGATGAACACCAACCTTTATAGTTATGTAGCCTATAGTTTATCATTGTATTCATCGTTATAGTTATTGGCTTGGTGGATGGCCCTTAACTGTGACACAACACAACTAACGGTATTATCACAAAATAACCAGTCTACTAGTAGCGAACTTGAAATAAACTTATACACTTACAGTACACTTGTTTACTTGACTTTTATACTCTATAAATTGACTCCTTCAAATAAATGACTCTGGCAAGTTTGCCATGGTCATGGCTAGAAGGGATGGCCACTGGTGCTCTGTAAAGCAGACGTTGAATCCACCACTTCCGTTGTTTGGCTGTGCCCATAGCAATGTTCGAAAATGAGGTGGATAGGTTTGTTTATTCAATGGGGCGTGGGAGTATAACTGACCCTTGAACTTTGACGTGCTCCCATTTACTTCCTGGTGAATACTTTACATCCTTCCTTCAGTGGAATAGGGTGGTGGGTTTTAATGAGGGTAGGGTTAGACGGTAGGGTACGTTTTTTTCCTAATTTTGTGTCACAAAGTATAATGGATTTATACACCAGTCCAGTTGGTGGCGGTAATGCAACATATTGGATGCCAAACACCATAAAACCTAATTGAAGAAGAAGAAGAAGAAGAAGAAGAAGAAGAAGAAGAAGAAGACCACTGCCCTTCTATAGCCTATGATCAATCAATAGCTTATTGATATTCATAGTGCACATGAATTGGGTGTAATCCAATTGGAATCGGATGGTTCATTCATTCAGATCAATAAACTAATATGACTGACAAGTGAATCATGTTTTTTGGGGGCATGACGGACAGCACACAGATGGAGGATTTGACCGTTAAACAGAAAACCTTGAAAGCTGGAGCTTTTGATAGGCAATAATTTGCGCCTCTGTCTAATCTATTGTTCAATCTGTCTATTTTCCTGCCCTCTGACGGGTGAATGCGATGGGGAGTGTGCGATCGATAGATAGAAATCAATCAACTCATAGAAAACGAGACAGTGAACGTCAGAAAATGTTTTTGTTATTCCAAGAGTTTACACTGATTATTTACTTTTTTTTCATGCTCACGCTATATATGCCTAATATTTATAGATCTCCTCCAGACTATTATATTGCATACACAATGTCCCTTCTATCTGAACATTACACACATGGCAAAAGGCTATAGAGGGTGGTAGAAAAGTTTAAAGAGAGAGCGAGAGAGAATCTATTCTAATGATATATCCTTCATCCACTCCTCCCCAGTGCTTTCTGCACTATTTCTGAACAATGAGTTTATATCCTCCTGAAGTTCAATCTCAAAAATCTATTACTTCGCTGCCTTCCTGTGGGGTTGACTAGTTGTATGGAGGCAGAACTATGGGGCTGATTGTCAAATCGACTGTTCTGAGGTTTAGTTCCGTGCCAGGCCATGGTAGGCTACTCATGGTTGGGTCGATGGTTGTGTGTGTGTGTGTGTGTGTGTGTGTGTGTGTGTGTGTGTTTGTGTGTGTGGGTGTGTGTGTGTGTGTGTGTGTGTGTGCGCACGCGCACGCACGCCCCAGGCCATGTTACTTGACCCAGTACAGAGAGGTGTTGGGGAACGTGACTGGATCAGTGCACACACCACTGGCCTCTGTCACACACACAGGAAGGAGAACCCACAGCTATCTGTCGTTGGCGCAGGACAGTTGTATGCAGCAGAGCCCAGAGTGACATTGAGACCTGTGTCCATTACTGCATCTATTATTACTTCATCATTAACTTCATTCCTCTCAGCTCAACTCTAACCCTCTGCTCAGGTAAGACACTAATTCCTGTTACTGTTAATGCATGCTCTGCTGTGAATGAAGTTCAAAACTTGTTTGGGTGGTTGAGTTTTTTTCTGTTTTTGTGTGTTCTTTACAAGCAGGGCTACCTTTTCTGACAACCACACTGACTGCATTCTCATTCCTTTATTAATTATACGTATTATCAGGAAAAAGACGGTTTCATTTGGGGTTTTCATCCATACAGTTCAGTGGAAATTAACTCAATAAGAGAAACAGTCAACTTCTTTATTGTGTTCTATTGTGTATGCCATGAGCTTGTACTGTTGTTGGAGTTTCATTGAAAGATTAATGTGTGCTTAATGAAACATTAGCATCGTTAGGAGAGACTGGACTCATATTTAATCTTAATCAATAGATCTAATCGAAAAGTGATGCGTTGGAAAGCTGGCTCAGCCATTCATTGTCTTTATTGCATTATTTAATGCCTTTGGAGAGCATATTGAAAAGACAGGAGAATATTTGATAGAGTTTATATCATCACATACATATGTTAGATATGAGATGAGTACTGATATAACCTACCATGGCAAGATGTTAGATACAGTGAGGGAAAAAAGTATTTAGTCAGCCACCAATTGTGCAAGTTCTCCCACTTAAAAAGATGAGAGAGGCCTGTAATTTTTTTCCAGAAAATCACATTGTAGGATTTTTAATGAATTTATTTGCAAATTATGGTGGAAAATAAGTATTTGGTCAATAACAAAAGTTTCTCAATACTTTGTTATATACCCTTTGTTGGCAATGACACAGGTCAAACGTTTTCTGTAAGTCTTCACAAGGTTTTCACACACTGTTGCTGGTATTTTGGCCCATTCCTCCATGCAGATCTCCTCTAGAGCAGTGATGTTTTGGGGCTGTCGCTGGGCAACACGGACTTTCAACTCCCTCCAAAGATTTTCTATGGGGTTGAGATCTGGAGACTGGCTAGGCCACTCCAGGACCTTGAAATGCTTCTTACGAAGCCACTTCTTCGTTGCCCGGGCGGTGTGTTTGGGATCATTGTCATGCTGAAAGACCCAGCCACGTTTCATCTTCAATGCCCTTGCTGATGGAAGGAGGTTTTCACTCAAAATCTCACGATACATGGCCCCATTCATTCTTTCCTTTACACGGATCAGTCGTCCTGGTCCCTTTGCATAAAAACAGCCCCAAAGCATGATGTTTCCACCCCCATGCTTCACAGTAGGTATGGTGTCATTTAGATGCAACTCAGCATTCTTTGTCCTCCAAACACAACGAGTTGAGTTTTTACCAAAAAGTTCTATTTTGGTTTCATCTGACCATATGACATTCTCCCAATCCTCTTCTGGATCATCCAAATGCACTCTAGCAAACTTCAGACGGGCCTGGACATGTACTGGCTTAAGCAGGGGGACACGTCTGGCACTGCAGGATTTGAGTCCCTGGCGGCGTAGTGTGTTACTGATGGTAGGCTTTGTTACTTTGGTCCCAGCTCTCTGCAGGTCATTCACTAGGTCCCCCCGTGTGGTTCTGGGATTTTTGCTCACCGTTCTTGTGATAATTTTGACCCCACGGGGTGAGATCTTGCGTGGAGCCCCAGATCGAGGGAGATTATCAGTGGTCTTGTATGTCTTCCATTTCCTAATAATTGCTCCCACAGTTGATTTCTTCAAACCAAGCTGCTTACCTATTGCAGATTCAGTCTTCCCAGCCTGGTGAAGGTCTACAATTTTGTTTCTGGTGTCCTTTGACAGCTCTTTGATCTTGGCCATAGTGGAGTTGGGAGTGTGACTGTTTGAGGTTGTGGACAGGTGTCTTTTATACTGATAACGAGTGGAGGAGTTACAGGTCTGTGAGAGCCAGAAATCTTGCTTGTTTGTAGGTGACCAAATACTTATTTTCCACCATAATTTGCAAATAAATTCATTAAAAATCCTACAATGTGATTTTCTAAGATTTTTATTTCTCAATTTGTCTGTCATAGTTGACGTGTACCTATGATGAAAATTACAGGCCTCTCTCATCTTTTTAAGTGGGAGAACTTGCACAATTGGTGGCTGACTAAATACCTTTTTTCCCCACTGTATGAGATGAGTATCAACGCCAGGGTTGTGGGTTCGTTTCCCACGGGGGGCCAGTATGAACATGTATGCACTCACTAACTGTAAGTCTCTCTGGATAAGAGCATCTGCTAAATGACTAAAAATAATAATAATAATAATAATAATAACCTACCATGGCCAAATGAGTTGTGTATTCTGAACAGGAGCTGTTTCTCTAGTTGTGTTGCTTTGTTAGTTTACAGAGGACATTTATTATTATCATGGTTTAGTTTCCTAACCCAGGACTTGGGGAACCCTAGTTACACATATTTGTTCTATCCCAACACCAGCACACCTGACTCTGCAGAATCAAAGGCTTGATCATTAACATATTAGTTTAATCAAGGGTGCTGTTGTGGATACATTCTACCTTCAAAACAACTCCAACTGGGAAAAATCATTTTGAACGGTTATCCAACTCGAAATTCCAAGTCGGAAACTCTGGCATCTTTCTAGAGCTCCGACTTTCCAACCTGAAGATCACTGACGTATGATTTGACCTAGTTTTTTTTGTTGAGTTCCCTACACCTTGAAAGGTATTTTACAGCTAACCACAACTATGTTACAGCAATCTGTCAGTCGATGACACAGTCAATGACATAGCATGCAACCATTGGTTGATGCATATATGCAACGTCTGAGCAGGGCAATGCGACCTTGATTTTAGGCTGTGTCTACACAGGCAGCCCAATTCTGATCTTTTTTTCATTCATTGGTCTTTTGACCAATCACATCAGCTCTGAAAATATCTGATGTGAAAAGATCTGATTGGTCAAAAGATCAATTAGTGGAAAAATATCAGACTTGAGCTGCCTTAGAGATTTTAGAATCATTTTATCTCTGTTTTATCTTTATTCCTGGAATTTATGATAATAATGTCAGAGACTTGGGTTGATTGTGTAATCTGCTCTGCCTTGTTACAAGGGTGAGTAAACTTTATGAAATTGACTCCAACCCGACTCATTACCAATATGATCATTGTGATCCAGTGAAGTGTGTAGACTAGGGGTGCACAATACAGGCCGTCCAGGTTCTCATCCTGCTGGTTTTCATTTCTCCCTGGTACTTACCCAATCACTGAATGTTATTGAATGATTGTGCAGTGAGTGCATACACCTTTCAGGTAGAAAATCATTCAAAATCAAATGAATCAGTCAACCAGAATTAGCAGGACTGTGGCCGTCAAGGACCAGAGCTAGACACCCCAGCTGTAAGCCTACCACTAGTATTGTCAGTAGCCCCACTCAGTCAAAGTATTCCATGTTCTGAGTTGTCCTTACAATGAACAGCACTCAGGGTGTATGTGGGGTGTGAAACATGCCCTTCACACCCAGTGATTAGGAGCTCAGGGGCCAGCTGGTGATCAAGACTGACAGTGGTATTGATCAGCCTACAAAAACCCTGTGTGACACACACACATACACATACACACTCAGACAGACACACACACACACAGGGGTACAGATGTAAAATCATTAAATCATTACAAATCTGTTGCCTCATTGTGGTCCTTAAAGGTTAATGTAGGCCTAAAGCTGAATTGAATTATTGAATGTGGTGTATGTTGAAGTCCCACTGCATACACTAATGCCTAGTCAGAAATGAACCCCTACCCCCCTGGACAATTTTCATAGATCTGAAGGAATCGGATTGGGTTTAAGCCACAAAGTATAGGTCCACCTAGCCCAGATGGAGTTTCCGCCATTTTGCTTACACTAATCCGACCCTTTCAGATCTGTGAAAAGTGTCTATGGGATAGAAGTTAGGGGTTGATTATTGACTATGCATAATGTGACAGACTTGATATTTTGAGGGAAATTCCTTGAGCATGTCCCCATACACTGCTGTCCCTCTGAATCTCTCTCTCTCTCTCTTGTGTGGTCATCCTCAGGGCAGCTATGGTTTTCCATTGAGTTTTCCTCATGTCAGTCACCCATCGATCTCCCGGGTTACCAAATGCACGTGTGGTGCTGTGTGGTTTGGCCAGGTGTTACATGGCCAGCAGGGTTATTCCTTTAAAGCTGGAGTCTGCATTATTTGAACAGTGACACTGGTCACCCCAGGCACATTTGTTATTGTTTATGTTTTGTTTACGAAAGGAGGAGAGGAGCATCGAGCAGCTTGGTAAAAAAAACTCCACAAGTTAGTGACCTGAATGTTAGTGACTAGTACAACACTGCCAGATGGAAGCTGAGGTGATATGTTGTGATGATCCTCACCAGGAGAGGGCGGGATCACCACGTGGAATACAAATGAGTTAGCTGTGGAATACGTTGGGGGTCAACGCATTCAAAATGTTGAAAAACATACAACAGCCATATTAGATGTCTCAAACCCAATGGGGGATATGTTCTACACTACTGCAATTCAAAAGTTTATGCCCACTGTCAAATTGTTCCATTGTAATCTACCTGGCTTTATGTATACAGGTGCGTCAGGTTAAGATGAAGGAGTTTATATCTGCATAGTTCATACAGTATATTGGATCTGAAGGGTCTGTTTCTGTATGTATTTCATCTGTCTGTGTGTTAAAGCAAGACTCATATCAAATGGTTCTGTAATGAAACAGGGCAGAGTGGAGAGATAGAGGATCAAAGTAGGAAGAAGTGTACAGACTTTCATCCTCTCTCCCCCCCCCTCTCTCTCCCCCCTCTCTCTCTCCCTCTCTTTCTCTCTCTCTCTCCCCCCCTCTCCCTCTCTCTCTCTGTCTCCCCCCCCTCTCTCTCTCTCTCCCTCCCCCTCTCCCTCTCTCTTTCTGTCTCTCCCCCTCTCTCTCTCCCTCTCTCTCAGGATGGCACATGATTGGCAGGGAGGTAGAAGTAGGAGTCACCACCGATATGAGGAAGATGATGAAGGTGAGTACGGCCACACACACACACACACACACACACACACACACACACACACACACACACACCACACACACACACACACACACACACAGACACACAGCTGTGTAGTGTGTGCATTGTCCACTGTATGGAAGGAACAGACATCTGTAAGTCCATTATGTCAAATAAAGTGTTAAGAAAGATCATGTTGTGTCGATGGTAACCTCTCTTCTCTCTCTCTCTCTTCTCTCTATCCCTCTATATTCTCTCTCTTCTTTCTCTCTCCTCTATCTCCATCTATCGTTCCATCTCCTCCCTCTCTCACGTCCGTTCTCCTCTCTCTTCTGTCCTCTCCTCCTTCTCTCTCCTCTCGTTCCTTCTTTCTTTCTTCTCTCTCTCCTCTCCTCTCATCTTTCTCTCTCTCTTTCTCTCTCTCTTCTCTCCTCCTCTCATCTCCTATTTCTCTCTCGTCTCTCTCTCTCCTCTCTCTCTCTCTTTCTCTCTCTCTCTTCTCCCTCCTCCTCTTCGCCCTCCTCTGCTCCACGTGACTTCTTCTCACTTTTTCCCTCTCCCACTCCTCTATTGTCTCATCTCTCTCTTCTTCTCTCTCTTCTCTCCTCTCTCTCTATCTCTCTCTCTCTCTCTCAGTCTCTTGGCTTCTCTTGCCTCAGAAATCTCTGATCTTCACTCGTTTCTCGGATTTGCTGCTCTCACTTCATTCCTCTTTTCGGCCGTCGCAAGTCCGCTGAGGACTCCGCATCCTGTCTCCGTAACACGCATGCGCGGAGAATCTCCTATCCTGCGCTCTCTCCGCTTCTTGGGCCCTCTCCTCTCTTTCTCCTCTCTTCTCTTCTTTTCTCTCTCTCTCCTCTCTCGCTCTCTCAATATCTCTATCTCTCTCATCTCTTCTCTCTCTCCCGCTTCTCTCTCTCTCTCTCACTTTGTCTCCTCAAACCCCAGCCAGTGTATATTGGTGTCCCGGTAACACACGGTTACAGTAAAAGGAGACGGCGTAAACACCGCTCCCAACGCGAGAAACATCACACACACCGTGACCAACACACACACCAAGAACACACACACCATGACCATCCCCATGACAACCAGGAACACTACGAAGATGAGGAGGAGATGGAACAACATGACATATTTCACCCTGACTCCACAGGTGAGCGCTCACACACACACGCACATATGAGAAGCATATGACCAGCCACTGTTGTTGCTGTCTTGAGGAACGTTCGCCTGTCATTGCCAGGCATGGTTAGAGCAGGCTGCAGGGTGTGTGTGTGCACTCTGTGTGTGAAAGATGAAGCAGCATGGTTCCTGTTCCCATGGGGGCCAGCATTCTGAAGCATGGTTCCTGTTCCCATGGGGGCCAGCATTCTGAAGCATGGTTCCTGTTCCCATGGGGGCCAGCGTTCTGAAGCATGGTTCCTGTTCCCATGGGGGCCAGCGTTCTGAAGCATGGTTCCTGTTCCCATGGGGACCAGCGTTCTGAAGCATGGTTCCTATTCCCATGGGGGCCTGCGTTCTGAATCATGGTTCCTGTTCCCATGGGGGCCAGCGTTCTGAAGCTGGTAAGCTGATTAGAGCTGAGGAACTCAAACCCTGGTCCAACCACCAGCGGTCCTGTGTGTGTGTGTGTGTGTGTGTATATGTGTGTGTGTGTGTGTGTCTGTTCAGGGAATCCACTGCCCCAATTCCACAGGAGAAATATGTTATGTCACTGAGTGTGTTTACTCAGACAAAGAGAAGAAGAACCGGACACAAAAGGTGAAGGAAGGCGTGCACAGCCAAAAGTGGAGTGAAGGAGAAGTAGTTGTTGTGTGTGTGTGTGTCAGGTTGTTAAGGGTACTTCAGGCTGCTCTGGTGGATGGGTGTGCAGGTGCATATGTGTGTGTGTCAGGGGGTGGAGAGTACTTCAGGGTGCTATGGGGTGTGTTGGCCTCTTAAGCCTCTGGCCCTTCACTGCTCCAGAGATTTCAGTGGATTTCTGCTTCAGCTTAGAGCAGACCAGACCGGCTCCACAAGAACACAGCACAACAGTTCCATTACAGGACGGAACACACCGGTGTTGGGGTCTTACCTGGTATTGGAGTGCCACCTCTCTGGGCTGGACGGAGATTGACTGGGAGTACAGGTGCAGACTGAAGGTCTCTGGTTCTGGATCTGAGATATTGTGGTTCCTGTGGTTAATCATGCAGGACTCTGGTTCCTCCATCACCTCCAGCATGGCCTCTCACTGGACACTACCTAAAACAGGTAACAACAGAAAGAGAAGATAGGGGGAGGTAATGAGAACAAGAAGAGAGGATGGGAGGAGCTATAGAGAACAGGAAGAGAGGATGGGAGGAGGGGAGGAGGTGTAGAAAACAGGAAGAGAGGATGGGAGGAGCTATAGAGAACAGGAAGAGAGGATGGAACGAGGGGAGGAGATATAGAAAACAGAAAGAGAGGATGGGACGAGGGGAGGAGTTATAGAAAACAGAAAGAGAGGATGGGAGGAGGTATAGAAAACAGGAAGAGAGGATGGGAGGAGGTATAGAAAATAGGAAGAGAGGATGTGAGGGAGGAGGTATAGAAAACAGGAAGAGAGGATGGGAGGAGTTATAGTAAACAAAAGAGATGGGAGGATTGAAACAGGAAGATTGAGGGTGATGTATAAAAACAGTGAAGAAGATGGGAGATGGGAGGAGTTAGAATACTAGATAGAGATTGGATGGTGGAGTTAGTATTAAAAAACAGGAAGAAGGATGAACTGCGATGGTAGTGATAGATATAATAAAACAGAAGAGAGGATAGGGATGATGGGATGTGTAGTTATAGAAACAGCAGAGAGATGGAGGATTGAGGATTATATAACACGTAGAGATTGGATTGTGTTAGGTTATTCATCAAACTTTGCTTTAGGTTGCCTCATTGCTGGTGTGAGGTTATATCACATCGACGGTTGTTAGCTTGGGTTATGTCCCAACAAATGAGCTTATGTGGGGGTTGTTATAACCGACAGCAGACTCTGATTGGGATAGTATGAAACACGAAGAATGGGGGGTCTAGCTGCGGGTTATAGAATCTGATCAGAAGGAGGGAGTAGGAGTAGGAGGGATAGAAAACAGGAAGAGAATGGAGTGGACAGCATCTTCATGTTTATTTTCTTTATTTTCATGTTGGTGTCATTGCTGTGTAGTAAGTATTGGTTCATATTTGGCTGTATTTCAGGGGTGACTTGTCAGGTAGATGTTCACCTTTGGAAATGAAATGTGTGCATCACTGTCACGTGGACATGGCATTGGAGATGTCATATGAGCCTGGTGTTTCTCAACCTCTGGTCTTTGGACCGGCAGCGGTCTCTGGGATGTAGCTGACTGATTGTTCAATTAGTTCTCGCGTGATAGTTTGGATCTAATGTGAAGACTGTAGCAAAGTGTCTGTTTGCCTCAGTGCTCTCTGAAGGACTAGTATCCTCTCTTTCTGTGATTCACTCTGCTTCTTTCTCTGATTCACTCTGCTTCTTTCTCTGATTCACTCTGCTTCTTTCTCTGATTCACTCTGCTTCTTTCTCTGATTCACTCTGCTTCTTTTTCTGATTCACTCTGCTTCTTTCTCTGATTCACTCTGCTTCTTTCTCTGAGTCACTCTGCTTCTTTCTCTCAATCTCTCTCTGTGAACTATTAGATTGCATTTTTATTTTTAAAATGGGCCTCAAGTTCTGTCTGTCCTCAGTAACCTCTTAGAGACAGGGCCTGTCCATGTGCTGTTCACATCGACTGACTCTTGGGCAGTGTGCTGCTTATTTTAGCAACCCAATACCATGGGGTTCCAAGCTTGTTTTATACTGTAGGCGACAAAGAGATGAACAAAATCATATCAAATACTTGCTTTGTTTTTGGGTGGGTTTTGTTAAATCCTGAACCAAAGTGATGAATGTCATCAAGCCTGTGACATAGCTTTCTGGCTTGCATCAGGAACATTGCATAGATTACATACCAACACCTCCGGTTTATTCATAGACTGTATAAAGGGGGTGAGTAGGGTTTAGATGGATCAGGGGGGTGCAGGGGGGTATATATTTACCAGCTTTCACTGGGATTATGGGACTGACAGGGGGTGAGAGGGTGTTGTTTTGGATTAGGGGTGGAAGGGAACTCACACAGGATCAAAGTAAGCTAGGACCACCAGACGAGGAGCGAGAAACACACACGCAGACACACACACACAGCACACAGCACACACACACACACACAGCACACAGCACACACACCCATGCAGAGCGAGTGGTGTGATGGCAGTTATCAGAGCCCTGGGGCTAGGAGCAAGTTAATGGACTTTGTTCCACCGACAGGAAATTCTGAGAGAGTCCCAGGCACACTACAGTTTTCCAGTTCTATTCAGTTACAGTTGCAGGCTATACATTTTATAAAGAGTTCCAAATATATAAACAAATAAAAAAACACATTCTTTAAAATGTCTGATTTGTATGAGTAAATGCCCCAGTTTAGTGCACACTGTCACGACAATCCAAAGCTGCATCAACTGTCTGTCGACCGTACATCATAGTGGAATATCCTTTACAGTACTCACGCACACTGTTAGTAAAAGTGTTTCATACATACAGTAGATACATATATTTTCTAATTCTATTTCTATGGTCTGATAGTTATTCTCTTGTGTTTGAACTCCATTTCCCAGTGTCCCCGGCGGCGGAGAGGCTGCGTTACATCCTGGGTGAAGATGATGACTTGCCGACGCCCACTCTGTTCACAGAGATGGACACACTTCAACACGATGGAGACGACATGGAGTGGAAAGAGTCTGCTAGGTACACACACACAAACACACACTTCAACCCTTGTGTGTTTCCACCCTGGAGTGTGTGCCCTCATTAGTTTGGGATTGTTGGGGGGCTTTAGGTGGGATTTGGGGGAGGTGTGGGTAGGTGACCTGTAGATAGTTTCATTAGAAGAGTGTTAGCAGCAGAGCCCTACTGTTGGCTACATCTGACTCTCCACTATGACTCTGGGGGTTAGAGGTCAAACCCAGCATCCCTCAAGGTCACAGGCTGGGAGGCAATAAACCAGCTGACCAATCAATCAATATGTTAAACATTCAATAATGCACATGCATACACAGCAGAGCCAGAAGGGAATTAAGCGGTGAAACTAAAACTGCACCCTCTGACTTTGGAAGAAACAGGAAATTGTCATATTTAAGTCCAGCAGACAGTATCTATCTCGTATGCTTCTAAAGCATTTTCCTGTCTGCTCTCTCTGTCTTACTCTCTTTTCCATGTGTGTGTCGCTCTCTCTATCTCTCTGTCTCTCTTCCTCTCGCTCCTTCTCTCTAGGTGGGTGAAGTTTGAGGAGAAGGTGGAGGAGGGAGGAGAGAGGTGGAGCAAGCCCCATGTGTCCACCCTGACCCTCCACAGTCTGTTTGAGTTAAGGACCTGTATACAGACTGGCAGTGTACTGCTGGATCTGGAGGGATACTCCCTGCCACAGATAGTGGGTGAGTGTGAGTGTGTGTGACCCTCTGCCAAGTCCCCAACAACCTGATGTTCTGGTTTTCAGGGGAAATGGAAAGAGAGCATGTGACGAGACTTCCAATTTTGGACATTAACGACAATCCATCCTCCTCCAAATTTACTGGATTGGTTGAACAGTGCAGAAGAGAACCTCCCCCGACAGTTTTTTTCTTATTGTCAAGACCAGTATGTAGGGGATCTAGTTTCAGGCATTTCTTTTACGCCTGCTAGGTTAGGTTAATGTGACCCAGACCATGGTCCGTTCCCAAATCAACCCCTAGTCCCTAAGCCCTGTGCACTTGTGGAGATCGGAGAACATTTTATAGGTGCAAGCAATATGGTAAAGCTCCGTCTTGCCCTCTGATATGCCAGGTGGATGTGGATCAGAGGAGTTAGGTGGGAGGAGCTATGGGAGGATGGGCTCATTGTAATGGCTGTAATGGAATAAATGGAATGGAGTCAAACATGTGGTTTCCATATGTTTGATGTATTTGATACCATTCCATTTATTCCATTCCAGCCATTACAATGAGCCTGTCCTCCTATAGCTACTCCCACCAGCCTCCTCTGAAGTGGATAGGGGGTAAGGGGCAAGGGGTTGATTTGGGATTGAGACCACTGAGTTCACTGTGACCAGTTACAGCTGCAATCCGTATGTTCTATATCTCTGTTTCTCTATGTTTGACCCTTGAACTCTCACCCCTGACCCCAGATGACATCGTGGATCGCCAGGTAGCGGATGGTCTGATTGGTCCAGAGCTGAGGGAGAAGGTCAGCTTTGTGTTGCTACGGAAACATCGCCACCAGCACAAGAAACCCATGCACCGCTCGCTAGCCGACATGGGCAAATCAAACAATTCCCCCGCCAGTGAGTGTGTGTGTGTGTATCTGTGTGTCTGCGTGTGTACGTGCGTGTGTACACGCGTGCGTGTGCGTGTGCGCGTGCGTGTGCGCGTGCGTGTGTGTGTGTGTGTGTGTGTGTGTGTTGAGTGATCTTGTTGATTTCATCTCTATCATGCTGATTTTACTAAAACAACAATAATAATTTATCTCCTCTTTTAACAAACTCCTTCACTGTCTCTCCTGTTCACTCCATCCCTTTCTCTTTTCTCTCTCTCCTATCTCTCCCTCGCTCGCTCGCGCTCCCTCTCCCTCTCTCTCTCCCTCCCTCCCTCCCTCCCCCGCCTCTTCCCTTCCCTTCCCTTCCCTTCCCTTCCCTTCCCTTCCCTTCCCTTCCCTTCCCTTCCCTTCCCTTCCCTTCCCTTCCCTTCCCTTCCCTTCCCTTCCCTTCCCTTCCCTTCCCTTCCCTTCCCTTCCTCCCTCTGTCTCTCTCTCTCTAGGCCGTAGTCCCCAGTCTGTTCATAATGCCAGCCATACTAACTTCAGTCGTAGTCCTAGTTCAGCCTCTGGCCTCCATCGCTCTACAGAAGACCTACGCGCCAAGTCAGGCAGCCTTGCCCGCCTGCGTGAGTGTACACACAAACACACACTCAAGAGCACAGACACATAGACACACACTTGCGCACGTACGTGTGTACGGATACACTCAAATGCACAGACACACACACACACTCAACGCACGGATCCATTGACACTCACGTATACATACAAACTAATACTCTTTCACCCTCTTTCCTATCTATCATTCTCATAGAGATGTGTTTTAATTTACATATCTAACCTCATAAACTAGTAGAGATACAGTATGTTGGATTACTGTGTGTGATTGCGTGTAAGCTTTGGTCACACTGTATTTCCAAGAGCTCCCAGTACACAGTGGGTCAATTTTGGGATTGTAAAGAGAACGAGATTAGTTTGGGGATATTTGGTTATAATCTATTCCTCTGTGTGTGTGTGTGTGTGTGTGTGTGTGTGTGTGTGTGTGTGTGTGTGTGTGTGTGTGTGTGTGTGTGTGTGTGTGTGTGTGTGTGTGTGTGTGTGTGTGTGTGTGTGTGTGTGTGTGTGTGCTAACCGAGGTATGTTCCTGTTCTTTCCCCACAACTTAATTTGTCCCTAAATCATAAATCAGCTTTGGGGGAAATGATCCATTAGGTCTAATCGGCCACACAAAGGCACACATTCACACATTAGCTAAAGCGATTTGCCCACAAAGATGGGTTGCAGATGTCTACTATCCCACATATAAAAATACTACAGTTTACTATCTAATTCTATAGTATTCTGTAGTAAACTGTAGTATACTGTAGAATACTCTACTCCACACTGTAGTATCCTTCAATTGTGTAGTACAGTATGAAAAATGTATGCACTCACTAACTGTAAGTCGCTCTGGATAAGAGCGTCTGCTAAATGACTAAAATGTAAATGTACTTACTATAGAATTGTGTAGTATACTGTAGAATACTATTCTCCACACTGTAGTATCCCTCGATCGTGTAGTGCTTGCTATATAATTGTTTAGTATACTGTAGAATACTATACTCCACACTGTAGTATCCCTTGATCGTGTAGTGCTTACTATAGAATTTTGGAGTATATAGTAGAATACTATATTTCTACAACTTGATTGGAGTCCATCTGTGGTAAATTCAATTGATTGGACATGATTTGGAAAGGCACCCACCTGTCTATATAAGGTCCCACAGTTGACAGTGCATGTCAGAGCAAAAACCAAGCCAAGAGGTCGAAGAATTGTCCGTAGAGCTCCGAGACAGGATTGTGTCGAGGCACAGATCTGGGGAAGGGTACCAAAACATTTCTGCAGCATTGAAGGTCCCCAAGAACGCAGTGGCCTCCATCATTCTTAAATGGAAGAAGAACCACCAAGACTCTTCCTAGAGCTGGCCACCCGGCCAAACTGAGAAATAGGGGGGGAAGGGCCTTGGTCAGAGAGGTGAGCAAGAACCCGATGGTCACTCAGAGAGCTTCAGAGTTCCTCTGTGGAGATGGGAGAACCTTCCAGAAGGACAACCATCTCTGCAGCACTCCACCAATCAGGCCTTTATGGTAGAGTTGCCAGACGGAAGTCACTCCTCAGTAAAAGTCACATGACAGCCCGCTTGGAGTTTGCCAAAAGGCACCTAAAGGACTCAGACCATGAGAAACAAGATTCTCTGGTCTGATGAAACCAAGATTGAACTCTTTGGACTGAATGCCAAGCGTCACATCTGGAGGAAACCTTGCACCATCTCTATGGTGAAGCATGGTGGTGGCAGCATCATGCTGTGGGGAAGTTTTTCAGTGGCAGGGACGGGGAGACTAGTCAGGATCAAGGGAAAGATGAACGGAGCAAAGTACAGAGAGATCCTTGATGAAAACCTGCTCCAGAGCGCTCAGGACCTCAGACTGGGGCGAAGGTTCACCTTCCAACAGGACAACGACCCTAAGCACACATCCAAGACAACGCAGGAGTGGCTTCGGGACAAGTCTCTGAATGTTCTTGTGTGGCCCAGCCAGAGCCTGGACTTGAACCCGATCTAACATCTCTGGAGAGACCTGAAAATAGCTGTGCAGCGATGCTCCCATTCAACCTGACAGAGCTTTAGAGGATCTGCAGAGAAAAATGGTAGAAACTCCCCAAATACAGGTGTGCCAAGCTTGTAGCGTCATACCCAAGAAGACTTGAGGTTGTAATCGCTGCCGAAGGTGCTTCAACAAAGTACTGAGTAAAGGGTCTGAACACTTATGTAAATGTGATATTTAAGTTTTTTATTTTTAATACATTTGCAAAAATGTCAAAAAACCTGTGTTTGCTTTGTCATTATGGGGTATTGTGTGTAGATTGATGAGGGAAAAAAATATTTAATCAATTTTAGAATAAGGCTGTAACGTAACAAAATGTGGAAAAAGTGAAAGGGACTGAATACTTTCAGAATGCACTGTATGTACAAAAATATTTTGACATATTACAAAATTGTCAGTTTTCATATATTTATACATATACGTTTATATATTTAAATATATGTTGTGGAAATACATTTTGACAGTATGCTGTGGTAGCTAGTAAAATATATTCCAAAATATATTTCATCAATATATGTTGACATGTATTTTAATGAATGGAACACTTTGCTTTTTAATTTACATACTGTAGCTACAATTAAATGCATTACATTACAAATTCAGCACTAAATCACAATAGCATGCTGTGGTATACTTCGAAAAGTTTGAATGAATGACTCATGACTGACAACTAAAAGAGTGTTTTCAATAATCTTAATTTTTGCTAAAATAACTGGGTCCATTGTTGAATTGTGGCATGGGAGTCACTGGAAGGTCACATCTGAAACACAAAATATAATCTATAAATTACCTCTTTGCACTTAATATCTGTATTTGAAAATAATGTATTTGAACATCAAATTGATATTTACAATGCAGATTCCTTCACCTCCAGTGTCCATTTTCAAACTCACAAGCAATGTCTAAACTGCGTGCGTTGGTGGGCGCGTAGATCCCCTGGGACAAATATCAGCCTGCACCGAGAAGCACGAGATTAAACTTTTTAGAGTTTTCCCCTTTAGTTAACACTATTAACATTACCCTTTACTGTGGGAATTGTGATTGAATCAACGCAATATTAGCCACATTCAATGCAACATACCAAAACAAAACGAACTATGACTTAGTATGCAAAACTAACTATGCAAGATATTTTGTTGTAGGCAGAACGCATTGGAGTAGGATTCTATTCCATTGACAGGCACGACTCAGGCCCCTACTCTACACAGACCCGTGCGCCATAACCAATCAGAGCTTCAGTAGGCCTCTGTGCAAATAGACCATTGCCATATATGGATCTGTGCCATTCACTTCGAACTGGACTGTTTTTAGTGAGTAGATGCGCTTGTTTTGAGATCAAAGCGAGAGCTACATGTAGCAACATGTGCACATTTGAACATTTGTTCATATCCTTTGCTAGTTAGTGAGTTATTAGCCCAGTAATAGATCATTTGTAGTCAATGGGGGAGTGATTGCTTCCTACAAGAGCACAAAATGTATGCATTTCTATACATCTTTGAAAAGCATGTGGGGTAAAGATCTAGCTAGCTAGCCAGTTCTATCGAGACACCCAACCCTCACTAAAGCTATACACATTGCTTGGCTAGCCAAGAACATTTAACAATAGCTTTGGAAATTCAATTATATATAATACATACATAACATTAACTCTACTGAATTCTACTCAACTTTAATTTTCAAAACATTTCTTTCCTTGGTCAGTCACACCGCACGTTGGTGGCAAGATAAAGAAGGAGCTACCTATCTAGCTAGCTAGGTGTTAGCAAGCTCGATGAAAACTCATGCTTGCAGTTGAATAAATTATGTTCATTCTCTGTCACCCACCATGTTAAAAACATATTTTAATTAAAGGTTATGAATATATAATAAAATAAAACGCCATTATCCACAAGAACGCTTTTTGGCAGTGATGGCTGCTATTCTCCTTCTTCTAAGAAAATTCAAAATTGTAATGGTTGCTCTGTCAGTTGGAGGCGGGGCTGGGGGTGGAGCTCGGGAACTTTCAAATTGTGATTGACAGCTCTGGAAACATATTTTCATATATTTTAAAATATATTTACAGATATGTTCTACGTTCAAGTGTCTTTTCCAAATAAACACCACCTTTTTTTGTACTATGTTTCATAAGCTGCAGATAAGCTATGCTTTAATAGCTGCAGAATTTATACTATAACTCAATGATCCAACTTTTGCATGCAAAATGCCACTTTGGGAACCTATGCTAAGGTACCAGAGGTCAATAGAAACACAATATTATCATTGGGGTAGAGAAGGTTGTGAGGCGTGAGTGTGTATTTTATTTATTTATATATTTGATAAATACATTTTTTATTTGATTTAAATACATTTAAATATATTTATATTTTATTGAAATATATTCATATATATGATTTTTCCATATGGGACACACTGTAGTATCCCTCAATTGTGCAGTACTTACTATATCATTATGTAGTACACTGTAGTAAACTGTAGTATAATGTAGAAAACTATACAACATAATGTATTGATATGCCAATATACATTTGCATACACCCCGCCCATTCCCCTCCCCCATGGCCCAATTTGTGCCACCCATGAGACCATATGCCAATTATAAACCATATATTGTGTTCTCTACAGGTTATAGAAAAGAGTAAAAGCTCTGAACCTATCCATTCAGACCCCAGTCCTACCTACTTACAGGTTATGGAAAATGTGCTCTTTAATATTTCTGCATTAGGTTTCCTCAAGGTGAAAGCCCCCACTTCTATGTAAAAGATAATAAAACAAAAACACTTTAGTAAATACTACAGTAATGTCCGCAACAACACTACAGTAAATTGGACTTCAGAGTATGAAATGGCTCTTTGATGTTGTCGGCACAATGCGTCAATAATTATGGTGGCTGTGCGTTTACTGGTTGGCTCTCCTCTGTGTCTTTCTCACTCAAACATCCACATGCACGGCCACACACAGCCCCCTGAGCACTGTCCCCTTCCATTACAACGGTTGGATTTTCAAATCCAAACAAGAGAGGCCTCAACCCCTGAGGAAAAGAAAAAATAACATTTGAGAGAACAAATCAAACCCGTTGTACAATTTCTGAGCGAATATTGCATACGTTCTCCTTTCCAGACCAGTGGATCACTGACGCGACATGTGGGTCACGTCAGCCAGGCTAGTCTGTATGCAATATACTGCAATATACTGTCCATATGCAAAAACACTACAGTGAATAAATACTACAGTAAAGTTAGCAAAAACACTACAGTGAATACTATAGTATATAAATAATAATACTACAGTATTTATACCATGCTATAGTTTTTTTCATGTGGGTAGTGCCTCTTCTACTCAATGTAAAAATTAAACACACACTAAACAAACTTTAAACTGTACATACACAGAGAAGATTGCTAACTTGAGGTGAATTTGTGTGGAGTACTAATTGGTGTGTGTGTGTGTTTTTGATACACATGTTTTTTATATGATGTTTCAGATCATGCGCAAAGCCGAAGTATGAACGATATTTCAGACACTCCAAGCACAGACCAGGTAACAACGAACATCACTATTCTGTGTGTGTACCTATGCAGCCTTGTGTGTGTGTGTATGTGATGGAGATAGTGTGTGTGTGCGGGGGGGGGGGGGGTGGGTGGGTGGTCTACTTGAATTAGTTACCGGGAGATATAGGAGAGAGAGAGAGAGTAGAGGAGAGAGAGTAGATAGAGAGAGAGAGAGAGAGAAAGACGGAGAGAGAGAGGATAGAAGGGGAGGTAAGTGATCGGAAGCGAAGGGGTAGAAGAGGTATAGAAGAGAGTCGAAGAGCGAAGAGAGAGAGGGAGAGAGAGAGTGAGAGCTCTCTCCTCTTTCCTCCGAGAGAGAGATAGAGAGTATGAAGCGAGAAATAGGCGAAATGAGTTGACTCTGAAAGCAGCATTAAAAGATTAGGAGGTGATTTTGGCCTAAGCACCAACCACTCCAGTCCCACGTGCTACTGGGGAGTAGGAGTGAGGCATGTTTACTGCACTGAGATTTGAGCTTTCCCTGATGAAAAAAAACAGCACAGACCAGCATAGGCTGGTGACCAGCCTTCGCTGTGTTTTTGCTGGTGACCAGCCTTCATTGTGTTTTCGCTGGTGACCAGCCCTCGTTGTGTTTTCACTGTTGACCAGCCCTCGTTGCGTATTCGCTGGTGACCAGCCTTCGTTGTGTTTTCGCTGGTGACCAGCCCTTGTTGCGTTTTCGCTGGTGACCAGCCTTCGTTGTGTTTTAGCTGGTGACCAGATTTTGTTGTGTTTTTGCTTGTGACCAGCCTTCGTTGTGTTTTCTCTGGTGACCAGCTTTCGCTGTGTTTTTGCTGGTGACAGCATATGTGTTTTGGACACACGCTGGTCACCCGCAAAACCAGCACCAAGTCACATTATGCTGGAGTGCAAAGTGATGTCTAATTCCTATTGGAATCCAGTCTGACTGGGAAAATCCAAAAATGTTAACTTTTATTCACCCACAATCTGCATTCAAAAAGATGATGAGACTACCTAAACCATCTAAACTGGAACAACCATTTCAGTAATGGGTGCAATAAATCCAACTAACAGATTGTATTACTTTAGAAAAATGTATGCTATTTATCTTTGTGTAGCATGAAAGTTGAAATACAATGCATTCGGAATGTATTCAAACCCTTTGACTTTTCCCAGATTTTGTTACATTTACATTTACATTTACATTTGACATTTAGCAGACGCTCTTATCCAGAGCGACTTACAGGAGCAATTAGGGTTAAGTGCCTTGCTCAAGGGCACATCGGCAGATTTTTACGTTACAGCCTTATTCTATAATTGATTAAATAGTTTTTTCCTCCCCATAATGACAAAGCAAAAACTGTTAAAAATAATAATACAAAATATAACTGAAATATCACATTTACAAAGTATTCAGACCCTTTACTCAGTAATTTATTGAAGCACCTTTGGCAGCGATTACAGCCTCAAATCTTGGCACACCTGTATTTGGGGAGTTTTTCCCATTCTTCTTTGCAGATTCTCTCAAGCTCTGTCAGGTTGGATGGGGAGCGTTCCTGCACAGCTATTTTCAGGTCTCTCCAGAGATGTTTGATCGGGTTCAAGTCCGGGCTCTGGCTGGGCCACTCAAGGACATTCAGAGACTTGTCCCGAAGCCACTCCTGTATTGTCTTGGCTGTGTGCTTAGGGTCGTTGTCCTGTTGGAAGGTGAACCTTTGCCCCAGTCTCCAAGCGGGTTGTCATGTGCCTTTTACTGAGGAGCGTCTTCCGTCTGGCTACTCTACCATAAAGGCCTGATTGGTGGAGTGCTACAGAGATGGTTGTCCTTCTGGAAGGTTTTTATTTTATTTTAAATTTGCTAAAACTTCTTAAAACCTGTTTTTGCTTTGTCATTATGGGGTATTGTGTGTAGATTGATGAGGAATTAACCTATGTAATCCATTTTAGAATAAGGCTGTAACGTAACAAAATGTGGAAAAGTCAAGGGGTCTGAATACTTATGCTGCTGCATAAATTAGCTCATGTGCTTTTCTTCACGAGGAGGGGATACTATATAATGTTGTTGGGTCTTTAACCATGTTTGCCACTGACAGTCTCTTCCCATTCAAATATTTGTTTTCAACAAAAAGTCCACTAATTTGAAGGGGTGTACACATACAGTACCAGTCAAAGGTTTGGACACACCTACTCATTCCAGGGTTTTTCTTTATTTGTACTATTTTCTACATTGTAGAATAATTGTGAAGACATCAAAACTATGAAATAACACATATGGAATCATGTAGTAACCAAAAAAGTGTTAAACAAATCAAAATATGTTTTATTTTGAGATTCTTCAAAGTAGCCACCCTTTGCCTTGATGACAGCTTTGCACACTCTTGGCATTCTCTCAACCAGCTTCATGAGGTAGTCACCTGGAATGCATTTCAATTAACAGGTGTGCCTTGTTAAAAGATCATTTGTGGAATTTCTTTCCTTCTTAATGCGTTTGAGCCAATCAGTTGTGTTGTGACAAGGTAGGGTTCGTATACAGAAGATAGCCCAATTTAGTAAAAGACCAAGTCCATATTATGGCAAGAACTGCTCAAATAAGCAAAAGAAATGACAGTCCATCATTACTTTAAGACATGAAGGTCAGTCAATCCGGAAAATTTCAAGAACTTCTAGTTTCTTCAAGTGCAGTCGCAAAAATCATCCAGCGCTATGATGAAACTGGCTCTCATGAGGACCGCCACAGGAATGGAAGACCCAGAGTTACCTCTGCTGCAGAGGATAAGTTCATTAGAGTTACCAGCTTCAGAAATTGCAGCCCAAATAAATGCTTCCCAGAGTTCAAGTAACAGACACATCTCAACATCAACTGTTCAGAGGAGACTGAGTGAATCAGGCCTTCATTGGTCGGATTTCTGCAAAGAAACCACTACTAAAGTACACCAATAAGAAGAAGAGACTTGCTTAGGCCAAGAAACACGACCAATGGACATTAGACCAGCGGAAATCTGTCCTTTGGTCTGATGAGTCCAAATGTGAGATTTTTGGTTCCAACCGCCGTGTCTTTGTGAGACACAGAGTAGGTGAACGGATGATCTCTGCATGTGTGGTTCCCACTGTGAAACATAGAGGAGGAGGTGTGATGTTGTGGGGGTGCTTTGCTGTGGGGGTGCTCAGTGATTTATTTAGAATTCAAGGCACACTTAACCAGCATGGCTACCACAACATTCTGCAGCAATACGCCATCCCATCTGGTTTGCGCTTAGCGGGACTATCATCTGTTTTTCAACAGGACAATGACCCAACACACTTCCAGGCTGTGTAAGGGCTATTTGACCAAGAAGGAGAGTGATGGAGTGCTGCATCAGATGACCTGGCCTCCACAATCCCCCGACCTCAACCCAATTGAGATGGTTTGGGATGAGTTGGACCACAAGTGGGAGAGAAAAGCAGCCAACAATGCTCAGCATCACAGTTGGGCAAAAAGTTTAACACTTTTTTGGTTACCACATATGTGTTATTATTTCATAGTAGTACAATGTAGAAAATAGTAAAAATAAAGAAAAACCCTTGAATGAGTAGGTGTGTCCAAACTTTTGACTGGTATTGTATGTGACTCAAATACCATCAGGATAGACTGAAGGTCATGCTGTTGAATGACAAAGACCTATCCAATTGTTTACTAGATTGATACAAAAGCATTGCCCGCCAGTATATCACGTGTTCCTTGCATACAAGCAGTGCACAACACTGTTTTGTCTGAGGGGCCCATCCTCCAGACCCCAACCCCCACCAAAAACTAAAACTAAAACAATTAATGTTTTACTTTTTGGGTATACATTATTTTTGCCATGGGGCAGAGAGAAAAAAATGCTGTTTAAAAATGTTGTTTCATGATATTCTACACATTTTGCCATTTTGCTGTTTTAAAGCAATTTCCTGTAATAAATGGCTTATGATGTGATAACTGGTCCAGGATTGAGACCAGGAAAACAGATCATACAGTGGGGAAAAAAAGTATTTAGTCAGCCACCAATTGTGCAAGTTCTCCCACTTAAAAAGATGAGAGAGGCCTGTAATTTTCATCATAGGTACACGTCAACTATGACAGACAAATTGAGAAAAAATAATCCAGAAAATCACATTGTAGGATTTTTTATGAATTTATTTGCAAATTATGGTGGAAAATAAGTATTTGGTCAATAACAAAAGTTTCTCAATACTTTCTTATATACCCTTTGTTGGCAATGACACAGGTCAAACATTTTCTGTCTTCACAAGGTTTTCACACACTGTTGCTGGTATTTTGGCCCATTCCTCCATGCAAATCTCCACTAGAGCAGTGATGTTTTGGGGCTGTCGCTGGGCAACACAGACTTTCAACTCCCTCCAAAGATTTTCTATGGGGTTGAGATCTGGAGACTGGCTAGGCCACTCCAGGACCTTGAAATGCTTCTTACGAAGCCACTCCTTCGTTGCCCGGGTGGTGTGTTTGCGATCATTGTCATGCTGAAAGACCCAGCCACGTTTCATCTTCAATGCCCTTGCTGATGGAAGGAGGTTTTCACTCAAAATCTCACGATACATGGCCACATTCATTCTTTCCTTTACACGGATCAGTCATCCTGGTCCCTTTGCAGAAAAACAGCCCCAAAGCATGATGTTTCCACCCCCATGCTTCACAGTAGGTATGGTGTTCTTTGGATGCAACTCAGCATTCTTTGTCCTCCAAACACGACAAGTTGAGTTTTTACCAAAAAGTTATATTTTGGTTTCATCTGACCATATGACATTCTCCCAATCCTCTTCTGGATCATCCAAATGCACTCTAGCAAACTTCAGACGGGCCTGGACATGTACTGGCTTAAGCAGGGGGACACGTCTGGCACTGCAGGATTTGAGTCCCTGGTGGCGTAGTGTGTTACTGATGGTAGGCTTTGTTACTTTGGTCCCAGCTCTCTGCATGTCATTCACTAGGTCCCCCTGTGTGGTTCTGGGATTTTTGCTCACCGTTCTTGTGATCATTTTGACCCCACGGGGTGAGATCTTGCGTGGAGCCCCAGATCGAGGGAGATTATCAGTGGTCTTGTATGTCTTCCATTTCCTAATAATTGCTCCCACAGTTGATTTCTTCAAACCAAGCTGCTTACCTATTGCAGATTCAGTCTTCCCAGCCTGGTGCAGGTCTACAATTTTGTTTCTGGTGTCCTTTGACAGCTCTTTGGTCTTGGCCATAGTGGAGTTGGAAGTATGACTGTTTGAGGTTGTGGACAGGTGTCTTTTATACTAATAACAAGTTCAAACAGGTGCCATTAATACAGGTAACGAGTGGAGGACAGAGGAGCCTCTTAAAGAAGAAGTTACAGGTCTGTGAGAGCCAAAAATCCTACAATGTGATTTTCTGGATTATTTTTTCTCAATTTGTCTGTCATAGTTGACGTGTACCTATGATGAAAATTACAGGCCTCTCTCATCTTTTTAAGTGGGAGAACATGCACAATTGGTGGCTGACTAAATACTTTTTTTCCCCACTGTATGTTTCCTGTAAAACAGGAAAAATTATGAGACAAGAGAAAGTTGACTAGTTTGAGGAAAAGTTATTTCAATAGAATTTAATAAACATATTTTTTGCCAAAAGTGTCAAAGGTCAATTATCTGGTTCAGTGCAATTGTTTTGTAGAAAAATATAAATTCACAGTTCTCATTACCAATAGAAAATATCTACATAGAAAAATATACATTCACATACTTTCATATCCTATGTTCAATCTCTTTAACAAACTATGCTGGTTTGCCAGCAGAACCAGCTTGACCAGCATCCGACCAGCACGGACTAGCAGGGACCAGCATGTACCAGCTTGAAATAGATGCTAGTCTATGCTGGTTTTTTCAGCAGATTGTGTGATTTTGTATGAGTGAAGTATGCAGAGGTATTGAGTGGCCAATGGAGAGTGTGTGTGTGGGTATGTGTGTGTGTGTGTGTGTGTGTGTGTGTGTGTGTGTGTGTAGCAATAATGAGCTACAGTACTATTGGAGTGTGGTTATGTGTATCTTGTCCTAGGCATCACATGCAGTGAGTGATCAGCTATCGATTAGATATTGACACTGACATAATGATGACATGACTTCAGCTGCTCTGCTGTGTGACAGATTACAGTAAAGAAATGCCTTTACATTCTAAATGCTGCTTTATTCTTGCGCTATAATAGTGTAGTCCCCTGTAGCTAAATTAGTAGAGCATGGCGCTTGCAACGCCAGGGTTGTGGGTTCGTTTCCCACGGGGGGCCAGTATGAAAATGTATGCACTCACTAACTGTAAGTCGCTCTGGATAAGAGCATCTGCTAAATGACTAAAATGTAATTTTGGCTACAATAGCCTTCATTAGGTGTAATGACAATGGCAAGATGCCTTGTAGTTATTCTGAATCCTGCTCTTGATCTCTAAATATATAGTTATTGTTCCTCTGCCACCTGCCACCTCTTTCTCTCCATTCTCTCTCTCTTTCTCTACCACCCTGCTTTCTCTCCACTCTAGTTGAAGAACAAGTTCATGAAGAAGATTCCTCGTGATGCCGAGGCGTCTAATGTTCTGATTGGAGAAGTGGACTTCCTGGACAAACCATTTGTAGCGTTCGTACGTCTGGCCCAAGCTACCACACTGGGAGGCCTGACCGAGGTCCCCGTACCTACCAGGTGTGTGTGCATGCGTGTGCGTGTGCGCGTGCGTGTGTGCATGTGGTGTACGTGTGCGCGTGCGTGTGTGCATGCGTGTGCTGCTGCTCTACAGGTGTGTTAACCCCTTGTCTCCTGGCAGGTTTCTGTTTGTCTTGCTGGGTCCTCATGGCAAAGGCAAGTCCTACAACGAGATTGGTCGAGCCATCGCTACACTCATGGTGGATGACGTAAGAATGACCTAATCTTTTTGTGTGCTTAAATGTTCATTAAGCTGAGACATATATTAGTGTTTTGATTGATGGGTTTTTTCATAACCTCAAGATATTCATTGGATACATTACCTCACACACTCAATCAGTATGTTACAGCCAGGGCTCTGCAGTTCAACTCTGACCTCTTCATTAACACACACACACACACACACACACTCATAACATCATATGCTGTGTGTAACTGTGTGCTGTGCTGTCCTGTCAGTTGTTTAGTGATGTGGCGTATAAAGCCCGGGACCGTGACGACCTGATCGCTGGGATTGATGAGTTTCTGGATGAGGTCATCGTTCTGCCACCAGGGGAGTGGGACCCCAAAATACGCATCGAGCCCCCCAAGAAAGTCCCCTCTGCTGACATGAGGTACAGAGGATGAACCACATATCAGATCTATTCAGTTGTTCAGTGTAGTTAGTTAGTAAGTTAGGGAGTTAGTTAGGCAGTTAGTCAGTCAGAAGAGGAGTGGAGTGATTGTGTTTGGACTGGGTCAGGGACCCCTTCCCCCTACCCCTCCCACCACAACTAACACTTGCTACCCCTCCACCTCCTCCCTCCACCCCCCAACAGGAAGTCTGTGCTGAACCTGAATGAGCTAGGCCAGGTGAACGGGTAAGGCCGGGGGGGCAGGAGGAGGAGAGGACGAGGAGATGCCCGCCCCCCACGAGCTGGGAGAGGAACTGCAATTCACTGGCAGGTATGGGAGCACTGGGGCTTTGTGGTGCATTACTCCTCATTTTGGGGAATTTGATTCAGTTCAATGTAAAGGTAGAGTCAGCGATATGATGTAGATCAGTGCCACCTCTGCCTATATGCAGACTACGTGCTGCGCGTAGTGCCCCCGACTAAAACATTTATACATTTAGGAAGTCAGTCGGGGCAAAGTTGATCTATTATATTGACAAGATGGTCGACTGACCGCTCTAACAATGGAAATACATGTCCTCAAAGATGGAAGGCAGACGAGAGGAGATGAGATCAGGTGGGGCCATTCTAGCCAATGAGAGGGCAGATGCTTGTGTGAACAACAGGCACAACTCCGATATAAAGTATTTATTCCACTTATATTAGTATATTCGTAACAACAGCAGCGGTGTCATTTTGCTGACTCCTTTAATACAACTTATTTATCCTTCATTAGGCTATCCCTCCCGGGGACTCCAGCCCTGACTCCAGCCTGCTTTCAGGCTGCTTTCAGAGTCAATGAGAGTGGATGGAGTCACCTCTGTGTGCGTTCCCCAGGTTCTGTGGAGGTCTGTGGCTGGACATTAAGAGGAAGGTTCCGTGGATCCTTAGTGATTTCTCCCAGGGATTCCACATCCAGTCCATCTCTGCTGTGCTGTTCATCTACTTGGGCTGCATCACCAATGCCATCACCTTCGGAGGCCTGCTGGGGGATGCCACAGACAACTACCAGGTACACGAACACACACATACACACACACACACCTGTCTTAACTCCTACGGAAATCTGGCCAACGCAAAACTAGTTAGATCGCGCCACACGAAAACGGACAACAAAAAACTAGGCTGGTAGCGTAGCGGTTTCTGAGAGAGAGGTGAGGAAGGTGGAGAAGAGTTTCCTAGGTATACAGCTGTGCAGGAACAGACTTCTTCTTTTAAGGGGCCCCTTCCCCCACCCCCCGCCACACCCATTCCCATCTTTGGGGCTACAGTTCTGCATGATATTAGTGCGAAAACACCACACGACAACACCAACCACCCACAAATTGTCTGGGTTCTGCCCCTTTATGCATTTTAGTTCCTTTTTTACATGTTTGTATTTTGTGTTTTTATTCTTGTGTTCCGGTCTTCAAACCTTAGTTTATTATGGGATCCCCCTTGGGGAAATCTCCATCTGTTTGAGGTCGATCATAGTGAGGAGCCAGTTAAATCAAAATTACCGGTTTCAGAGGAGGGTTCTCCCCCCTCATCTCCCATTTCACTTGACCCCATTTGTTATTTGGGTGGAAAAACACCGAGTCTCCCGACCAACAACACACAACACCCCACACAACACACACACACCACAAACGCACAAACGGTTCTAACTATTCCTTTGTTCAAAGGGGATCTTAAGTTACCTTCAACTGGTAAACCCTCCTTTAATTAAGTGTAATGTTGCAGACCGGGGGAACTGTTCTTGGGAATTCGGCGAGATCCCTTGCAAAAACCAGCCAGGCGGGCCCGCGGGAGAAAGAACGAGGAAAATGGAATTTAGAAAAGGGAAAAAAGAAAGACAAGAAACAAACACAGCGGTTGAGGGAAGGGTTAACAAAAATAAGTTAGAAATCAGAGATAAGAAAAGGAAAAGGTGGGTTTAAAACACACAGGGAAAAGTGCAAGCACGGCAGCAAATCAGAGGAAGAGGAAAGGGGAAACAACAAGACAGGTTAATTGAATTCGGGGGGGACCCAAAGGGACAACCATACACCGATCCACCACATCAAGCTTTTTACCCCCCAGAGTCGCTTCCTATTCTTTACGCAGGCAAATCCCGGCCAACCACCTCCCCTTCCTCTCTCCCCGCCCCCGGGGAATTTTGGGAGCTTGGGGGGCTTTACTGACCACAACAGAAGGAACATGCCACGAAGAAAGTTAGGGGGGGCACACCTGACAGTTCCAAAGAGCCCATCTAAATTTGGGAAAGGAGAGAAAGAAAAGGGGGATGAAGAGCGGAAGGAAAAGAAGGGAAGGAGGGGGGGGACGGGGAGAAGGTAGAGAAAGAGGGGGGAAGGAGAAAGCAAAGGACGGGGAGGAGTAGAAAAGGGGAAGAGAAGATATTGAGGCGGAGTAGGGGGAACCGAAGAGCAAAGTAGAATTGGAGGAAGTTGAATATCGGTTTTCCTACGACTGTAAAAAGTGGTATGGATGTTTGAAGTTTGTAGTTGGGACTTATATGAAGAGATAGGTAATTGGTTTACATCAGGATAAAATGTATTTTGTTCTACCTTTTATATATATTTTAATCTATCAGGTTCGTTTCCTATGGGGGGATTTCTATTCTTAATCGAAAAGTAGTTTTTACTTCTCTCTCTTAGCTTTCTCTCTCTCTTTCTTTTGCCTCTGTTTTTTTCGTCTCTTCTTCTGTTTTCTGCGCTCTGTCTCTTTCTCTCTGTCTCTCTCTCTCTGTTTCTGCCTCTCTGTCTCTTTCTCTCTGTCTCTCTCTCTCTCTGTTTCTGCCGCTCTGTCTCTCTCTCTCTGGCTGCTATCTGAGTAAGTATACCTCTACTGCTACAGCATGCTACAAACCTGACATGTTACCATAAAACTGGCATCATGTAATCTTGCTGGGGCAACTGACATCTCTCTATTCCTCTCTCTCTTTCTCTAACAGCCGCTGCGATGGGTTTGAATGTTTCAGTTCCACTAGCGGACGATAACATGACTGATTTGGTAAGTGGCTTGGGAACTAACGGTCTATGGGGACAGTCTACATGTGGTCCAAATAGACTTAACATAGTAGGATTTACCATAGTCACAGGACACAGGCAGGTCTCTACACCAGCAGCCCTGTGCTGCCTGTCTACTTCCATGTCCGCACTACTCTGTATTCTCTCTTCCCTTGTTATTCTCTCTCTTCTACTCTCTCTCTCTCTCTCTCTCTCTCTCTCTCTTCTCTCCATACTCCCTCCCTCTGTCTCTGTAGTATAACATAACAGGTCTGGACTGGAGTCAGCTGAGTAAGAAGGAGTGTGTGAAGTATGGCGGCGCCCTGTTGGGGAACACCTGTAAGTACGTCCCTGACCTGGCCCTCATGTCCTTCATCCTGTTCTTCGGGACCTACTCCATGACCGTCTCCCTCAAGAAGTTCAAGACCAGCCGCTACTTCCCCACCAAGGTGAGACACGGAGGTACATAGAACATGAGACATGAGATGCAGCAGACAGAGGACACAGGGGGACATAGGGGACAGAGGATACAGGGGGACATAGGGGACAGAGGACACAGGGTGACATAGGGGACAGAGGACACAGGGGGACATAGGGAACAGAGGACACAGGGTGACATAGGGGACAGAGGACACAGGGGGACATAGGGGACAGAGGACACAGGGAGACATAGGGAACAGAGGACACAGGGTGACATAGGGGACAGAGGACTCAGGGGGACATAGGGGACAGAGGACACAGGGGGACATAGGGGACAGAGGACACAGGGGGACATAGGGAACAGAGGACACAGGGGGACATAGGGAACAGAGGACACAGGGTGACATAGGGGACAGAGGGACACAGGGGGACATAGGGAACAGAGGACACAGGGGTGACATAGGGGACAGAGGACACAGGGGGACATAGGGGACAGAGGACACAGGGGGACAGAGGACACAGGGGGACATAGGGAACAGAGGACACAGGGGGACATAGGGGACAGAGGACACAGGGGGACATAGGGGACAGAGGACACAGGGGGACATAGGGGACATAGGGGACAGAGGACACAGGCAGACAGAGGACACAGGGGGACATAGGGGACAGAGGACACAGGGGGACATACGGGACAGAGGACACAGGGGGACATAGGGGACAGAGGACACAGGGGGACATAGGGAACAGAGGACACAGGGGACATAGGGGACAGAGGACACAGGGGGACATAGGGAACAGAGAACACAGGGGGACATAGGGGACAGAGGACACAGGGGGACATAGGAGACATAGGACACAGGGGGACATAGGGGACAGAGGACACAGGGGGACATACGGGACAGAGGACACAGGGGGACATAGGGGACAGAGGACACAGGGGACAGAGGACACAGGGGACATGGGGACAGAGGACAGAGGACACAGGGAACACGGGGACATAGGGGACAGAGGACACAGGGGGACCTTTATGTTATTTGGGTAATGAGAAGGTAGTTTAAACTTAACCTCTTCCCTTTTCTTGGCTGCCAACTCCCACCCACTCTCGACCTCTCCCCTCCTCCCCCCACCCTGTCCCTTCCTCTCCATGCCCCTCTTCCTGTCTGTGCTCCAGTACCGCTCCCTGATTGGTGATTTCTCGATCATCATCTCCATCCTGGTATTCTGTGGGATAGACTACCTGTTAGGGCTGGAGACGCCCAAACTGCACGTGCCCACTGAAATCAAGGTCCTCTCGTCCCCTCATCCCTCACTCCATCTCTCCCTCTCTCTCTTTTTTCCTCTTTCTCTCCCTATCTATCTCTTCCTTCTTCCTGAAATGATTAGGAATAAAACTTCAGTTTTCAAGTGATTTTGAGACATTAACATACTGACACTTTCTTCTCTCTTTTATTTCATCCCTCTCTCCTGTTTGTGTATTTGTTTTGTACCTCTCTGTCTTTTTCTCTCCATCTCTACCACCCCTCTGTCTGTCTGTCTGTCTGTTTCTTTGTTTGTTTCTTGTTTGTCTGTCTGTGTATATGGGTGGGCCTAGCTGAGGAAGCTGATCAGTGATTTCTCCATCTTCATGTCAATCATGACATTTGTGGGTCTGGATATGCTTGTAGGGCTGGACACACCCAAACTAATCGTACCCACAGAGTTTAAGGTATTTCTAACCATTAACCCAATGTGTGTGTGTGTGTGTGTGATTGACAGATGCATGCATTCTGTAATTCAATGTGTGTTTGATTGGAGATGTATGTGTATGAGTTGCATCTGTCTTTTTGTCGGATTTAGTGACGCATGTAGTTTTGATTTGACTGTGTAAACTGCATGATAGATGTGCTTGTGTGTGTGTTTAGCACCATACAGGGCTCACTTAAAAAAGAGAACTGGGTCTCAATGTGACTCAAATCAAATCACATATTATTTGTCACATGCTTCATAAACCACAGGTGTAGACTAACAGTGAAATGCTTACTTACAGGTCCTTTTCCAACAATGCAGAGTTAAAGATAAAAAATTAAAAATTAAAAATAATAATAGTGACACGAGGAATACATAGTGAATAGCGAATAACAATAATAAGTAATAAATAACATGACTATACAGGGAGTACCAGTAACGAGCCGATGTGCAGGGGTACGAGGTAATTGAGGTACTGTATACAGCTGTAGGTAGGGGTAAAGTGACTAGGCAACAGGATAGATAATAGACTGAGCTGTAGCAGCAGCGTATGTGGTGTGTGTGTGAGTGTGTGGCGTCAGTATGCATGTGTGCGCATGTTATGTGTGTGTGGGCATATGTAGTGTGTGTGTGTGAGTGTGTGTGTGTAAGTATGTGTGAATGTGTGGGTAGAGTCCAGTGTTTGTGCATTGAGTCAGTGCAAGAGAGTTAGTAAAAAAAAAGAGGTCAATGTAGGTAGTCCGTGTTGCCATTTGATTAGCTATTTAGTAGCCTTGTTTAGCAGTCTTATGGCTTGGAGGTAGAAGCTGTTCAGGGTCCAGTTGGTTCCAGACTTGGTGCACTGGTACCGCTTGCCGTGCGGTAGTAGAGAGAACAGTCTATGGCTTGGGTGGCTGGAGTCTTTGAAAATGTTTTGGGCCTTCATCTGACACCACCTAATGTAGAGGTTTTGGATGGCAGGGAGATCGGCCCTAGTGATGCAGCTGTAGAACTTTTTGAGGATCTGGGGGCCCATGACAAATCTTTTCAGCTTCCTGAGGGGGAAGAGGCGCTGTCGTGCCCTCTTCACAACTGTGTGGGTGTGTGTGGCCCATTTTAATTCCTTAGTGATGTGGACACCGAGGAACTTGATGCTCTCGACCGGCTCTACTACAGCCCCATCAATGTGAATGGGGGCGTACTCCACCCTCCATTTCCTGTAGTCCACGATCAGCTCCTTTGTCATGCTGACGTTGAGGAAGAGGTTGTTGTCCTGGGACCACACTGCCAGGTCTCTGACCTCCTCTATATAGGCTGCCTCATTGTCATCGGTGATCAGTCCTACCACCGTCGTGTTGTCAACAAACTTGATGACGGTACTGAAGTCATGCACAGCCACATAGTCGTGGGTGAACAGGGAGTACAGGAGGGGACAAAGCACACACCCCTGAGGGTCCCCCGTGTTGGTGGTCAGCATGGTGGATGTTTTGGGGGATGGCCCGTCAGGAAGTCCAGGATCCAGTTGCAGAGGGCGTTGTTCAGTCCCAGGGTCCTGAGCTTAGTGATGAGCTTGGAGGGTGTATAAAGGTTAAATAAATACATATGTGTACCACCGTGTGTGTGTGTGGTCGTGTGTGTGTGTGTGTGTGGGGTGTGTGTTTGTGTGTGTGTGTGTGTTGTAGCCGACGCGTCCGGACCGTGGCTGGTTGGTGATGCCGTTTGGTAAGAACCCATGGTGGGTATATGTGGCCAGCGCCGTCCCTGCTCTTCTGGTCACCATCCTCATCTTCATGGACCAACAGATCAGCGCTGTCATCGTCAACCGCAAAGAGAACAAACTCAAGGTACAGTATGACTGCAATTAGAACACAACAGAACACAACTGCAAGCATAAACATACTTACTTACTTAGGCCTGTCACTCCCCAGGGAGCTTATGCCATCGACGACTCCTCTCCATAGCACTCTATTAATGGGGGTCATTAACATAATCGCAATAAAACACATCCATTCAACAACCATTCAATAACCATAAACACAACAGCAACACAGAAAACAAACTGAACGTTATCTCTCCCATTCTCACCTTTTCTCTCCTCCTCCAACAGAAAGGTTGTGGGTACCATCTCGACCTGTTCTGGGTGGGGATTCTGATGGCAGTGTGTTCCTTCCTGGGCCTGCCCTGGTACGTGGCTGCCACTGTCATCTCCATCGCCCACATCGACTCTCTGAAGATGGAGAGTGAGTCCAGCGCCCCAGGAGAGCAGCCCCAGTTCCTGGGAGTCAGGTAAGGAGGGGTTGGGGGGAGGGGTTAGGGGTGTGTGTGTGTGTGTGTGTGTGTGTGTGTGTGTGTGTGTGTGTGTGTGTGTGTGTGTGTGTGTGTGTGTGTGTGTGTGTGTGTGTGAGTGAGTGTGTAACAAAAGACTGTTCTGCCGAGTTGTCAGAGGAAGGAATGAAAGGAAGGCTCCACACCACGCTCTCACTTATGTATATTATCTAGTTATTTTCTGATTATCTCATTTTGCTCTTTGTAGCTTTAGAAACTGTGTGTGTTTTTTACACCTGTTTGGTCCTCTACCTGTAGGCTTTACAGACACTCCCCACCCCTTGGCTGCAACCCTTCTAATTTAGTGTACCCTGCGCACACAACCCATTCCTTGTCTCTGGCAGTGTTTGGAACTGCTGATATGCGGTCAAGAACGCTGAGTTCATCTCAGACTATTACTTTTTGGCCCTGACGGAGACATGGATCACCCCAGAGAACACTGCTACTCCAGCTGCTCTTTCTTAATCTGACTATGTTTTCTCTCATAGTCTGAGAGCATCTGGTTGTTGCGGTGGTGGCACGGGTCTAGTCATTTCTCCTAAGTGGAGATTTTCTGTTTTCTCCCTCTCTCACCTGTCCATCTCCTCATTTGAATTCCATGCTGTCACTGTCACTTGTCCACTCAAGCTTAACATTGTTGTCATGTATTGCCCACCAGGTGCCCTTAGAGAGTTCCTCAATGAGCTTGGCACCTTGATAAGATCATTTCTTTCCAACTCTTTCTTACCTCTCCTTGCCTCTTTTGACCTCACCCTTTCCCAGTCCCTTCCCACTCACAAGGCAGGCTGTTCACCTACTAATCTCACTGCAACCCCCCTCCAGGTCTCTGATCACTACTTTGTTTCCTTTTCTGTCTCCCTCTCCTCCAACCCTAGCCACTCAGCCCCTACCCAGATGGTCATGCGCCGTCACAATCTTCGCTCTCTCTCTCCCACTACTCTCTTCTCTTCTATCCTATTAATTCAATAGACTTTATTGACATGGCAAGTAAAATTACTTACATTGTCAAAGTATACATATAACAAAAATGGTGGGACCAACAGCAATAATAATAGTAGTAGTGGAAATGGGATTACCATTAACAGCAACTACAACAACAATATTAACGAGAATAACAATACATTAAAGCAATAGTAGTCGACCAATCTCAACATGACTGAGAAGACACATTACATGCTATGAAAGCCAAAACAAAACAGGAAATATTATTGACATTACATTACACTTTTCACTGGCTGTCCATCAGGTTGTGGCAGGAGGACACATATTTGGCTGCCAAAATTGCACATTTTGGCTTTTCACCCAATAAATATTTGTTTTTTTCTTCCTCTTTTATAGTTTCAAATTCTTTGTACTGAATGATAATTTTGGGAAAGAAAGATTCTCTTAGGTCTGAGTATTTGTCACAGTGTAATAGGAAATGCAGCTCTGTCTCTACCTCTCCCCGGGGGCAGAGTGAGCACAGCCTGTCCTCTCTGGGCAGCCAGGTTTGCCTGTGACGACCGGTCTCTATAGCCAGACTGTGCTCACTGAGTCTGTACCTAGTCAGTGTTTTTCTCAGTTTTCTATCAGTCACAGTGGTCAGATAGTCTGCCACCATGTACTGTCTGTTTAGAGCCAAATAGCATTGAAGTTTACTTTGATTTTTTGTGGTGTCTTTCCAATAGGTTATATATTTTTCTTTTTGCTTTGTGATGATTTGGTTGGGCCAGATTTTCTGAGTGCTGTCCTGAGGCTCTATGAGGTTGGTTTTGGTTAGTGAACTGAGCCTCAGAACCAGCTGGCTGAGGGGACTCTTCTCTTGTTTCATCTCTTGACATAGTAGAGCTGTGTGATGGAATGTTTTGGGGTCACTTGTTTTTAGATAGTTGTAAAATTTGATGGCTCTTTTTTCTATTCGAATAAGGAGGGGGTATTGGCCCAATTCTGCTCTACATGCGTTATTTTGAGTTTTTCTTTGCACTTGCAATACAGTCTTGCAAAACTCTGCATGCAGTATTTCAATTGGATGTTTGTCCCATTTGGTAAATTCAGTATTAGAGAGCGGACCCCATACTTCGCTGCCATATAGAGCAATTGGTTCTATAACTGATTGGAAAATGTTTAGCCAGATTCTAATTGGAATTTCGATTTTAATATTCCTTTTAATGGCATAGAATGCTCTTCTTGCTTTGTCTCTCAGCTCATTCACAGCCATGTGAAAGCTACCTGTGTTGCTGATATTTAGTCCTAGATATGTGTACTTTTTGGTGTGTTCTAATAGAACTGTGTCCAAATATAATTTATATTTGTCATCCTGATTTCCGGACCTTTTTTGGAATATCATTATATTCGTTTTTTTTAGATTAACGGTCAGGGCCCAGGTCTGACAGAATCTGTGCAGATGATCTAGATGCTGCTGTAACCCCTCCTTAGTGGGGGACAGTAGCACTAGGTCATCTGCGTACAGCAGACACTTGATTTCAGTGTTGTGTAGGGTGAGACCAGGTGCTGCCGATTCTTCTAATGTTTTTGCCAATTCGTTAATGTAGATGTTAAATAGTGTTGGACTTATTGGGCAGCCCTGTTTCACTCCACGTCCCTGAGAGAAGAAGTCTGTTTGCTTGTTGTTTTTAGTGTACATTGATTTAATAACATCATATGTTTTCCCTCCAATACCACTTTCTATTAGTTTGTAAAAAAGACCTTTGTGCCAAATTGAATCAAATGCTTTCTTGAAGTCTACAAAACACGAGTAGATTTTGCCTTTGTTTTGATTCACTTGTTTGTCAATTAGAGTCTGGAGGGTGTAAATGTGGTCTGTTGTACGATAATTTTTTACAAATCCAATCTGGCTTCTGCTTAGGACGTTGTGTTCATCAAGGAAATTATGTAGTCTGCTGTTTATGATACTGCAGAGAATTTTCCCCAAGTTGCTGTTAACGCAAATTCCTCTGTAATTATTTGGGTCAAATTTGTCTCCATTTTTATAAATTGGTGTGATCAATCCTTGGTTCCAAATATCGGGGAAAATACCTGCAGTTAGGATAATGTTGAAGAGTTTGAGTATAGCCAATTTGAATTTGTGGTCTGTATATTTGATCATTTCATTTAAAATACCATCAGCACCACAGGCCTTTTTGGGTTGGAGAGTGCAAAGTTTTTCCAATAATTCTTGTTCTGTAATTGGGGTATCCACAGGATTCTGATAGTCTTTGATTGCTGATTCAAGGATTTGTAATTTTTCTTGTATATCTTGTTGTTCTGGGCTCTTTGTTATATTGCTGTAGAGGTTTGCAAAGTGATTTCTCCACATATCCCCATTTTGGATAGCCAATTCCTCATGACGAGGTTTGTTTAATTTATTCCAATTCTCCCAGAAGTGGTTTGATTCTATGGATTCCTCAATCACATCCAGCTGATTTCTAATGTGCTGTTCCTTTTTTGTTCTTAGGGTGTGTTTGTATTGCTTCAGTGTTTCCCCATATTGAAGACATATATTTTTGTTGTCTGGGTCTCTGTGTTTATGATTAGATATATTTCTCAATGACTTTCGTAGATTTTTGCAATCATTATCAAACCATTTTTCATGATCTATTATTTTTGGTTTGCTCTTATGTTTCTTAAGATTAGCCAAGGGCTAATTTGTCAAATATAAAGTTTATGTTCCAAACGGCCAAATGTATACCTTCATTGGTGTAGGAGAATGTTAATGCTAAAAAGTTGTCCAGGAGAGATTGTATTTTTTGGCTACTAATTGCTTTTTGGTAGATTTCTGTACTGTTTGCACTCCATCTATAGGTCTGTTTAGTACCATGTAATTTATTGGGCTGTGATGCTTCATGGTTGGGTTCTGCTCTTTTCAGATACACTGGGATTTTACTGTGGTCAGAGAGAGGTGTTAGTGAGCTGACTGTGAAGGCTCTGAGAAACTCTGGGTTAAGGTCTGTGATGAAGTAGTCTACAGTACTGCTGCCAAGGGATGAGCTGTAGGTGTACCTACCAAAAGAGTCCCCTCTTAACCTACCATTGACTATGTACAGACCTAGTGTTCGACAGAGCTTCAGGAGCTGTACTCCATTTTAGTTTTTCACTTTGTCATAGTTGTTTCTAGGGGGGTATGTGGGGAGGGAAAGGTTGTTGCTTCCCGGTAGGTGTTTGTCCCCATGACTGTTAATAGTGTCTAGTTCTTCTGCTATTCTAGCATTCAGGTCTCCACAGACCAGCACATTGCCTTGGGCCTGAAAGTGACTAATCTCCCCCTCTAGAATGGAGAAACTCTCTTCATTGAAGTAGGGTGACTCTGAGGGGGGAATGTATGTGGCACAGAGGAAGATGTTGTTATCTGTTAAGATAGCCTCCTTGTTGATTTTTAGCCAGATAAAGAATTCTCCTGTTTTGATCAATTCGATTGAATTAGTTTGTTCAGATTTATACCATATTAGCATTCCCCCTGAGTCTCTGCCCTGTGTGATTCCTTTTAATTTGGTGGATGGTACGATTATCTCCCTATAACCTAGTGGACAGCCAGTGGAAACATCACCTCTGCACCATGTTTCCTGTAGTACTACAATATCATCAATTTCTTTAAGGAAGTCTGGGTTTCTGCTCTTTAGCCCAAAAGCAGAGGACTTCAAGCCTTGTAAATTCCAACATGCAACGTAAAAAGACTTCATAACTGTTTTTTCTTTACATTCAAAATGAGATAAACACTCACAATCCAACAAGAACTATTAAAATAGGATTTTTCAATTAAGGTAAACTCTTATTATGCAAATGTGATTTGTTTATCATTTAAGATAGTATTTGTGTCATGCCACTTGGGTGGATGTAGTGTGAGGATGGTGGAGTTATTGTGCTCATCTTACCATGACCCTCGGCCTATCACATGTGAGCATAGTAGATTCAGCATTTGTTTGATGTCACTCATTTCGTTGGTGGGAGCTGGACCAGTTGCTCCTCTCACAGCTTGTGCATAGCTCTGTCTGCCGGGCTGTGGCTCCTCCAGGTGTGGGTCTGTGGTGGGGGGGGGGGGGGGGGGGGGGGTGTTAGGCCTCGTCTGGGTGGGTCTGAAGCTGGGCTGGGGTGGTCTGTGCTGCGCTGGATGTGGTGGGCATTGAGGTTGGTGGTGCTGTGGCCTTGGCTGGGGGGTCCAGGGTACTGGTCCGGGGTGTTGTCTCGGTGATCTCGGGGGGGTGGAGATTGCTCCGCTGTTCCTGGGTGGAGAGGTTGGGATGCGGTTTAAAGCGACGTCCTTGAGAGTCTTAGCAAGGATGGGGACTGTCTCCCTGTACAGGTGAACATGGTCATAGAGACAGTCCAGATCGAGGGTGGGATGGTGGGCCAGGTGTACATTGGGTCGCAGGGCACAGTCCCGGGAGAGGCTGGCGTTTATTCTTTGGATTGTGGCAGGGTGGAAGTCCTTCCTCTGTAGAAGGGTTGACACCACGATCCTTGAGTTGGGGAAGATTGCGGAGGCCTTCTCAATCACTCCCCGTAGTGAAGTCGCCACCCTCTCCTGCTGAGCACGCAGGTCGTTGCTTCGTATGATTATGTGGCTTGGCGACCCAAGCTGGGCCTTATCAAGCAGCGCCATGGCACTCTGCGTTGTTGGGCACCACACCTTTCTCGTTTTGTGTCTAGGGAAAAGTTTATTCTCCTGAACAAACTTCCCATTTGAGTCCATCAACAGGACAATCTCAGCCAGTGGGGGTAGAGTTGGGGTCTCCCTTCTGGTAAATCCTTCTCCCTCCTGTCTCCTGACTCTGCCTCTTCGACCCTACGCTCCTCCCTTTCCGCATCCTATGACTTGCACTGTCCTATTTCCTCCCGGCCGGCTTGGCCCTCCCCTCATGCTCGTTGGCTGAGTAACTCATTTCGAGCTTACAGAAGAGGGCTGCGGGCAGCTTAGCGAAAATGGAAGAAAACAAAACTTCCGGAGGACCTGTCATCCTTTCACAATGCCAAGCGTCAGCTGGAGTGGTGTAAAGCTCGCCACCATTGGACTCTGGAGCAGTGGAATGCGTTCTCTGGAGTGATGAATAACGCTTCACCATCTGGCAGTCCGACTGACAAATCTGGGTTTGGCAGATGCCAGTAGAACGCTACCTGCCCCAATGCATAGTACCACATAGTTTCCACTGCTCCAGAGTCCAGTGGCGGCGAGCTTTACACCACTCCAGCCAACGCTTGGCATTGCGCATGGTGATCTTTGGCTTGTGTGCGGCTACTCGGCCATGGAAACCCATTTCATGAAGCTCCCGATGAACAGTACTTGTGCTGACGTTGCTTCCAGAGGCAGTTTGGAACTCGGTAGTGAGTGTTGCAACCGAGGACAGATTACTTTTACACGCTACACGCTTCAGCACTCGGTGGTCCCGTTCTGTGAGCTTATGTGTCCTACCACTTCGTGGCTGAGCCGTTGTTGCTCCTAGACATTTCCACTTCAAAATAACAGCACTTACAGTAGCAGGGCATACATTTGACGAACTGACTTGCTTGAAAGGTGGCATCCTATGACGGTGCCACGTTGAAAGTCACTGAGCTCTTCTATGACGATGCCACATCACTGAGCTCTTCAGTCAGGCCATTCTACTGCCAATGTTTGTCTATGGAGATTGCATGGCTGTGTGCTCGATTTTATATACCTGTCAGCAACAGTTGTGGCTGAAATAGCCAAATCCACTAATTTGAAGGGCTGTCCACATACTTTGGTATATATAGTGTATCTTAAGATGAATGCACTAACTGTAAGTCGCTCTGGATAAGAGCGTCTGCTAAATGACTAAAATGTAAAATCTAAATGTGTGTGTGTCTGTGTGTGAGATTGTGAGATTGTGTTATAAAGAAAACAGAGGTTGACAGTGATGTCATTTCTAACTGTGTGTGTTGTGTGTGTGTGTGTGTGGTACAGGGAACAGAGGTTGACGGGTATTCTGGTGTTTGTCCTAAATGGGGTCTCCATCTTCCTGGCTCCTGTCCTTCAGGTGAGTCAGTGAGAGAATGGGCCTCCTCGTCACATGCAGTGGGTGGTGTTGTGGAAGATTGTGTTAACCAGTATATTGTGTTCCCCCAGTACATCCCCATGCCTGTTCTCTACGGTGTCTTCCTTTACATGGGAGTGGCCTCACTCGCTGGAATACAGGTACATTTCACGTGTGTGTGTACACATCTACAGTGTGTGTGTGTGTGTGTTTACTCACCCTCCTCCTCTTTCCCTCCTAGTTCTGGGAACGTATAAAGCTGTACCTGATGCCAGCCAAGCACCAGCCAGACTTCTCCTTCCTGCGTCATGTTCCTCTGAGGAGGGTTCACCTGTTCACCCTGGTCCAGATCATCTGTCTGACTGTCCTCTGGATCCTCAAGTCTACTGTCGCCGCCATCATCTTCCCTGTCATGGTGAGAGCTGTGTGTGTTTGTGTGTGTTTGTGTGTGTGTGTGTGTGTGTGTGTGTGTGTGTGTGTGTGTGTGTGTGTGTGTGTGTGTGTGTGTGTGTGTGTGTGTGTGTGTGTGTGTGTGTGTGTGTGTGTGTGTGTGTGTGTGTGTGTGTGTGTGTGTGTGTGTGTGTGTGTGTTGCATCGATTGATGGGGATAACCTCTGTGTGTAGATCCTGGGTCTGATGGTGGTGCGTAAGATGATGGACCTGATGTTCTCTCAACACGACCTGGCCTGGCTGGACGACATCCTGCCGGAGAAAGACAAGAAGAAGGAGAAAGGGGGGAAGAAAAAGAAAGACAACAAAAAGACCAAAGCAGCAGAGCCAGAGAGCGACGAGGAGGTAAGAGACGAGGATTAGCAGAAACACACACACAGTGCCAGGCTGACAGTGGCAGAAGGATGTAATGTGAGTGTGTTGTGGTGTGCAGGACTGGCTCCATCTGTTGTGTTGAGTGTGTTATCTCTGACTAATATGTTTCTCCTTTCTCCTTTCTCTGTCCCACAGTGTTGCTGAAAAGGCACTGTAAAACACTTACTACTGTCTGTCTATCTGTCTCAAAGTCTGTCTGTCTCGCTGTCTGTCTGTCTGCCTGTCTCGATGTATGTCTGTCTCGATGTCTGTCTGTCTCGTTGTCTGTCTGTCTGTCTTGATGTCTTTCTCCTTCCAACTTTCACCTGCATGATTCAAACCTCTCTGTGTTTAATTGCACCATTTACTGTTTACGCTGTATCCTGTGCATATGATGAATAAACTTTAATTTGATTTTATGATTGGGACGTTTTGCTTAGATTTAAGCATGCAGAGTGTGTGAGAGTGTGCGTTCATGTCCACTTATATTTGGGGCATCATCCCTCACACCTCTGTTGAGCCACTCCCCTGACGGTTCCTCCTGCATGCTGATTGGTTCCCCCCGGTTCCCCCCTCTGTCACTCAGCCCAAGACTCCCCTCCCTCCTCCAGTGAAGATACCCATGGACACCATAGACCTGCCTACAGACCCTGACCCCTTTGTAACCCCACCCACCCAGCCCCCCATCTCTGACTGTGAGTAAACCTCTCTTTTGAGATTGACCAAAGGAGTGAGGACTGTTGTGTGTATTACTGTGATATCATTGTTGTGCGACAGATGGAGAAGCTAGATGTATGTTATGATGTTGTGAGACACTGAAGGTTTGATTCTTTTTTTGTCTTCCTTCTCTCCTCCCTCACCGATTCTTCACTCTGCCATTCAACCCCTCCTATCTGTGTGTGTGTGTGTGTCTGTGCATATGTGTGTGTGTGTACAGGAGAAGAACGTTTACTCTAGTGTGAATCCTGATGACAGTGAGCTGGACCGCAGGTACTGTGTGCTCAAACTGCACGTCCCCTACAGTGACCTGATACAACCCCCCGTCACACACACCGACTGGGGAGTACACTGCCAGCAGGACCACAACTACGACTACTGACACACACACGCACACACACACACACATACTTACTATGCCTTCTGTACAATTACTGACACATGCTATGAACTATTTAGCAAAGTTCCATTTACTATTAGCATTCTTTAGCACTGTTGTCACCTAAAACACTTTATACACATTGAATTTCATATAAATATATACAAATATTCTATAAATTGTAGATATGATGTGATATTTAACATGTAACCATATGTCTATTAGATTGTTGGATAGTAGTTAGTCGGCCTGCCGTTGTATTATAAGTGTGTTATGCAACTCTTAAACATTGTACAAATCACTGTAGTGGCTGGTAGACATATCCAGACACATGGATCTGAAGCTGTTGGAGCATAGATCGCAGTGTGTGAACTGAGTCTTCTTTTCGCTCAACATATTCTCTGAGCTCCAGCACCTGCTCAAAGTCACTGGATGTTGTGTGTGTAATGTTTTTCTCTGTAGATGTGTTTGTGAGGGCGGACTGACAGTGGTTCAAATACCACAGCCCATGCACCTGAAAGCAATGCAGAAGTAGTTTTTGTGTGTTTGTTTGTTTTGATGATGTCTTCCATGTGTTATTTATTTACTGTGTGTTGTGTGGTTTGTGGCAGCAACCTCTGTTGTACTAATGTAAAGACTACTCTGAAGGCACAGTTTGCGAAGGAAGAGTTGTAATGTTATAGTAATACAATATTATTATTATTTTTTTAAATTTATTTTACCCCCTTTTTCTCCCCAATTTCGTGATATCCAATTGCGATCCAATTACGATCTTGTCTCATCGCTGCAACTCCCCAACGGGCTCGGGAGAGGGGAAGGTCGAGTCATGCGTCCTCCGAAACATGACCCGCCAAACCGCGCTTCTTAACACCCGCCCACTTAACCCGGAAGCCAGCTGCACCAATGTGTCGGAGGAAGCACCGTTCAACTGACGACCGAAGTCAGCCTGCAGGCGCCCGGCCCGCCACAAGGAGTCGCTAGAGCGCAATGAGCCAAGTAAAGCCTCCCGGGCCAAACCCTCCCCTAACCCGGACAACGCTGGGCCAATTGTGCGCCGCCCTATGGGACTCAGCCTGGGCACAGCCTGGGATCGAACCCGGGTCTGTAGTGACGCCTCAAGCACTGCGATGCAGTGCCTTAGACTGCTGCGCCACTCGGGAGGCAGTAATACAATAATATAATACAATGTTATTCTGACATCTGAGGGACGGTGGTTGTCATGGGTTCATTGGAGACACTATTCAGACCTGATAATTTACTATTTTAATATTTTGGAATTATAAGACTTCTCTGATCTACAATGGGTCAGTCATCCTCTCCCTTGTCAGTCCCAGCTGGTTTTGTCAGCCACTGCTCTCTCAACACAAGTGAATGCTGGACCCATGTGTTTGTCTGGGACAGTCAACCCCTGAGAAATACGGAAATAGGTATTTGGTTACCGGTACATGTAGGTCATGAACCTGCTGTAGTACAGTAGGTCTAGTCTGTTAACAAATCATGGGACTTTTCATTGTTTCTTTTGTTAAATACAGAACAAAATTTCCTACCCCCACAGAGAGTTCTTCGTCCTCCAGATAACATTGTGATGTATCTTCTAATACTCTCTGTTTTGAGCTTATGTCTGTCTGGGAGACCTGTCTCACGCAGTTTCACCTCACCCCACAACCCAATCCGTTTACTTTTTGTCACCGTTCAAACTCACATCCTCCTACAAACATTTCTAACTACCCCATTGCCTTTTTCTTCTCCCGTTCTCTGTATGTGTCTGTATGTACGCACGTGTTCTCTCTGTGTGTGTCTGTATGTACGCACGTGTTCTCTCTGTGTGTGTCTGTATGCACGCACATGTTCTCTCTGTGTGTGTCTGTATGCACGCACGTGTTCTCTCTGTGTGTCTGTATGTACGCACATGTTCTCTCTGTGTGTGTCTGTATGCACGCACGTGTTCTCTCTGTGTGTCTGTATGCACGCACATGTTCTCTCTGTGTGTCTGTATGTACGCACATGTTCTCTCTGTGTGTGTCTGTATGCACGCACGTGTTCGTGCATATGTGTGTGTTTTCCAGTTTGTAGTAATGTGTGCTCTTGCTCTTGTCAGTCAACACATTCTTGTCTGCATTGCTGTTCAGGGAGTATGGTTGAGAAGTGTGAAACTATGTCTGTGCTAGTGAGAGTGCATGTGTGTGTATGTAACCTGGGCTGTTGCACCTGACTGTTCCTCCCTCCCTCAGAATCACTCTGCACCTGAAGATCTGCCCCCCCTCACCTGCCCACTCCCAGGTGAGCCTTATCCCCGGATCATCATCACGCCCTCCAGTTTCCCCGTTTGCCATCCAGGTGGAGTCTGAATACAAGGAGACTGACCTCTACCCACGGGGTCACGACCTTTACCCCAGCATTAACCCCTGCCCTCTGAATGGCCGCTACCTTACCTCTAAGACTCAACGAGACCAGTACCAATACAAACACCCACACTCTCATCCCTATGATGTAGGCAGTGAAACCTTGCTGTAGGTTGACAGCACATAGACACACAGACACATATAACCAGTTGTGCAATCCTCAAAACTATACAAGATTATAGTTTATCTCCAGTTAAATTAATAAGAATTGGCATTTAACCTGAGGTACCTGTTAGTTATTATAAGAAGTATTATACAATAACTTTTATATATTCAGTACCCCCCATTACACCAATTTAGTACAAAAAAAGAAACTACAACAAATATATTAATTACCTGACTGCAAATTGATCTGTACAATTATTAAAAATGAAGAAAAAATATAGAAACGAGAGCGTTGTGATAATAATGGTTTTAAAATGACTGATGCATTTATTAGGTATTTGGTTTTCAGTGCATTCACCTTTATGATTATATGTGTATAAATGACTGTTGGAGAAAGTGAGATATTAATATCAGAGTATATTTACTTTGGATTGTACAGATTTACAAATGCATGTTAATAAAATAGTATTCAAAAACCTTGTTGTCTGAAGTTTGTGTGAAAGCTTTTATCCTGGAGCATTTATCCTTTAACATGTAAACAACCTAACTTCATGTTTTTCAGGAAAAAATAACAACCTTTTAACTAGCTGATAAAGAAATGTGTGAGTAAGATATGACTAAAATGTCACACCCTCAGTTAAACTAATAATGTATGACTATTAGTAGACTAGAGCTTAGAGAGTTAATCATATGTGTTTATATAAGATGCATATTTGCCCAGCAACAGAGTATTTGTGTCTTGTAATTAGGCAAGCAGAAGTGCAAAACGTTGAAACCAATAACAGGAGAACGGTTTCAAAAACAGATGTCCCCACACAGGGAAGGGGAGTGAGAGGCTTGCAGAATATTGTGAGAACAGCAATAACTATGTATGGGAATAGAGAAAAAAATGCAGCCTGCACTAGCAAGGAGTAGGTTATGATAAGAGTGTGTGTGTGTGTGTGTGTGTGTGTGTGTGTGTGTGTGTGTGTGTGTGTGTGTGTGTGTGTGTGTGTGTGTGTGTGTGTGTGTGTGTGTGTGTGTGTGTGTGTGTGTGTGTGTGTGTGTGTGTGTATAAAAAGACTGTGCGCCCATTTTGTGGCAGAGCGCTCTCTGAATAAATACTGATCATTGTATGTTGGGACTCTGTCTGATTTATTGAACTGGAGCTTTTACAACCTTCAGGACTCAGACAGAGATATAAAATAGTTCAGTTTGAACATTGAGATACAAAATTCTCGTGACACTAGCATACAAGCAAAGATCATACAAAATCTTTAAAAACGTTGGATCCTGCTCTTCCTGATGGGCCGACCCAAGGTGGTGACCCCAGGTGGTGACCCTAGGTGGTGAGGATAGGCAACATCACCTCCACCACACTGACCCTTAACACAGGGGCCCCACAGGGGTGTGTGCTTAGTCCCTGTTCACCCACGACTGTGTGGCCACACACTACTCCAACAGCATTATCAAGTTCGCTGACGACACGACGGTGTAAGGCCTGATCACCGGCGACGATGAGTCAGCCTACAGGGAGGAGGTCAGTGACCTGGCAGTGTGGTGAAGCAGCAACAACCTCTCCCACAATGTCAGCAAGACCAAGGAGCTGATTGTGGACTACAGGAAGTGGAGGGGCGAGCACGCCCCCATCCATATCAACGGGGCGGAAGTGGAGCAGGTAGACAGCTTCAAGTTCCTCGGTGTCCAAATAACTAAAGACTTAAAATGGTCCAAACACACACACGCTCAGTCGTGAAGAAGGTGCGACAGTGCCTCTTCCCCCTCAGGAGGTTGAAAAGGTTTGGCATGGTGTCAGGTGTCAGTGTGCAGCGGTAGGACGGAGTCAGGTGCAGGACACAGAACTGAGTAACAGACAAACTTTACTCGAAAATAAACAATCTAATTTCCATGCAGGGAAATAAACCAGCTCACAGCAGTCATAAACACCAAAACAAAGAACAATCACGCACAAAACCATTAGGAAACCAGTGGGTTAAATAGGGAAATAATCATAACATGATGGGAACCAGGTGTGTACAAACAAGACAAAACAAATGGAAAACAGAAACGTAGATCTGTGGCAGCTAGAAGGCCGGTGACGACGACCGCCGATAGCCGCCCGCACAAGGAGAGGCACCAACTTCGTCGGAAGTCGTGACAGTACCCCCCCCCCCCCCCTTGACGCGCGGCTCCAGCAGTGCGCCGACCCCGGCCTCGGGGATGACCCGGAGGACGAGACGCAGGACGGTCAGCCTGACCACAGGTTAGTGGAGGAGTGGCGGAGGGAGTTCTGGGCCATCTCTGCCCAGGGGATGAAAGCCGCCAACTCCCCCGGCCGGTCCTGGCAATAGGACCGCAGAAACATACCCACATCCTGGTTAACTCTCTCCACCTGCCCATTACTCTCGGGGTGAAACCCTGAGGTCAGGCTGACCGAGACCCCCAGACATTCCATGAAGCCCTCCAGACCCTCGATGTGAACTGGGGACCCCGATCAGACACTATATCCTCAGGCACCCCGTAGTGCCGGAAGACATGTGTAAACAGAGCCTCCGCAGTCTGTAGGGCCGTAGGGAGAACTGGCAAAGGAAGGAGACCGCAGGACTTAGAAAACCGATCCACAACGACCAGGATCGTGGTGTTTCCTTGTGATGGAGGAAGATCCGTCACGAAATCCACCGATAGGTGGGACCACGGCCGTTGTGGAACGGGTAGGGGTTGTAATATCCCTCTGGGCAGGTGTCTAGGTGCCTTGCACTGAGCGCACACCGAGCAGGAGGAAACATAAACCCTCACGTCCTTAGCTAAAGTGGGCCACCAGTACTTCCCACTAAGAGAGCGCACTGTCCGAACGATGCCAGGATGACCAGAGGAGGGTGACGTGTGGGCCCAACAGATCAGTCGATCATGGACATCAGACGGAACGTACATATGCCAAACTGGAGACTGGGTGGGAGTGGGCTCCGTACGTAACGCCCGCCTGATGTCCGCGTCAACCTCCCATACCACCGGTGCCACCAGGCAAGAAGCCGGAAGTATGGGAGTGGGATCCGTGGACCGCTCCTCTGTGTCATACATCCGGGACAGAGCTTCTACCTTAGCGTTCTGGGAACCTGGTCTGTAAGATAGGGTGAAAACAAAACGGGTGAAAAACATGGCCCACCTTGCCTGGCGAGGGTTCAGTCTCCTCGCCACCCGGATGTACAGTGAGGGAAAAAAGTATTTGATCCCCTGCTGATTTTGTACGTTTGCCCACTGACAAAGAAATTATCAGTCTATAATTTTAATGGTAGGTTTATTTGAACAGTGAGAGACAGAATAACAACAACAACATCCAGGAAAATGCATGTCAAAAATGTTATGAATTGATTTGCATTTTAATGAGGGAAATAAGTATTTGACCCCTCTGCAAAACATGACTTTGTACTTGGTGGCAAAACCCTTGTTGGCAATCACAGAGGTCAGACGTTTCTTGTAGTTGGCCACCAGGTTTGCACACATCTCAGGAGGGATTTTGTCCCACTCCTCTTTGCAGATCTTCTCCAAGTCATAAATGTTTCGAGACTGACGTTTGGCAACTCGAACCTTCAGCTCCCTCCACAGATTTTCTATGGGATTAAGGTCTGGAGACTGGCTAGGCCACTCCAGGACCTTAATGTGCTTCTTCTTGAGCCACTCCTTTGTTGCTTTGGCCGTGTGTTTTGGGTCATTGTCATGCTGGAATACCCATCCACGACCCATTTTCAATGCCCTGGCTGAGGGAAGGAGGTTCTCACCCAAGATTTGACGGTACATGGCCCCATCCATCGTCCCTTTGATGTGGTGAAGTTGTCCTGTCCCCTTAGCAGAAAAACACCCCCAAAGCATAATGTTTCCACCTCCATGTTTGATGGTGGGGATGGTGTTCTTGGGGTCATAGGCAGCATTCCTCCTCCTCCAAACACGGCAAGTTGAGTTGATAACAAAGAGCTCCATTTTGGTCTCATCTGACCACAACATTTTCACCAAGTTCTCCTCTGAATCATTCAGATGTTCATTGGCAAACTTAAGACAGGCCTGTATATGTGCTTTCTTGAGCAGGAGGACCTTGCGGGCACTGCAGGATGTCAGTCCTTCACGGCGTAGTGTGTTACCAATTGTTTTCTTGGTGACTATGGTCCCAGCTGCCTTGAGATCATTGACAAGATCCTCCCGTGTAGTTCTGGGCTGATTCCTCACCGTTCTCATGATCATTGCAACTCCACGAGGTGAGATCTTGCATGGAGCCCCAGGCCGAGGGAGATTGACAGTTATTTTGTGTTTCTTCCATTTGCGAATAATCGCACCAACTGTTGTCACCTTCTCACCAAGCTGCTTGGCGATGGTCTTGTAGCCCATTCCAGTCTTGTGTAGGTATATAATCTTGTCCCTGCCATCCTAGGAGAGCTCTTTGGTGTTGGCCATGGTGGAGAGTTTGGAATCTGATTGATTGATTACTTCTGTGGACAGGTGTCATTTATACAGGTAACAAACTGAGATTAGGAGCACTCCCTTTAAGAGTGTGCTCCTAATCTCAGCTCGTTACCTGTATAAAAGACACCTGGGAGCCAGAAATCTTTCTGATTTAGAGGGGGTCAAATACTTATTTCCCTCATTAAAATGCAAATCAATTTATAACATTTTTTACATCAGTTTTTCTGGATTTTTTTTTTTTCTTCTGTCTCTCACTGTTCAAATAAACCTACCATTAAAATTATAGACTGATCATTTCTTTGTCAGTGGGCAAACGTACAAAATCAGCAGGGGATCAAATACTTTTTTCCCTCACTGTACTCCAGATTGCGGTGGTCAGTCCAAATGAGGAAAGGGTGTTTAGCCCCCTCAAGCCAATGTCTCCATGCCTTCAGAGCCTTGACAACAGCTAACAGCTCCCGGTCCGCCACATCATAGTTTCGCTCCGCCAGGCTGAGCTTCTTCGAAAATAAGGCACAGGGGCTGAGCTTTGGTAGCGTACCCGAGCCCTGAGACAGCACAGCTCCTAGCCCAGCCTCGGACGCGTCCACCTCTACTATGAATGCCAAGGAGGGATCAGGATGAGCCAGTACGGGAGCCGAGGTAAACAGAGCCTTCAGGTGACCAAAAGCCCTCTCCGCCCCAGCTGACCACTGCAGTCGCACCGGTCCCCCCTTCAGCAAGGAGGTAATGGGAGCCGCTACCTGACCAAAGCCCCGGATAAACCTCCGGTAGTAGTTGGCAAACCCTAAGAACCGCTGCACCTCCTTTACCGTGATTGGAGTCGGCCAATTACGCACGGCTGAAAAGCGGTCATTTTCCATCTCCACCCCCGACGCGGACAGGCGGTACCCTAGGAAGGAGACGGACTGTTGGAAGAACAGACATTTCTCAGCCTTGACGTACAGGTCATGCTCCAACAGTCGACCAAGCACCTTGCGCACCAGGGACACATGCTCGGCGCGTGTAGCGGAGTATATTAGAATGTAATCTATATACACCACTACACCCTGCCCGTGCAGGTCCCTGAAAATCTCGTCTACAAAGGATTGGAAGACTGATGGAGCATTCATCAACCCTTATGGCATGACGAGATACTCATAGTGCCCAGAGGTGGTACTAAATGCCGTCTTCCACTCATCCCCCTCCCGGATACGTACCAGGTTGTACGCGCTCCTGAGATCCAATTTGGTGAAGAAGCGCGCCCCGTGCAATGACTCGGTCACACTGGCTATGAGAGGCAGCGGGTAACTGTACTTCACCGTGATCTGATTTATACCTCGATAGTCAATGCACGGGCGTAAACCTCCATCCTTCTTCTTCACAAAAAAGAAACTTGATGAGGCAGGTGAAGTGGAAGGCCGAATGTATCCCTGTCCCAGAGATTCGGAGACATATGTTTCCATAGCCGCCGTCTCCTCCTGTGACAGAGGATACACGTGACTCCTGGGAAGTGCTGCGTCTACCTGAAGATTTATCGCACAATCCCCCCGTCGATGGGGTGGTAATTGAGTCGCCTTCTTCTCAGAAGGTGAGAGCCAAATCGGCATATTTGGGGGGGGGGGGGGGGGGGGGGGGTGCATGGTGGAGACCTGGTTTGGACTCTCCACCGAAGTTGCACCTATGGAAACACCTACACACCTCCCTGAGCACTGACGTGACCATCCCTTCAGAGCCCTCTGTTGCCACGAAATAGTGGGGTCATGATAGGCCAACCAGGGAAGCCCCAACACCACAGGAAACGCAGGAGAATCAATCAGGAAAAGACTAATACTCTCCTCATGACCCTCCTGCGTTATCATACATAGTGGAGCTGTGACCTCCCTAATCAGACCCGACCCTAAAGGACGACTATCTAAGGCATGTACAGGAAAGGGCACATCAACTGGAACAATAGGGATCCCTAATCTAAGTGCAAAGGAACGGTCAATAAAGTTCCCAGCTGCGCCTGAATCTACTAGCGCCTTATGCTGGGAATGCGGGGAAAACTCAGGAAACTCTATACAGACACACATGTGCGCAACAGGGAGCTCTGGGTGAGTCGGGTGCCTACTCACCTGGGATGATCCACCAGTGCCCTGCCTGCTGCCTCGACTCCCTGGGGAACCTCCCCAGCACCGACCAGCAGTGTGCCCTCTGCGGCCACAGGTGGTGCAGGAAACGGCCCCCCCTCCAGGCACCCTTAGAGCAGCACCTCCGAGCTCCATAGGTGTGGACTCGGAGGTGCTGGGGGATGGAACGGATGGACCCCAATCCGAGCGTCCGCAGGTGGCCAACAGGTTATCCAGCCGGATGGATAAATCCACCAGCTGGTCGAGGGTAAGGGTGGTGTGAAGTCCTGTGCGCTCCTCTTCTCCTGTCTGAGATGGAACAAGCGTTCCCCCGCCGCTCTTCCCTCAGGCGGATGATCGAAGACCACCCGGAAGCGGCGGGTGAAATCCTCGTAGCGAACCAACGTTGTGTCTATCCCTCCCCATTCAGCATTGGCCCACTCCAGTGCTTTCCCCGACAAACAGGAGATGAGGGCGGACACTCTCTCGTATTCCGAGGGAGCCGGTGGACGGTCGCCAGGTAGAGCTCCACCTGGAGCAGGAACCCCTGGCACCCGGCAGCCGTCCCCTCATAGGCCTTCGGGAGCGAGAGCCGAATCCCACTGGGTCCAGGTGACGGAGGGGTGGACAGCGGTGTGGTTTGAGGTGAAGTTGATGGGTGTGTGGGAAAACCCTCTCTCTCCCATCGCTCCATGGTGTGCAGCACACGATCCATGGCTGTGCCCAGATTGTGGAGCATCGTCGTGTGCTGCTGGACGCGCTCCTCCACCGGCAATGGAGGACTGGGTGCACCTGCTGACTCCATATGAGGTGCATGATTCTGTCAGGTGTCAGTGTGCAGCAGTAGGACGGAGTCAGGCGTAGGACACAGAACTGAGTAACAGACAAACTTTACTCGAAAAGAAACAATCTAATTTCCACGCAGGGAAATAAACCAGCTCACAGCAGTCATAAACACCAAAACAAAGAACAATCACACACAAAACGTTGAGGAAACCAGAGGTTTAAATAGGGAAATAATCATAACGTGATGGGAACCAGGTGTGTACAAACAAGACAAAACAAATGGAAAACAGAAACGTAGATCGGTGGCAGCTAGAAGGCCGGTGACGACGACCGCCAATAGCCGCCCGCACAAGGAGAGGCACCAACTACGGCGGAAGTCGTGACACATGGGCCCTCAAATCCTGAAAAGGTTCTACAGCTGTACCATTGAGAGCATATTGACGGGCTGCATCACTGATTGGTATGGCAATAGCACCGCCCTCGATAGCATGGCGCGACAGAGGGTTGTGCGGACAGCCCAGTACATCACTGGGGCCGAGCTCCCTGCTATCCAGGACCTCTATATCAGGCAGTGGGAAAATAATATACTATTTTCTCTGCTGCCGCATGACAAGAGGTACCGATGCATCAAGTCTGACACCAACAGGCTCTTGAACAGCTTCTATCCCCAAGCAATACGACTGATAAATAGCTAACAAAATAGCTACACAGACCGAGTTTACTTTGTAACTTTATTGACCTTTTATTTCAGTATTTGCACTGTCTCTATGCACACTCACAGGGTCCTACACACTCACTGTCACTCCAATACACACACAAACACTCACTCCATCATTTTCTCGCTCACACATAATATGCACATGCATTTATACTGACTCTACACACCCGCACACCCACTCACATGCAAGCTGCTGCTACTCTGTCTATCTTATATGCTGTTGCCTAGTCCCCTTATCCCTATACATATCTACCTCCATCACTCCAGTATCCCTGCACATGTAAATATGGTTTTTAAATATTTCCTGTATATAGTATGCTTACTTACTTTATGGTACATTTAATATTTCTTATTTCTTGTATGCTTTTTTCTAGTAATACATTGTTATTGATTATTGCATTGTTGGGTTTTGAGTTTGCAAGAAAGGCATTTCACTGTACTTATGGATGTGACATTAAAACTTGAAACTTGAGCTCTGTGAGACGTTCATAGCGATGGGGGCAGACGTTTTGATCAAGAGAGACCTTTAGAAAATATGCACATTTTCTCTAACATTAAACATACCAATATGTATTTTAGAGTTATAAGGAAGGTGAAATCTTATAGTTAGTCGTTAACTAGTCTGCATCGTGGAAATCCCAGAAGGCAAAAAACATTTAATGACGTCAATGGCGGATGACGTCATTGTCCTATTACATTACACTCCCTTCTGATTTGCCAGAAATCGTCCCTATTTCCGGTTTGTGATCCAAACACTTATCCGTTTTGAGCCGAAACAACTGTAGCCAGACTGATCGATAGACGACAACAACCATCATGGGAGAAATGGCAGAATTCACGGATAAATTTAGCTCTTTCACCATGACGCAGTTAAACGAGTTGCTTGAAGACGATGAAAAGTTAAATTCTATTGTCAAAGAAATGGACGAGGTAAGTTCCCATTGTGGTTTGCGAGCTAACGTTAGCTGGCTATCCCTAGTAACGCTAGTTAGCATCAAAATATATAGCTAGCTGTGCGCTTATGACTGTCGTCAGGCAGTCAACTCCCTTCTAGATGCAAAAAAATTGGCATTGAGCAAGCTCATCAACATCCACCTCATTGCCACAGCTGAGAAGCTTGCTCCTTGTACTGTACTCAACATTGGCACCTGTTTTGTGGATGCTCATGCTGTTTCCATATTTTTATTGTCGAATCAGTTTCGACAAAACCCTGTTTGTGTACAAATGCCATAAATGGCATTGGCATTAGGCCACGAATGCCATATGATTCCCATTATTGCATAAGTAATGGACACACCCGGGTTTAGGAACAGATTTGAAAGGATCTGGTTTGTTTTGTTTCCTGTTCTATGGACAGGATCCACACAAGACAGCCAGTCATCAGCTATGTGGAAGGTGTTAAAAGTTGGGAGAGGTTTTCCTATTGACTAACCTAGGCGGAGGAGTCCATACTCCAGTGCAGCGCACCTCTTTAGTCAACGTTCTGATGCATTGAGCACACACAGCATCGCACATATTATTACAAGGTCAATGCTTAACCAAGAAACACCTTTAACAGCCTATTGACATCTGGTTATATGATGTCAGTGTTGTTTTCAGATACAGTACCAGTCAAAAGTTTGGACACACCTACTCATTCCAGGTTTTTTTTAATTTATTTTTTTATGTTCTACATTGTAGAATAATAGTGAAGACATCAAAACTATGAAATAACACATATGGAATCATGTAGTAACGAAAAAAGTGTTAAACAAATCAAAATATACTTTATATTTGAGATTCTTCAAATAGCCACCCTTTGCCTTGATGACAGTATTGAAAATGTATGCACTCACTAACTGTAAGTCGCTCTGGATAAGAGCGTCTGCTAAATGACTCAAATGTAAATGTAAAAAAAATGACAGCTTTGCACACTCTTGGCATTCTCTCAACCAGCTTCATGAGGTAGTCACCTGGAATGCATTTCAATTAACAGGTGTGCCTTCTTAAAAGTGAATTTGTGGAATTTCTTTCCTTCTTAATGCGTTTGATCCAATCAGTTGTGTTGTGACAAGGGGGGGGGGGGGGGGGGGGGGGTGGGGGTATACAGAAGATAGCCCTATTTTGGTAAAGTCCATATTGTGGCAAGAACAGCTCAAATAAGCTAAGAGAAACAACAGTCCATCATTACTTTAAGACATGAAGGTCAGTCAATACGGAAAATTGCAAGAACTTTGAAAGTATCTTCAAGTGCAGTCGCAAAAACCATCAAGCGCTATGATGAAACTGGCTCTCATGAGGACCGCCACAGGAAAGGAAGACCCAGAGTTACCTCTGCTGCAGAGGATAAGTTCATTAGTTACCAGCCTCAGAAATTGCAGCCCAAATAAATGTTTCACAGAGTTCAAGTAACAGACACATCAACATCAACTGTTCAGAGGAGACTGTGTGAATCAGTCCTCCATGGTCGAATTGCTGCAAATAAATCACTACTAAAGTGGTGGTCCCATGTAGCTCAGTTGGTAGAGCATGGCGCTTGCAACGCCAGGGTTGTGGGTTCGTTTCCCACGGGGGGCCAGTATGAAAATGTATGCACTCACTAACTGTAAGTCGCTCTGGATAAGAGCGTCTGCTAAATGACTAAAATGTAAATGTAAAAATGTAAAGGACACCAATAATAAGAAGAGACTTGCTTGGGCCAAGAAACACAAGCAATGGACATTAGACCAGTGGAAATGTGTCCTTTGGTCTGGAGTCCAAATTTGAGATTTTTGCAGACATTCTCATTATGTAATTATTTGTAAGTAATCAATGTAAGTAATCAACATTTGAAGCATATTTGTTGGACAATTGCTCTTTTGGATGGTAATTTCAGAGAATTCAGTATGTAAAAATGTAACTTTAATTTCCCCGCTGTAAAACAGTATATCGGCAGTCGGCAGATGTATCGGTAAGTTTTGGCCCCCCAAGAATCGGTAATGGTCCCAAAAAAACATTGGTTTCACTGCCCTCAGAGCGATAAGAGCTCTCCTTTCTGCTGTGGCATTCTGTAGATATAATAGCCTATGGGTTATCTGTCTATTACAGGTATTTAAAATGTGTTTGTAGGTTTGGTGAAGGGGATTATAAAGGTATGGTGTAATAGGTGTCCTCCATAAGAATATAGTCATATTTAATCTCCAGATGTTAGGTTTTGAGCTGGTTTATCCCTGACCTATAGGCCTACCCTACACACCACAGTCTGGGGGTGGGTTAGTCTCTCTGACTGCTTGTATTGTCTGTCTCAAGTACTAACTCACTTTCCTTCTCCCTCTCTCTCTTCCTTTGTGTGTGTGTGTGTTAGATGTGTGAGGTGCAGCAGGTGAAGGAGCTGACCCTGGTCAGTAACATCAGTCTGGCAGAACAGAACCTCCAACTGCAGCCCAGTCTGGACCTTCAGAAGAACCAGCTCACCTCACGCTACCGCCACCTACAGGAGCTCTACGATAACTACCAGCTACGCAAGTCCACACTCTGTAAGACCCCTAACAGGTCCACACCACCAAGTCCACACATTGTAAGAACCATAGTTAGTCCACACTACCAAGTCCACACTCTGTAAGACCCCTAACAGGTCCACACCACCAAGTCCACACATTGTAAGAACCATAGTTAGTCCACACTACCAAGTCCACACTCTGTAAGACCCCTAACAGGTCCACACATTGTAAGAACCATAGTTAGTCCACACTACCAAGTCCACACACTGAAAGATCCATAGCTAGTCCACACTACCAAGTCTACACTCTGTAAGAGTGCTAGCAAGTCCACACTCTGTAAGAGCCCTAGCTAGTCCACACTCAATGATACACCTAGCTAGTCCACACTACTAAGGACAGTGTGCCTGTATACCAGTCTCTTTCTGTCTACATCTCACTCAGTGCACTCTGCTATCTGAAAGACCAGTCTTTCTCTCTCTGTGTTGGTAGCTGACTGTTCTCTACATGTCTAGCTGGTCTAGCCAGTTCAGTCACTTGTTGTTCCTAGTACTGGTCCTCTGTCAGTCGGGTTGTTACTAGATACTGGTCCTCTGTCAGTCGGGTTGTTACTATATACTGGTCCTCTGTCAGTCGGGTTGTTACTAGATACTGGTCCTCTGTCAGTCGGGTTGTTACTAGATATTGGTCCTCTGTCAGTCGGGTTGTTACTAAATACTGGTCCTCTGTCAGTCGGGTTGTTACTAGATACTGGTCCTCTGTCAGTCGGGTTGTTACTAGATATTGGTCCTCTGTCAGTCGGGTTGTTACTATATACTGGTCCTCTGTCAGTCGGGTTGTTACTAGATACTGGTCCTCTGTCAGTCGGGTTGTTACTATATACTGGTCCTCTGTCAGTTGTGTTGTTACTATATACTGGTCCTCTGTCAGTCGGGTTGTTACTAGATACTGGTCCTCTGTCAGTCGGGTTGTTACTATATACTGGTCCTCTGTCAGTCGGGTTGTTACTATATACTGGTCCTCTGTCAGTCGGGTTGTTACTAGATACTGGTCCTCTGTCAGTCGGGTTGTTACTATATACTGGTCCTCTGTCAGTCGGGTTGTTACTATATACTGGTCCTCTGTCAGTCGGGTTGTTAATACAGTGGGGGAAAAAGTATTTAGTCAGCCACCAATTGTGCAAGTTCTCCCACTTAAAAAGATGAGAGGCCTGTAATTTTCATCATAGGTACACATCAACTATGACAGACAAATTGAGAGAAAAAAAATCCTGAAAATCACATTGTAGGATTTTTAATGAATTTATTTGCAAATTATGGTGGAAAATAAGTATTTGGTCACCTACAAACAAGCAAGATTTCTGGCTCTCACAGACCTGTAACTTCTTCTTTAAGAGGCTCCTCTGTCCTCCACTCGTTACCTGTATTAATGGCACCTGTTTGAACTTGTTATCAGTATAAAAGACACCTGTCCACAACCTCAAACAGTCACACTCCAAACTCCACTATGGCCAAGACCAAAGAGCTGTCAAAGGACACCAGAAACAAAATTGTAGACCTGCACCAGGCTGGGAAGACTGAATCTGCAATAGGTAAGCAGCTTGGTTTGAAGAAATCAACTGTGGGAGCAATTATAAGGAAATGGAAGACATACAAGACCACTGATAATCTCCCTCGATCTGGGGCTCCACACAAGATCTCACCCCGTGGGGTCAAAATGATCACAAGAACGGTGAGCAAAAATCCCAGAACCACACGGGGGGACCTAGTGAATGACCTGCAGAGAGCTGGGACCAAAGTAACAAAGCCTACCATCAGTAACACACTACGCCGCCAGGGACTCAAATCCTGCAGTGCCAGGCGTGTCCCCCTGCTTAAGCCAGTACATGTCCAGGCCCGTCTGAAGTTTGCTAGAGTGCATTTGGATGATCCAGAAGAGGATTGGGTGAATGTCATATGGTCAGATGAAACCAAAATATAACTTTTTGGTAAAAACTCAACTCGTCGTGTTTGGAGGACAAAGAATGCTGAGTTGCATCCAAAGAACACCATACCTACTGTGAAGCATGGGGGTGGAAACATCATGCTTTGGGGCTGTTTTTCTGCAAAGGGACCAGGACGACTGATCCGTGTAAAGTAAAGAATGAATGGGGCCATGTATCGTGAGATTTTGAGTGAAAACCTCCTTCCATCAGCAAGGGCATTGAAGATGAAACGTGGCTGGGTCTTTCAGCATGACAATGATCCCAAACACACCGCCCGGGCAACGAAGGAGTGGCTTCGTAAGAAGCATTTCAAGGTCCTGGAGTGGCCTAGCCAGTCTCCAGATCTCAACCCCATAGAAAATCTTTGGAGGGAGTTGAAGGTCCGTGTTGCCCAGCGACAGCCCCAAAACATCACTGCTCTAGAGGAGATCTGCATGGAGGAATGGGCCAAAATTCCAGCAACAGTGTGTGAAAACCTTGTGAAGACTTACAGAAAACGTTTGACCTGTGTCATTGCCAACAAAGGGTATATAACAAAGTATTGAGAAACTTTTGTTATTGACCAAATACTTATTTTCCACCATAATTAGCAAATAAATTCATTAAAAATCCTACAATGTGATTTTCTGGGGAAAAAAATCTAATTTTGTCTGTCATAGTTGACGTGTACCTATGATGAAAATTACAGGCCTCTCTCATCTTTTTAAGTGGGAGAACTTGCACAATTGGTGGCTGACTAAATACTTTTTTCCCCCACTGTATATACTGGTCCTCTGTCAGTCGGGTTGTTACTAGATACTGGTCCTCTGTCAAATCAAATCAAATCAAATGTTATTGGCCACATGCGCCGAATACAACAAGTGCAGACATTACAGTGAAATGCTTACTTACAGCCCTTAACCAACAGTGCATTTATTTTTAACAAAAAAGTAAAAATAAAACAACAACAAAAAAAGTGTTGAGAAAAAAAGAGCAGAAGTAAAATAAAATAACAGTAGGGAGGCTATATATACAGGGGGGTACCGGTGCAGAGTCAATGTGCGGGGGCACCGGCTAGTTGAGGTAGTTGAAGTAATATGTACATGTGGGCAGAGTTAAAGTGACTATGCATAAATAATTAACAGAGTAGCAGCAGCGTAAAAGGATGGGGTGGGGGGGCAGTGCAAATAGTCCGGGTAGCCATGATTAGCTGTTCAGGAGTCTTATGGCTTGGGGGTAGAAGCTGTTGAGAAGTCTTTTGGACCTAGCACTCCGGTACCGCTTGCCGTGCGGTAGCAGAGAGAACAGTCTATGACTAGGGTGGCTGGAGTCTTTGACAATTTTGAGGGCTTTCCTCTGACACCGCCTGGTATAGAGGTCCTGGACTCCTGAGTGGCGCAGTGGTCTAAGGCACTGCATCGCAGTGCTAACTGTGCCACTAGAGATCCTGGTTCAAATCCAGGCTCTGTCGCAGCCGGCCGCGACCGGGAGACTCATGGGCGGCGCACAATTGGCCCAGCGTCGTCCAGGGTAGGGGAGGGAATGGCCGGCAGGGATGTAGCTCAGTTGATAGAGCATGGCGTTTGCAACGCCAGGGTTGTGGGTTCGATTCCCACGGGGGGCCAGTATAAAGAAAATATATATATTCACTAACTGTAAGTCGCTCTGGATAAGAGCATCTGCTAAATGACTAAAATGTCAAATGTAAATGGATGGCAGGAAGCTTGGCCCCAGTGATGTACTGGGCCGTACGCACTACCCTCTGTAGTGCCTTGCGGTCGGAGGCCAAGCAGTTGCCATACCAGGCGGTGATGCAACCAGTCAGGATGCTCTCGATGGTGCAGCTGTAGAATTTTTTGAGGATCTGAGGACCCATGCCAAATATTTTCAGTCTCCTGAGGGGGAATAGGCTTTGTCGTGCCCTCTTCACGACTGTCTTGGTGTGTTTGGACCATGATAGTTCGTTGGTGATGTGAACACCAAGGAACTTGAAGCTCTCAACCTGTTCCACTACAGCCCCGTCGATGAGAATGGGGGCGTGCTCAGTCCTCTTTTTTTTCCTGTAGTCCACAATCATCTCCTTTGTCTTGGTCACGTTGAGGGAGAGGTTGTTGTCCTGGCACCACACGGCCAGGTCTCTGAACTCCTCCCTATAGGCTGTCTCATCGTTGTCGGTGATCAGGCCTACCACTGTTGTGTCGTCGGCAAACTTAATGATGGTGTTGGAGTCGTGCCTGGCCATGCAGTCATGGGTGAACAGGGAGTACAGGAGGGGACTGAGCACGCATCCCTGAGGGGCCTCCGTGTTGAGGATCAGTGTGGCAGATGTGTTGTTACCTACCCTTACCACTTGGGGGCGGCCTGTCAGGAAGTCCAGGATCCAGTTGCAGAGGGAGGTGTTTAGTCCCAGGATCCTTAGCTTAGTGATGAGCTTTGAGGGCACTATGGTGTTGAATGCTGAGCTGTAGTCAATGAATAGCATTCTCACGTAGGTGTTCCTCTTGTCCAGGTGGGAAAGGGCAGTGTGGAGTGCAATAGAGATTGCATCATCTGTGGATCTGTTGGGGCGGTATGCAAATTGGAGTGGGTCTAGGGTTTCTGGGATAATGCTGTTGATGTGAGCCATGACCAGCCTTTCAAAGCACTTCATGGCTACAGACGTCAGTGCTACGGGTCGGTAGTCATTTAGGCAGGTTATCTTAGAGTCTTTGGGCACGGGGACTATGGTGGTCTGCTTGAAACATGTTGGTATTACAGACTCAGTCAGGGACATGTTGAAAATGTCAGTGAAGACACTTGCCAGTTGGTCAGCACATGCTCGGAGTACACGTCCTGGTAATCCGTCTGGCCCTGCGGCCTTGTGAATGTTGACCTGCTTAAAAGTCTTACTCACATCGGCTACGGAGAGCGTGATCACATAGTCATCCGGAACAGCTGGTGCTCTCATGCATGCTTCAGTGTTGCTTGCCTCGAAGCGAGCATAGAGGTGGTTTAGCTCGTCTGGAAGTCTTGTGTCACTGGGCAGCTCGCGGCTGTGCTTCCCTTTGTAGTCTGTAATAGTTTTCAAGCCCTGCCACATCCGACGAGCGTCAGAGCCAGTGTAGTACGATTCAATCTTAGTCCTGTATTGACTCTTTGCCTGTTTGATGGTTCGTCGGAGGGCATAGCGGGATTTCTTATAAGCGTCCGGGTTAGAGTCCCGCTCCTTGAATGCGGCAGCTCTACCCTTTAGCTCAGTGCGGATGTTTCCTGTAATCCATGGCTTCTGGTTGGGGTATGTACGTACGGTCACTGTGGGGACGACATCATCGATGCACTTATTGATGAAGCCAGTGACTGATGTGGTGTACTCCTCAATGCTATCTGAAGAATCCCGGAACATGTTCCAGTTTGTGCTAGCAAAACAGTCCTGTAGCTTAGCATCTGTGTCATCTGACCACTTTTTTATTAACCTAGTCACTGGTGCTTCCTGCTTTAGTTTTTGCTTATAAGCAGGAATCAGGAGGATAGAGTTATGGTCAGATTTGCCAAATGGAGGGCGAGGGAGAGCTTTGTATGCGTCTCTGTGTGTGGAGTAAAGGTGGTCTAGAGTTTTTTTTCCTCTGGTTGCACATTTAACATGCTGGTAGAAATTAGGTAGAACGGATTTAAGTTTCCCTGCATTAAAGTCCCCGGCCACTAGGAGCGCTGCATCTGGATGAGCGTTTCTCATTCAGTGCAATCTTAATGCCAGCATTGGTTTGTGGTGGTAAATAGACAGCTATGAAAAATATAGATGAAAACTCTCTTGGTAAATAGTGTGGTCTACAGCTTATCATAAGATACTCTACCTCAGGCGAGCAAAACCTTGAGACTTCCTTAGTATTTGATTTTGTGCACCAGCTGTTGTTTACAAATATACACAGACCGCCACCCCTTGTCTTACCGGAGTCAGCCGTTCTATCCTGCCGATGTAGCGTATAGCCCGCTAGCTGTATGTTATCCATGTCGTCGTTCAGCCACGACTCGGTGAAACATAAGATATTACAGTTTTTAATGTCCCGTTGGTAGGATAACCGTAATCTTAGGTCATCCAATTTGTTCTCCAATGATTGAAGATTGGCTAATAGGATTGATAGAAGAGGCAGTTTACTCGCTCGCCGTCGGATCCTTACAAGGCACCCCGACCTACGTCCACGATATCTCCGTCTCTTCCTCATGCGAATGACGGGGATTTGGGCCTTGTCGGGTGTCTGTAGGATATCCTTCGCGGCCGCCTCGTTGAAGAAAAAATCTTCGTCCAATACGAGGTGTAATCGCTGTCCTGATATCCAGAAGCTATTTTTGGTTATAAGAGACGATGGCAGAAACATTATGTACAAAATAAATTACAAATAACGCGGAAAAACACACATAATAGTACAATTGGTTAGAGGGCTGTAAAACGGCAGCCATCTTCTCCGGCGCTGTTCTATCTGGTCGGGTTGTTACTATATACTGGTCCTCTGTCAGTCGGGTTGTTACTATATACTGGTCCTCTGTCAGTCGGGTTGTTACTATATACTGGTCCTCTGTCAGTCGGGTTGTTACTAGATACTGGTCCTCTGTCAGTCGGGTTGTTACTAGATACTGGTCCTCTGGTTGTCACTACATGGCCACGCTAGAAAGAAGGGAAGCACAGTGCCCTTCTAAACACAGTTTCCACCACCAACCTAACCCTAAACTTAACCCCTAACATTAACCCCAAATCAAGAACAAATAGCTTATGTACTCTGACAACAATTTTCTTTGTCCTTTCTAGCATGGCCATCTAGTGACTACCCTGTCAGCCAGCTGTTACCTGATACCCCTGGCTTTCCTGTACTCAATGCTGCTTAGTATCCTCTGAATGCCCCAGCCAGCCAGCTACTGTATTCAGTCCCATTACATTCATGTTCTGCCCCAGGGATCAGGTCACAACTTAGATTCAGGACAGTGATTCACTGTGATGCTTAGTGTGTTTTAGTGTATTCTAACCGTTTCTCCCTCTTCTTTCTCATCTCTCTCTCTTTCTCTCAGACCATGGTTCAGGGAACAGCTCTCTGGACATTCTGCTGGCTCTGCTGCAAGCTGAGGGAGCCAAGATAGAAGAGGAGACTGAGGTGACACACAACAATACACTCACAACTACACCTACACTAGAATACACTCTCACAGACACACACACACATACCTATACAGACATGTACACACTCCTACACGCACAAGAATGCTTACTCTCTAGGGTATTTTGTGTTGGTGTGTGTTAGGTTGAGTGTGTATGCTTGTGTGAATATAACCCTGCTTTGCTGTCCCTGTGTAGAACATGGCAGACTCGTTCCTGGATGGAGAGCTGCCTCTGGACTGCTTTATCGACGACTACCAGCGGAGGCGCCATCTTGCTCACATGCGCCGTGTAAAGATCGACAAACTCAGAGAGCTGGTGCTGAAGGGTCTCACTAGACCCCAGCAGACCCCCACCCAGCCCAGCCGACCCCAGGACTTCCCCTCTACTCCCTCCCCCTACACCAATGGAGCCCTCTCCCCCCAATCTACACAAGCTGCCCCTCAGCACAGTGGCCTGTCCTACCCAGTCGCCCCCTATCCCGCCATGTCTTTCCCCAGCCTGACTCCTACAGGCTACCCCAGCAGCCCCTACATTCCCCAGCCCTACCCTCAAGTCCCCCAGCAACACCCCACCTCCCCCTCCCCATGCCTGCCCCCCCGAACTGGCTTCATCATGCAGTGAGGGGAGGGGGGGGGGGGGGTCTAACACCATGGATGATGACCCTACCTACCTTTGACCTGTGGAACACTGGAGGGGGAGCGTTGACCCAACAATGAGTGTTGGTGACCTAACCAATGCCCGCCCCTGTCAGTAACACACAGGGAAAACTCCTGAGAGGCTCCCTGCTCCCTCAGAGACTCAGTCCAGTAGCTACAGCCTGGACGGTACGTTAGGGGTTGGTTCTCTTTTAGGTTTTTATTCCAAGACTAGCTTTCTGATTCATCTTCTGAAGACATAGGAAAATCTAACTCTGTCTGACTGGTATATATGCTGTGTATCAGCTGTGGTAACTTGCAGTGTGGATGAGAGATATAGTTGTTTTTGTAAGCTAAAGGTTTTTAAATTTCCCCTCTCTGTGACTGAAGGTGGTGTCTTCCTGTGCGCACACATGCGAGAAGTTGTGTAGCTCCAAGGTCGGGGGGAGGTGGTGGTGTCATAACATAGTTAACGCTAAAGTTCATATTCTTCTAAAGGAAGGAGTCCGGTATCGTCATAAATATAGCTAGTCCATGAACAACTACTCAACAAATAGATTTCAATTCAATGTATTACAATGGCATATAAATGTATTGAAATCTACTATTAGGTGCTTTCCTATTCATTGGTGGAGGTTCTTTCCAGCAGGTAGGATGCAAGTCTAGGTGTAAGAAGTTCTTATGGGAACAGAAGGCTAGGAATATACTGTGCTATTTTATAAGGAAAAAAACATTTTGTGGTGGATTTGAATGACCTGCCAAAGATGTTCTCATCTTTCCTACTACCCACTTGGCGCTTTATTTTAGTGATTGTTTTGTATACCGGTATAAGAGGTAGTTCTACCCCACCTAACTGGAAGATGGATATGTAGAATAGATTAAATCTTATGGAAAGATAACCATGCATCCTAAATTCAGTCAAAGTTGTCATGTGGGGAAAAGAGATTTACAGCTGGCTGTACATCTACAGTGGGCTTTTCCCATTTGTGCTCACACAAGAGCTCACCTCAAGGAAAATGCACATGGGGGTTCAAAAATGAAATGGTGCTGGAGAAACATTTAAAATACGAACTACTTCAGTCGTCCCTGGTACTGTACATCTGATCTACACTCCATAGGAACGAACATTCATGTTGTAATGCTAGACTAACAGACTGGTTGACTTCCCCACTTTCCATCCGAATCAATAAATGTTTTATAACCAATACTAAGGTGTTCTATGCCTGATGTCCCAGTTGTCTGTGTTTGTTGCCATCAACTGGACACAGTGGGTAGTTGAACTATTCTATACAGATATAGTTGAATCACTTTGCTAAAAAAATAAGGTATAAAAAAAGATACTGCCGTATATTTTCCTGCTTTACATTTTTTGGAAAACCATTACGTCATGCAGGTAAAAATCCACAGGAGAATGGACCAAAACACATAACTTTTATTAAAATTGCCAATTAACTGTAAAACATCTGTTAAATCAGTAGGTCAGTGTTCAGTACTCTTCTCCTTCCTCAGCCTCCCCTTCCACTGAATCTACTCCCACCTCTTCGTAGTCCTTCTCCAGGGCAGCCAGATCCTCTCTGGCCTCCGAGAACTCCCCCTCCTCCATACCCTCTCCCACATACCAGTGCACAAAGGCACGCTTGGCGTACATCAAGTCAAACTTGTGGTCGAGCCGAGCCCAGGCCTCAGCGATGGCCGTGGTGTTGCTCAACATGCACACGGCTCTCTGGACCTTGGCCAGATCTCCACCTGGCACCACTGTGGGTGGCTGGTAGTTGATGCCAACCTGCAGGGCACAAACAAAAAGTCTTAAAACCTGACTAACCAATAATTATCATGCCAAGTGCCTTAAATGTTTAGGAGCATAGATCAGTGTGAATGAATTAATTACTTGTTTACCTTGAAGCCGGTGGGGCACCAGTCAACAAACTGGATGGTGCGTTTGGTCTTGATGGTGGCAATGGCAGCGTTGATGTCCTTGGGCACCACATCCCCACGGTACAGCATGCAGCAGGCCATGTACTTCCCGTGGCGAGGGTCACACTTCACCATCTGGTTGGCGGGCTCGAAGCAGGCATTCGTGATCTCTGCCACAGAGAGCATTTCATGGTAGGCCTTCTCAGCAGAGATGACAGGTGCGTAGGTGACCAGGGGGAAGTGGATACGGGGGTAGGGCACCAGGTTGGTCTGGAACTCTGTCAGGTCCACGTTGAGGGCTCCATCGAAACGAAGCGAGGCGGTGATGGAGGAGACAATCTGGCCAATGAGCCTGTTGAGGTTGGTGTAGGTGGGGCGCTCGATGTCCAGGTTACGACGGCAGATGTCGTAGATGGCCTCATTGTCGACCATGAAGGCACAGTCGGAGTGCTCCAGGGTGGTGTGGGTGGTCAGGATAGAGTTGTAGGGCTCCACCACTGCTGTGGACACCTGAACACATACACAAGAGGTAGAACAGTCATCATTAGGTGTCACATAATGAAAATGTAGATATCAAACAAGTATTGACTACAGGGATATAAAGTACAGTTCAAGTTTTGCTGATGTGGAAATCTACCAAATAATCATGTGAGCAACTAAACCTTAGCAATACCTGAGGGGCAGGGTAAATGGCAAACTCCAGTTTGGACTTCTTGCCGTAGTCCACAGACAGTCTCTCCATGAGCAGCGAAGCAAAACCTGAGCCAGTTCCACCACCAAAACTGTGGAAGATCAGGAAGCCCTGAAGCCCAGTGCACTGGTCTGACTGGGGTGAGATAGAACACGGGTTAGGCACAAGTGGTTTTTACTGACTGATCTTTTCGACTCAAAAGAACAAATCTTTCCAGAGCACAATGACCCTACCTGCGAACAATGAACTGAAAACTCAAAATAGTCATGATTCTACAAGCCTTTCGTTCACCATAAGGGGCTTACTAGAGCTGTAATTTGTGACAGACTTGTAAAATCGTGCTTTAAACAATGTACATTTGTTAATTGCTAGGCATGCAAATAAGATTTTTTCTTAGTACATTTGAAACGAGGTCTAGTTGTGGCCACAACTGGACTAGCTTGTGAACTACTCTTGGCGGAATGCATTGCTTAACTGCCTTGAGGGTGATAAGCACAATATCGTTTGCGAACTGCAGCACTCCAAATGATTCATTCTCGAGTTTGTTGAGCAGAGGCTGTGTATATTTTGTGTGGCCCCGTGTAGCTCAGTTGGTAGAGCATGGCGCTTGCAACGCCAGGGTTGTGGGTTTGATTCCCATGGGGGGCCAGTATGAAAATGTCTGCACTTACTAACTGTAAGTCACTCTGGATAAGAGCGTCTGCTAAAATACTTTTTAAAAACGTAATAAAAAACAAACATATTTTGGTTCTACAAAGCTGTGTCCAACAGTGGAGGCTGCCGAGGGGAGGATTGCTCATAATGGCTGGAACGGTGCGAATGGAATGGCATCAAGCACATGGAAAGCATGTGTGTTTGATACCATTCCACTGATTCCACTCCAGCCATTACCACGAGCATGTCCTCCCAAATTAAGGTGCCACCAACCTCCTGTGGTGTCCATCATAACATTCAATAATAAATGAATTGCATCTATTCTTTCACCATGCGATCAATTATCAGTTCTAATCTAAACATATTTTTATTCTCTATGCTGATTGCAGCATGATCTATTTGGTCTGAGTGCATATAGGTTGGAGTCACTGGAGGTGTGTGTATTAATCCTGCTGTAGAATTCATTGCAACCAGCAGGTCAAACGAAGATATAAAATGAATGAGTCACTCAGAAAAACGATTAATTACTCTTAAATCAGTAAAAACGGTTGTTCAAAAACAACAAATCGATTGCGAACTGCACATCACTATTGGGGACAGATTGGCCTCACAGGCTTACAACCCTGTACAACTAGTTTGCTAGTAAAGTTACATAACTGAGAGTTGGAAGTACATGACTTCAGGCTATCAATAAAAATGCTAGCTAACGTTACTCACCAGTTTGCGAACTCTGTCCAGAACCAGATCCACGATCACCTTGCCAATGGTGTAGTGGCCTCGAGCATAGTTGTTGGCGGCATCCTCCTTACCGGTGATGAGCTGCTCAGGGTGGAACAGTTGACGGTATGTCCCGGTGCGGACCTCATCTATGAAAAATCACAACTCTGGTCAGGGAGGATTTTTTATTACAGCATATGGTAACCATATTTTAGAAAACTTTCGTCCTTACCAACTACAGTTGGTTCGAGATCCACAAAAACTGCACGAGGGACATGTTTTCCCGCTCCTGTCTCGCTGAAGAAGGTGTTGAAGGAGTCATCCCCTCCGCCTATGGTTTTGTCACTGGGCATCTGCCCATCAGGCTGGATCCCATGCTCCAAGCAGTACAGCTCCCAGCACGCATTACCGATCTGCACACCAGCCTGACCAACGTGGATAGAGATGCACTCACGCTGTGGAAAAATACAATTTCACTAAATTAGCTTGCTAGCTCTCAAAATAAATGTGTCAAAGCTGACAGATTTATTTTCATGTCGTTAGCTACTTATTAGCTAAATCATTTTTATGTTTAATGGTTAGCAACGAGTTAGCCAACTTAATGTTAAGTTAACGTTAGCTAAATTAGCTAGTTAGCTAACATTAGATAAAGTTGACGAAAATTGGTTTGTTCGTTGTGCTATAGCCACCACTCATCTTGACAGAAAACTTACCATAATGATTAAAGTAAGACCTGTAGTTAAGGTTAAAAACGTTTTTTTCGACAGTTGGCTAGTTTGCTAATTAACGTCTGCCATGGCACTGCAACAGCTAACTGGCTAACATTTTGAAAAACATCGCTGACTGAACATAATATAGGCCTCTGAATGAGCCCGCCTTTGTTTCAACCCAATTGTCTGTAATTCTAACAAATGCTATGTCAATCAATCTTTTCCCTTTTGCCATTGGACTATGGTATAAAGTGTAAAAAATCAACCGTTATTGGCTTTGTTTGGACCAATGCTACATTTTTCAAAGGACAGCATTGGCTTTTTCTGACAGCAGATGGCTGAAAAGGTCAAGTGAACGCATTCCTTCTGCTATATACTACTTGTGTAGCAGATCATATTGGACTTATTGATTATTTGTGTGGCGTGATTGTGATTCAGCTCCCAAAAAAAAAACTACATCTTATTTATAACAAAAAACTCACTGGTAAACGTGTAACTGACAAGAACTGGAAACAGCCAAACCTAGATATTATTTTAGTCCTGCAGCATGCTTTATCTTCTATCCAGCCCAAAGTAATCTGTACTTTAGTACTTTGTATAGGCTGACCAATAATGATGCTGGACAAAGTGCTGAAGCAGCCTAGTGGTTAGAGTGTTGGGCCAGTATCCAAAAGGTTGTTGGTTTGACTAACCGAGCTGACAAGGTGAACAAACTATCGCTTTAACCCTAGTTTGCTCTACTATGGCTAACATCTGATGTATGTGAAAATAAAACTGAATCTTTCTGATGTGTGTGCTGTCCTTGAGCCCTTGTTCTTCCACTCAACTGTATGGAAAGACAATATATTTTCAAGCATAATTTGGAGGAGGAATGGCGAGAACACCCCAAAGACGGCTCAAATGTGTTGGGCATTACCATTCAATAGGGTTCAATCTGGTTTGTAGAACAGTTCTTCTATTAAGAAGAGTTAGAAAAACAGGGTCACTCCACAATGATACAATACAAAATACAGGTTGTTTTTTAAACGATTGTGGACCACTGTGCTGCTGCTCATGGCATCATCATTTAGCTGGGTCTACCTTTAATGACCTGCTGACCAGCTTACCCAGTGTTTCTTTATCCTTGCCATTGTTTTTCACATTTTCTGTCAGAGACATATGTTCAATTCTCATGCATTTAGTTCAATAAGTAAGTAGTGCATAAAGAAGGGGACTGAGCCTCATACCGTACTTTACTAGACTACATTTATGAACAGTTTAATTTCAGAATAAGGGGTGCTGTTCTTCTGGGGGGTTCCGTGTTGCTGTTTTGGCTGTCTGGGCCTGGGGGCATGGGCTCGGGGAGAGAGTGGAGGGGTCAGAGAGAATGACAAGAATGAGAGAGTAAGGTTAGAGACAGCTAAAGGACTGAAGCTGCAGAGATGATCCAGAAAGAGACGAATCGCCAGACCACCACCAACCCCCCTGACATCTGGGCTGAGCTGAGAGTGCTGACAGACATGGTGGTGGAGCAGAGAGTGGCGCTGAGGAATATGGAGGCCAGACTGGGGGAGGTGAAAAACAAGGTGATTGTACTAACAATGGATCTGGGTTATCACCAAGAATTAACTGCATTTCCTAAAAGACAAAGTTAGAAAGCTGGAAATAGAGAATGCAGGTAAGGACAAGAGAGCAAATACAGTGCCTTCAGAAAGTATTCACACCCCTTGACTTTTTCCACATTTTATTGTGTTACAGCCTGATTTAAAAATTGATTAAATTGAGATTGACATACAATGTTTTTGTGTGTGTTTTTTTAACAGATTAATGAAAAATGAAAAGCTGAAATGTAAATAAATATTCAACCCCTTTGTTATGGCAAGCCTAAATACGTTTAGGAGTAAAAATGTGCTTAACAAGTCACATAATAAGTTACATGGACTTACTTTGTGCAATAATAGTGTTTAACATGATTGTTGAATGACTACCTCATCTCTGTACCCCACACATACAATAATCTGTAAGGTCCTTCAGTCGAGCAGTACATTTCAAACACAGATTCAACCACAAAGACCAGGGAGGTTTTCGAATGCCTCACAAAGAAGGGCACTTATTGATAGATGACATTGAATATCCATTTGAGCATGGTGAGGTGATTAATTACACTTTGGATGGTGTATCAATACACCCAGTCACTACAAAGATACAGGCGTCCTTCCTAACTCAGTTGCCGGAGAGGAAGGAAACCACACAGGGATTTCACCTTGAGGCCAATGGTGACTTTAAAACAGTTACAGAGTTTAATGGCTGTGATAGGAGATAACTGAGGCTAGATCAACAACATTGTAGTCACTCCACAATACTAACCTAATTGGCATGTGGTCTGTCAAGATATTGACTTTAATTTGTTTGGCTTCAAAATATAGTGTGGTGAAGGTTGATTAAAAAAATATATTACAATCAGTAAATTCACTCCCTTGGGTTACAGACAGACCAAAGATGGCCTTCTCTGCTGTTCTGACTCATGCATATCTTGGACCCTTCAATACTGAAACCCCACTGGTCTACAGCAAAGTCATCACCAACATTGGCCAACCTAGACACTACAGGTAATGACCTGACCACACTAATCTACACACACTGAATCCAGCTACAGTAAACATTACTCACAGTGTTTTTGAGAGATGGACTGTGATTATCTCGGATTGCTTCTCCTTTGATGCAGGTATCTTCACAGCACATGTGAGAGTAGTCTACTACTTCAAATTCACTGCCAGGGATTACAGATCTCCACAATGGATGGGTGTTTACCTATACCTCAATGGCCAGAGACTTATGTGGAATAGGGAACACAACAATGGTAGTGAAAGTGATTTGTACAAATCTAATGCATTGTCTCTAGCGCTGGAGGAAGGTGATGTGGTCTACATGCTTCTCTGTGTGTTGTTTACAATAAAATAACAATAACGAGGCTATATACAAGGCGTACCGGCACTGAGTCAATGTGCAGGGGTACAATGTAGTTGAGGTCATATGTACATGTAGGTAGGGGTAAAAGTGACTAGGAAATCAGGATAGACAATAAACAGAGTAGCAGCAGCGTATGTGAAGTGTGTGAACCGGAGTGAAAGTTTGTCTATGTGCGAGTGTGTGGCGTCAATATGCATGTGTGTGTGTGTTTTGTGTATGAGCGTATGTAATGTGTGTGTTGGGAGTGTCAGTGTATGGCTTGGGGGTAGAAGCTGTTCAGGAGCCTTTTGTCCCAGACTTGGCGCTCCATTACAGTTGGCCGAGCGGTAGCAGAGAGAACAGTCTATGACTTGGGGGGCTGGAGTCTTTGACAATTTTAAGGGCCTTCCTCTGACACCTCCTGGTATAGAGGTCCTGGATGGCAGGGAGCTCGGCCCCAGTGATGTACTGGGCCGTACACACGCTACCCTCTGTAGCACCTTACGGTCGTATGCCAAGCAGATGTCATACAAAGCAGTGATGCAGCCAGTCAAGATGCTCTCAATGGTGCAGCTGTATAACTTTTTGAGGATCTGAGGGCCCATGTCGGGGCTCCCGAGTGGCGCAGCGGTCTAAGGCACTGCATCTCAGTGCTAGAGGTGTCACTACAGACCCTGGTTTGATTCCAGACTGTATCACAATTCGGCCGTGATTGGGAGTCCAATTGGCCCAGCATCGTCCGGGTTTGGCCGGGGTAGGCCGTCATTGTAAATAAGAATTTGTTCTTAACTGACTTGCCTAGTTAAATAAAGGTAAAAAAAGAAAAGTCAAATCTTGTAATTATCCGCAATCAGAAAAATTGTTATTTTCTGGTGCCAGCAAGCATCTTTCTCATGTCAGTCAGTCACAGAGTTTCTAAACCATACTGTACTGTCTTTGAGGCAGTTATGTGCGTGGTCTAAATAGCTCAACTGGCTAGTTTGCCTGTCTGTAAAGAGAAGGGCGGGCTGTACCGTTGATCCTGCTGCTCGGATTGGATAGAGTGAAGCTGTATTTCTCCATCCACTCGCTTCATAATTTCATCCAATCACTTTTCCTTGCATGTTTTCGGCCTGATCATTTAGATTGCTGCTGCCTGCTACTATAAATCACATGGCGAGGATGTTTGCTATCACGCTATCAATGTGCATAATTACGAGTATGGCCATGTCAGCACAACCCAAGAAATGTGTATGTATGAGAAAGGCAAACAGCAGTAAGCGCTTCAGTTGGTCTATGGGGACATCTTGTGGTTAAGTATGAATGACATTCTTTTGCTGTAGGTAGGTACAGCATACCTATTAGCTATAATAGTGAAAACGCTTCTTTCCTGGTTTAAGGTAATGATAATCTAACAGTTGGATAAAAGCAAATCATGTCATAGTGATTACTCAAAGGCAGGATGCATTTCAGGCATACTAACAACGGCAGCCATAAGTCCCTCTTCCAACAGTTCTAGTGCTGGTACCCACCACAATACCTACTGGAAACTGAAGCACTCCAAGCAAGAATCATGCAGTAAATTTACCATGCTTCTCCATAATTTAACAGATTGTACAAGTGGTAGTTCTGCTAAATGATGTAAATGTAGTTCTTTAATGTTGCTTTACCATAAGACAAACAAGAAAACGGTACCAATTACCTCACTACCTAATCGTTTCACCAGATAAAGATATACAGTGTATTCTGAAATTATTCAGGCCCCTTGACTTTTTCAAAAAAAAATTATGTTACAGCCTTATTCTAAAATTGATTAAATTGTTTTTTTCCCCCTCATCAATCTACACACAATACCCCATAATGACAAAGCAAAAGCAGGTTTTCAGATTTTTTTGCAAAAAAACTGAAATATCACATTTACATAAGTATTCAGACCCTTTACTCAGTACTTTGTTGAAGCACCTTTGGCAATGATGACAGCCTTGAGTCTTCTTGGGTATGACGCTACAAGCTTGGCACACCTGTATTTGGGGAGTTTCTCCCACTCTTCTCTGCAGATCCTCTCAAGCTTTGTCAGGTTGGATGGGGAGCTTCGCTGCACAGAAATGATTGATCGGGTTCAAGTCTGGGCTCTGGCTGGGCCATTCAAGGACATTCAGAGACTTGTCCCAAAGCCACTCCTGCGTTGTCTTGGCTGTGTGCTTAGGGTCGTTGTCCTGTTGGAAGGGGACCCTTCGCCCCAGTCTGAGGTCCTGAGCGCTCTGCAGCAGGTTTTCATCAAGGATCTCTCTGTACTTTGTGCCGTTCATCTTTCCCTCGATCCAGATTGTCGCCCAGTCCCTGCCACCACCATGCTTCACTGTATGGATGGTGGCAGGTTTCCTCCAGACGTGACGCTTGGCATTCAGGCCAAAGAGTCCAATCTTGGTTTCATCAGACCAAAGAATCTTGTTTCTCATGGTCTGAGAGTCCTTTAGGTGCCTTTTAGCAAACTCCAAGCGGGCTGTCATGTGCCTTTTACTGAGGAGTGGCTTCCGTCTGGCCACTCTACCATAAAGGCCTGATTGGTGGAGTGCTGCAGAGATGGTTGTCCTTCTGGAAGGTTCTCCCATCTCTTCACCTTTGGTGACCATCGGGTTCTTGATCACCTCCCTGACCAAGGCCCTTCTCCCCTGATTGCTCAGTTTGGCCGAGCGGACAGCTCTAGGAAGAGTCTTGGTGGTTCCAAACTTCTTCCATTTAAGAATGATGGAGGCCACTGTGTTCTTGGGGTCCTTCAATGCTGCAGAAATGTTTTGGTACCCTTCCCCAGATCTGTGCCTCGACACAATCCTGTCTCGGAGCTCTACGGACAATTCCTTCGACCTCATGGCTTGGTTTTTGCTCTGACATGCACTGTCAACTGTGGGACCTTATATAGACAGGTGGGTGCCTTTCCAAATAATGTCCAATCAATTGAATTTACCACAGGTGGACTCCAATCAAGTTGTAGAAACATCTCAAGGATGATCAATGGAAACAGGATGCACCTGAGTTCAATTTCGAGTCTTATAGTGAAGGGTCTGAATACTTACGTAAATAAGGTATTTCTGTTTTTATGTTTAATAAATTGGCAAACATTTCTAAAAACCAGTTCTCGCGTCATCATTATGGGGTAGTGTATAGATTGATGAGGAAAAACATTTATTTAATCAATTTTAGAATAGGGCTGTAACCTAGCAAAATGTGGAAAAGGTCAAGGGGTCTGAATACTTTCCGAATTCACGGTATTAATATATTGCAATGGTCATCCACTGAGAGCATCTTGACTGCCTGCATCATCACTTATGACAACTGCTTGGCATTATGACCATCCCATCGATTTCAATGTATTACTTTTAATATCTGCAAATAGCAAATAAAGCACTTGAACATCTATATACTACACATCATGAAGTACACTAAATTACCAAAAGTATGTGGACACCTGCTCGTTGAACATCTCATTACAAAATCATGGCCATTAATATGGAGTTGGTCCCCCCTTTGCTTCTAGAGCAGCCTCCACTCTTCTGGGAAGGAATTTCACTAGATGTTGGAACATTGCTGCGGGGACTTGCTTCCATTCAGCCACAAGAGCATTAGTGAGGTTGAGCCATGATGTTGGGCGATTAGGCCTGGCTCGCAGCCAGCGTTCCAAATTATCCCAAAGGTGTTCGATGGGGTTGAGGTCAGGGCTCTGTGTAGGCCAATCAAGTTCTTCTACACCGATCTCGACAAACCATTTCTGTATGGACCTCGCTTTGTGCACGGGGGCATTGTCATGCTGAAAACAGGAAAGGGCCTTCCCCAAACCGTTGGAACCATGTCTAAAAAGTTATACTTTTGAATCATCTGTCCATAGAACATTCTTCCAAGAGTCTTGATGATCATCCAGGTGCTTTTTGGCAAACCTAAGTCAACTTTTTGGACAAGATGGGTCCCATTATGCCTGGCGAAAACCAAACACTGCATTCCACAGTAAGAACATCATACCAAAGGTCAAGCATGGTGGTGTGATGGTTTGGGGATGCTTTGCTGCCTCAGGACCTGGACGGCTTGCCTTAGAAGGAACCATGAATTCTGCTCTGTATCAGAGAATTCTACAGGAGAATGTCAGACCATCAGTCTGAGAGCTGAAGCGCAGCTGGGTCATGCAGCAAGACAATGATCCAAAACACACAATCAAGTCTACATGAAAATTCCTTAAAAGCAACAAATTGAAAGTTTTGGAATGGCCTAGTCAAAGTCCAGACCTAATCCCAATTGAGATGTGGCAGGACTTGAAACGAGCAGTTCATGCTTGAAAACCCACACGTCAGAGTTTAAGCAGTTCTGCATGGAAGAGTGGGCCAAAATTCCTCCACAGCGACGTGAGACTGAACAAATACAGGAAGCATTTGGTTGGAGTCATTGCAGCTAGTGGCACAACCAGTTATTGAGTGTAAGGTGGCAATTACTTTTTCACACAGGGGAATTGGGTGTTGCATAACTTTGTTTATGAAATATGTAAGTGTGTTATTTGTTCATTTATGTTCCCTTTATGTAATATTAGGTTTTGGTTGAAGATCTGATAACATTCAGTACCACAAATATGCAAAAGTAGAGAAAATTAGAAAGGGGGCAAATACTTTTTCATAGCACTGTAAATTGTTGGTCCCATGTTTCATGAGCCAAAATAAAAGATCCCAGAAATTGTCCACATGCAGAAATCTTTTCATTTTGGGCACAAATTTGTTTACATCCCTGTTAGTGAGCATTTTTCCTTTGCCAAGATAATCAAGAAGCACAAGGTATTTCAATTAGGTTTAACATACCATAGAACTAGAACTGCCTCTGAGGCATTAGTACTTCAAATTAGAAACTGGCAATACCAGTTAAAGCCATTACAACCAGGTGCTATTCAAATATGTAAATATCTTACGCCAAAAGACAACCAGACAATGTCAGGAATGCTTGAACTTTATTGAAATTCAAAAAAGAGCTGGGGATTAGAGATTAGGGTGGGAGGGGAAGTCAGAGGTGGGATTGGAGTGGAGGTCAAGGGGTGAGGTTGGAGGTTAGGAGGGAATTAGGGATGGAGGGAAATTGGGGTTAAGATGAGACATCGTTAAGAGCAGAGGAGAAGTTAACTAGTTGCCTCCACGGAGACGCAGGACAAGGTGAAGGGTGGACTCCTTCTGGATGTTGTAGTCGGAGAGGGTACGGCCATCTTCCAGCTGCTTGCCGGCGAAGATCAGACGCTGCTGGTCTGGGGGGATGCCCTCCTTGTCCTGGATCTTGGCCTTGACGTTCTCGATGGTGTCACTGGGCTCAACCTCTAGGGTGATGGTCTTACCAGTCAGCGTCTTCACAAAGATCTGCATGCCTCCCCTCAGACGGAGCACAAGATGGAGGGTGGACTCCTTCTGGATGTTGTAGTCGGAGAGGGTGCGGCCATCTTCCAGCTGCTTGCCGGCGAAGATCAGACGCTGCTGGTCTGGGGGGATGCCCTCCTTGTCCTGGATCTTGGCCTTGACGTTCTCGATGGTGTCACTGGGCTCAACCTCTAGGGTGATGGTCTTACCAGTCAGCGTCTTCACAAAGATCTGCATGCCTCCCCTCAGACGGAGCACAAGATGGAGGGTGGACTCCTTCTGGATGTTGTAGTCGGAGAGGGTGCGGCCATCTTCCAGCTGCTTGCCGGCGAAGATCAGACGCTGCTGGTCTGGGGGGATGCCCTCCTTGTCCTGGATCTTGGCCTTGACGTTCTCGATGGTGTCACTGGGCTCAACCTCAAGGGTGATGGTTTTACCAGTCAGGGTCTTCACAAAGATCTGCATGCCTCCCCTCAGACGGAGCACAAGATGGAGGGTGGACTCCTTCTGGATGTTGTAGTCGGAGAGGGTGCGGCCATCTTCCAGCTGCTTGCCGGCGAAGATCAGACGCTGCTGGTCTGGGGGGATTCCCTCCTTGTCCTGGATCTTGGCCTTGACGTTCTCGATGGTGTCACTGGGCTCAACCTCTAGGGTGATGGTCTTGCCGGTAAGGGTCTTCACAAAGATCTGCATCTTGACACTGGGGAAGAGAAAAATTGTTAAGACTAAAACTGATCACATAAGCCTAAAACCAATATGTCTAATAAACAATGTATTAAACCAGCTATACATACAGGTATCAAACTAGTATTCATAACAATTCCGAAATGCAGTGGGTTAACTTCTAAATAGGGTAGCGCAAAGCTCTTCCCATTGGAGGTAGAACTCAGCTGACTATTACATCAGTAGGCTCCAGGTGCCACCATTTTAGAACAAGCTCCATTATCTTGTTCGCAAGCTGTTGACTAGCGGCTGTCATTTTTTCGTCGAATTGTCATAAAAACCTCAGTCGAGTCCTGAAGTAATAACTAGCTAACTGACCATTTAGAAAATATATAGTGCAGTCATTTCATTTGCAGCCAAAACGCAATATTTTTCGCTAATTAACTTCGCCTAAGCCCATTTTACATCAAAATAAGACTTACTGCCCGTTTAACCAGGTCAAGGATGTTAGCTGGGTTTAGGTCTCGAGCGCGGTGTTTTACACTGTTAGCTAGCCAACCATTCCCTCCACCTGAGCTGCTAACGTACGCTAGCTAGATAAATAGCTAGCTTGATGCAAAGGGTTACCCTTAAATGTTCCTATTGTTGAGCGCCTTGTTTTAGCTGGTTAGTTAGCTAGCCAACACCATAACTTTATTTTAGTCAATAAACTACCGTAGCTAGCTAACGTTACCATAAAGTTGCTAGTCTGACGTCGACGTCTATTCGTACCTCCTTAATAAGACTGGAAAGGCAATTACCTTATAATGAATATTACGCTAAACTAAGTTCCTTTGTGAAAAAAAGTTGTCTTTCGTGCTCATTTTGGATAACAACCTACTTACAAGCAAATTTTCAACGCCGATGTTCTTGAATCTCCAGTCTTCTGTAAACGAGTCTTATCACAAACAAAGGGCTGTGGTATTTATACGTCGCCGGTTACGTATCCCTTCGCCATTACACCAAATGGAACTATAAACTGCGGATTTTGATAAAAGAACCTTAACCATATGGATTTTGTCCATAAAAGTGACTAACTCCACGACATATATGAAATTGAAGATGTTTTATATTCATGTTTCATTTTTAAGAAATGGTGTAAGAATGGTCATATAAAAGAGGTCGTCCATTGGCGGAGGTAGAAATGTGCAAAATAGTGAGTCGTGGTTCTCTAGCAACGCGCTGCGCAATCAACGCGAATCCAGTCACAGATGGCGCAGTATTAACCTTGCCAACTAGTAAAGTCGGTTTGTGTTTTAGATAGTTAATAACTTATGTCAGTAACAGTGACGTAGCCAGAAATTCGTTTGTGGGTGGGCATGCAACAATTTGGGTGCATATAGCCATAGAAGCACAGTGACATATGCCTCAATGCAGTCATGTTAGTATGAAAATGTATGCACTCACTAACTGTAAATTGCTCTGGATAAGAGCGTCTGCTAAATGACTAAAATGTAAAATGTTATTGGGGGTCTTTCAGTTAGTTATTTTTGGCAACCCGTCCCTTGAGAGTGAATGTCATTCCAGTTTATCTGTTCTGTTATATTTCTTCAAATCTGACCAACCCAATGCACGTCTTGCTATGAATTCTATCTGATGGTGTTTGCATGTTTAGGTAAAAAGACAAATACTGTTCCGTTTGGAACACTGACAAGTAACAAGCATTTTTTTTTTACCCAGGCCCACAGGTGCCTCAGTAAAACCAACATCTTTACTTTTTGAGTAAGCACAGTTTTGCTACATTTTTAAGCAGCAGTGTAGTTAGTGTAGGAGATCAACCAGGGAAGAGTTTTTGAATCAAAACATACAGTATATGCAATGAAGAATGTAACCTGGATTGGACAGTTTATTTTAGGCCATAACATTGATTTAATAGAAACACAAATTATTTACAGCATGGATCAACATTTTCATTCTACACAAACAGGCACAGCCATTCCCCGCTCCCACCCCTCTTATAAAGATTCCTTATCCTAACATCAACCATCCTATATCTAGCTAGTCTCTTGTTGCCATCAGGCCCCCAGTGTCCGGTCTGGAGAGTGAAGTCACAAGCTCTGCTGGTCGGTTACTGCGTAGCAATCTAGCGGTGCCAAAAGCCCTGGTATGCCCTAGAAAGCCTATGTAAATTACGATCACCAAAACGTCCCAAATCTTTTTTTAGACGCTAGTTTTGGCCTCTAAAATTAGTTTATTATGATGAAGTTCGATCCCCACTATGAATTATTTTAAAGTTCACTACAAATCAACATATTTAATGAAATAGTGATCCATTCTGACTAATACATTTGTTGTCACACAGGACCACGTGCTGACACATATCAATCACGGGCTAGCAGGCTACGAGGAGGATTGCGCCCTCTTGCCATAGACATTAAGAAAATATGAAAACGATTACATCGACCGTGATCCTTTGCTAGTTACGTCCACGTTCACCATGATCCTTAGCAATCTTTTGGTGCCATTCAGCCCCATTCAGCTATATGGCACGCTTCAAATTCAAATACTTCCGGCTTCATGTGCCATCGAGAGATTTCCGTAGGAATACGTGGATGAAGTCAGCACTATCACTATCTACTGGTTTTAATGTCACACCTCCCTTGGAGGTCTGGAGAATTTTGTATTGCAAAAACAGTTTGAATTGTCAGCTGATTTTGATTGGATGTTACATTTCAAGAACCCTCCCCCCAAACGCCGGTAGAAGGGGTGCTGTGTGTTATGTGCCTCACTGTTCCATCCAGTTAGTTGTTGCTTATTTTAGTAAGTGCTAGTTTTCAAGTTATCAAGTGTGGCCGACAGTCTGCAAATTGTATTTAAATGGTAAAGTCAAACGTCACAACTAGAGCCCTGCATGGACATGAATTTAACCTTTTTTGTTGTTGTATTTTACCACCTGTTTCTCCCCAATTTCAATCTTGTCTCATCACTGCAACTCCCCAACAGGCTAGTGAGAGGCGAAGGTTGAGTCATGCATCCTCCGAAACATGACCCGCCAAACTGCGCTTCTTAACACCCGCCCGCTTAACCCGGAAGCCAGCCGCACCAATGTGTCGGAGGAAACACCATTCAACTGATGACTGAGGTCAGCCTGCAGGCACCCGGCCCACCACAAGGAGTTGATAGAGCGCGAAGAACCAAGTAAATCTCTACAATACCTTCTAAACCGCTCTGGTGACAGTCTGATCTTTTTAAAACATGGTTGATCCATGGATTATCAGTATGATCGAAGTCGCCCCCAAAAAAGATGCAACTGTCTTTACAAGCCAGAATGTTGACTAAAATTATATTTACACTTACTTTACCAGTTGTACATGCTGTTGGTCCTTTTGGCGGTAGGAGGTGGAGATAGGGTATCCACAGGAAAGGGTTGTTTAGCCAACTTTTTGCGGTGCTTGTAGGTTCTGTCACTTGTATTTTCAATCTCTTCACGCATTGCACGTGATGCACAATGTGTCAACAATAGCCGAATGTAACCGAACATAGTCGACTGAAGTGTGCATCCAATCAGCTGTGGTTTGGTTAGGCTCGGTTTCCTCGCAATCAGCTGTGGTTTGGTTAGGCTCAGCCATATTGTGCAAGTGTTTGTCACCTGCGAATTATATCAGTATTGAAAATGTAATCCGGAAATACCAACCATATACAGACCAGCGTACTGAAAGTTGGGCTAATAACATTTGTGGATATTTTGTCTCAGATTACCTCCTATATAAGGACAAAATCAGCGGACAACAGGTAAAGTAAATTTAAAAATAAGTTTATTCAACATTCTGACTTGTAATGGGACTGTTCAGGAATGCTGAGCCTACATGTTAGAGATGAGTGTGTAAGTGTTTTCATTCTCGGATTCCAAAAGAGCAAATTTTTTCCCTTGTCTCCGTTCATCCATATGGCTGCTGGCTGCACTTTGATACCACCAAAAATATAGTGAAGATTGTCCATTATTTTGTTTTTGTAAGGACCCCAAAAAACGGAGGCAGTGAGAGAACCTATTCAAGTAAGTAAATACATTTTTTAATGTAAAAAAACAATGTAATATACTTTTCTCCATTGCACATCACTTTTTCAGATCAATGAGGTCTAGAGAACATGAATGGTAATGCCCTGTGACTGTGCTTGATGCTTAGCTACCAGCCTTTTGGTTGATGCTGTTGTCTTCCCTGAGAGGATAATCAGGGGTTATATGTCAGGGGTGACCATTGTTCCAGGCGCTGACCCTGTCACCTCTCTGTCTGTGAACCTTTCATGGACGTCTAAAGAAGGATGTAGACAGAACCAACACTGATCAGTTCTATACTAAAAACAGTCAATCAGCAGTCGCCTAGACATTGAGGATAGGTGGCTTTTCTGTTAGACTCACCAGGGGCCGTCCTTTCAGATGTATGCCTGCTACAGGAGTTTTAAAGTCTCCCCTCAAAACCTATAGAGAGAGGACATAACGTTTACATCAGCAAAACCTGTGTGTGTGTGTGTGTGTGTGTGTGTGTGTGTCCGTACCCTTTGTGTGTTGTTGAGGACCTGTGGGTCAGGCTGTCCGTAGTTCGGTGGGTTTGCTCTGGGGTCGTAGCCTAGTCTCCCTAGCATGGGGGCGATAGCGTCCATGTCTGCCATTACGTCTGGGGGGATGTGACCTACCCACCGAGTCAGAGCCTCTAAGTTCACTGGCCTCATCACCTGGTCTGTGGACCGTTCCGTTCTGTGACACAAACACACACACACACAAACACACACACACACATTAATAAACACACACCAAAACAGCAAGACTCCTCTGAGTCTTTGTGATGTAGCATGGCCTTGTCACCTTCTATGACATACACTCATACACACTTTGACAGTGAGACTCCTCCAGGTCTTCCTATAGCCTCTTCGTGGTGCAGAACCCCCTCGTGCCATGGCAGACCCAGGAACTTTAGCACTGTCTGCAGGGTGGAGCGAGGGTGGAGCACCAGCCTCTCATAACTCACAGCCAGGCACCTCTTACTGCCCACCTACACACACACACACACACACACACACACACAAACACACAGAGGCACACACACACACATGGTTGGTCATCACTTTCCACCTAAACACACACACAAAGGCGCGCACTCACACACATGCAGGCACAGATGCATGCATGCACGCACACACGTCAGGCACCACTCTCCAACCACCTAAACAGATAGACACACAAACACACACACCTGAGTGCACTGTGTCAGCATGGCCTGTGTGGCTCTGCTCCACTTGGCCAGGCAGTCCCTATAGCTGGAGAGGTCAAAGCCACCAATCGTCACACGGCGCGAAATCATAGAGTACACTGCCGCTCTGCCATCTCTCAGCATCAACAGGAACTTAGAGCTGCAGAAAGAGAGAGAGGAAGGACGTAGAGGTATGGCGGGATAGAGGAGGGAGAGAAATGTTGAGGAGAAAGAGAGAAACTGATAACTTTACAACTTCCCACCCCAAGCACTGCTCATAATTCTATCTAACCCCAGTTTCAGGCCTGGAGAGGAGGCGGAGTCAGTGACAAGCAAAGAGAGAAAAAGTAGATAAGTTATCTCCTGTTCCATCAGGACTTTGAGCTCTGGTATTCAGTCATACTATGTGTTCTGTACTGTAGGAGGTAACCAGGCTGCTGAGTGAGTCACTAATGACTCACTCTTGTACTGTCTATATGGATCATATAGGTCAGCATGTGAAAAGTGTAAAATGTATGCACGCATGACTGTAAGTCGCTTTGGATAAAAGCGTCTGCTAAATGGCATATTAAATTAAAATTAAATTAATTAATTAATTAAATTAAAAGCCACACTAGATCACACCATTATGTGTGGTGACAGAGGCTTTTGGGTCAGTGTACACTCTCAGAAAAAAAGGTTATATCTAGAACCTAAAAGGGTTTTCGGCTGTCCCCATAGGAGAACCCTTTGAAGAACCCTTTTTGGTTCCATGTAAAACCCTTTTTTTGGTTCCAGGGAGAACCATTTTGGGTTCCATGTAGACCTCTGTGGAAAGGGTTCTACATGGAACCCAAAAAGGTTCTACTTGGAACCAAAAGGATTCTACCTGTAACCAAGAAGGGTTATCAAAGGGTTATCCTATGGAGACAGCCAAAGAACCCTTTTAGGTTCTAGATAGCACCTTCTTTTTTAAGAGTATATGTGTCTTGTGATGGAAGTGTGTGTGTGTGTGTGTGTGTGTGTGTGTGTGTGTGTGTATAGTAAAGTATGTCAGACCTACTTGGGGAAGAGATGAGCGAGGTACTTAGCGCTCTTCAGAGTAAAGGGATCTTTATTGCAGAGTAGAGGTGCTGGCTCCCCGTGTCCTGCTATGATCTGAAGGAGGAAGGCAGTGACTGCTCGGTCCAGGACCTTGGTACTGACCCCCTCCTTCTCAGGAGCCCAGCCCAGCTTTAGGCCCAGCAGCCTGGGCACGACCCTCGTCTCCTCCCCACACCGCACCGCAGGGTGGGCATCCAGCATGACCCTACACAGGGTGGGAAATAAGACAGAGATCAAAATGACAGGGTACAGAGGTAAATACATACAGTATATAACCATATTGAGTGTTAGAATAATACAAGTACAGTACATTGGTAAATACAAGTAAATAAATACTCTCCCCCTCCTTTCTCTTGGCATACCTCATCAGGGTGGTCCCGGAGCGAGGCACCCCTCCCACAAACACCAGGGGAACGTCAGCACTGACCCTCCACCCGTCCCGGACCAGCACGGTCACAGGTTCGCCCGCACCCTGGGATGGCTGCCGGCAAGGCAGACAGAAACGCAGGAACTGGGTCAGGGTGTAGAGTCCACCCAGGATCAGGAGCCCTTTTAACCCCTTCCGTACTGACACACGCATCACTGATGGAAATGGTTGTGCTTGGTCATGGTCTCTTGGTCATAGGCAGTAGGCCAACTGTGTGTGCTGCTATTTTTACCAGGTTTTTCTTGTAGAACAGATTTTAAGTTTCAGTGAGACTGACCTTGGTGAAATAAAGGTAGAGAGGTACTTTCTGGAATAGAGGGAGAGAAACAAGACGGACAGGAAATTGTACATTTCATATTCAATGCATAAAACCTCTCTCTCTTCTGGGAGCACTGCAGAACACTGGAGTGTTATCTGAGAGGAACTAGTCTGGCAGGTTCCTAAAAAAATGCCCACTTCCTCCTCATGCTGTATCTCCGCAACAACCTGGAAAGGGTTTTTGTTTTACTACAGAAATCTTACTACAACACACCCAGGGCCTATTCCTGCACAGGTAAAATATTTTTATGGTGTAGATGGAAAACTTTGTTTGGAGTTCATGATGCAAATATCAAAGATAAGGGTAATGCAGGGGATTCAAACAAACCTCTTGTCTGGACACGCTCTGTGTTGCATCAGTTACATCTATATTATTATTCACCAAGTCAGTGCCTGTCTCAGTAAATATGAAATGCAAACTTCATATAGTCTTATCAGGCATTCTAGAACCTTTGCTGTCACCCCAGTAATCACGGTAATAAATATAACACAGATATGCAGATACACCAACCTACAGAGAGATAAAGGGAGAGAGAGGGAAGGTGGAGGGGACAGGGTGAGAAAGGGACGACGGTTGAAAGAGACAAACAAGCAACAAAAGGCAAACAAAATACACAATCTGTTATAAAACATTTACATAAAAGAAAGAGAGAGAGAATGTTTTCTGTACCTTAACGGGCGGAAGAGGAAGCTGAACTGTGGTGAACTAGTATGAGTGTGAAGCCTGGTGCAGAACAGAGTGAGTTGATAGGGACGGAAGGAAGAATGAAGTAGTTAGAAAAGAGAGGTTGAAGCACTCTCAGGACTGATTTCTCTGACCCAGTAGGCCTTATTCTGTTTCATCTCCATGCTAGAGGACAGAAGTCACCCCACTGGGCACAGATGTCAATTCAACGTCTATTCCACGTTGGTTTAACGTAATTTAATTGCAATGACGTGGAAACAACGTTGATTCAACCAGTGTGTGCCCAGTGGGACAATTGCAACTTCCTAATTAAATTAAATTTGAATGACAAATCTCCCCTGACCCTAACCCTTAATTAAAGCTGCAATATGTAACTTTTTGGGCGACCTGACCAAATTCACACAGAAAAGCGAGTAATAGATCTGTCATTCTCATTTAAAGCATGTCTAAGAAGTGGTAGATATGTTGTTCTATGTGCACTATTTCTATGCTTCCCCATTCTTAAGTTTAGTTTTTGTGTCTTTTACTTTCAGTTTTGTACACCAGCTTCAAAACAGCTGAAAATACAATATTTTTGGTTATCAAAAATATATTTCACAGTGGTTTAGATGATACAATGATTATCTGTACCATACTTGTTTGTTTTGTCAAATAAACTGAAATTAGGTGAACGCTTAGAATTTTAGCAACCAGGAAATAGCGGAGCGATTTCTGCATAGTGCACCTTTGAGAACAAATAACTCATATACTTGCTCCAGTTCTGAGGATAAAGCTTCTATTTTTTTATGCTTCTTGTGACTACTTTCTGTTGCACTACTCAGTCACGCCTGCCTTTACACACACACACACACACACACACACACACACACACACACACAAACTCTTTGAGTCTGACCCCCCTCTCTATTCAGCTGTTTTGTTGGTTAATGACACACACAAACACACACCCTAAGAATAGCATCCACTTGTTTTCAAATCTTTGCTGCTAAGTAAATAACATTTTTTGCAACAGTAACTTTTTATTTACAAAAACAGGTAGTAACAATAAGTATTGAAACATGGAGAAGCAACTGTGTTTTTGAGGCTGTTGTCTATTGAGGTCAGGGGATGACAAAACTGATGGGTCTGAACGAAAGTGAACCAGTTTCAACAGAAACAGAAACTATGTCACAACTTGAGTGTGTGAGAGACAAGAGACTGCACAATAAGTGAAAAACAACACAGTTATTTTACCTACCAGGCAATGCTCCCAGAAAAGGAATCTGTGAGGAAGTATTGAGATACAGCATGTGTGGGTCTGTATGGATGTACTGTTGAATTAGCCAGAATGGAGAGAATGTTCTCTTCTTCATGTTCCAAGTGTAAAACAGTTGTTCCATGTTATGCGTAGTGACAGTGACTGTTGTGACTGTTTCTAGCTCATCTAGGTGTGACACTGGGAGTCACCTGATCGTCCCTAGCTCTCGAAGAAATAACAGATGACAGACAAGTGTTTATTTTTAATTTTTTATAAAGATTCTATTATACTTTTTATTTTACCATTTATTTCGGGAAATCAGTAACATGGTACATATTTTATTTTTTTCTTCTCAAAATGAAAATGTACATTCATTAATCTGCATAAAACGTCACATTTACATCAAAATAAATACATAATCTGGTGCCGGTCTCTTCTGGTGTTGTTATGGTTGGTTGGTTGAGCTTGCACAGGGAAGGTCAGTTACTATGGTAAAACCAGTACTACAAACTGTTCTAAGACAAGGCCTTAGAAATGACTGCAGGCAGGAAGATGGGGCAAAGACAGGAAGAGATAGTAACCTCACTTCCTGTGTCTGATTTTAAGGTGCCAATTTACCCCTACGTTTTACATCTCAATGGACCACATTCATGTACCAATACTTAGTTCCCTTTGGCTCTATCCCCTCCCCTCCTCTCCTCTCTCTCCCTCCCCTTCTCTGTCTCTCACCCATCCTCCTTCCTCTGTCTCCCTCTCTCCCCACCTATTACTTCCCCTCTCTCCCTCCCTCTGTCCCTGTATTTGATAGCTAATGGTAGACACAAGTAAATAGTGCTTCTGTCTCTATCTCCCAACGCCTGCAGCCCCCGTTCACAGTGGGTGTTTCTCAATATGCATGCTACTGTGCTCCACACTCTCATGCTCCGAGTTCGTTCTCCGAGGACCTTCTCTTGAGTACATTCTTGTGAGGATGAGAGTGTGGAGAATGCATACAAATGTACATTTGAGAAGCACTGTGCACTCCTGTGCTACTGTATTACCTTTGACCAATACAGACGAAACAAGATAACTACATAAAGCAAACCCAAGCTTGTAATTATCAGCTAGCTATATGTGAATCGTATTAATCTAGCTAGCCAGCTAGTTTACAAAAAACCAACAACCTAAAACTAATGTTGTTATGAAAGGTGGATGGCCAACGTTAGCTATGAATTCTTTGTGGTTAACGTTAGCTAGCTAAAGTTAGCTACCAATTCTTCATCAGTTAGCCTGCGGTCTATGCACACTACAGTGGATATTCTAGGCAGTTAAATATGCCAAAATGAACAAGATCAAGATAAAATATTGTAGTCAGGCAACATATGAGATGTGAGTGGGCAACTTTTCATTCCAAAGTCGGAGTTCATTTTCTCTCGCTTCAGCTCAAAACCAGCCGCCATTGATTTCAAGAAATGTTGCATTGTTTTTTATGTGGTTGCGTCATATTATGTCAACAATCCTGGGAATATTTCAGTTGAAGCTTGCATTGATGCATGCCTCGAAATGTTTACAAGCAAAGTACGCATCTAAGAACTGCCCTCCGTGGCCATTTTGCATACTTTGATTTGGACTCATACTCCGACCGTTCCGTGCTCAGTGAATGGTAGTAAGAATATTGAGAAACACCCAGTATCTCCTGTCCTCTCCTTTCCCCTCTCTTCCTATTTTCTTCCCCTCTCCTCGCTCACCCATTCCCTTTCCTACTCGTCTTCCCTCTCGCGGTTTCCTCTCTCTGTGACTGGAGGACAGGGTCATGGGAGGAAGGGGCGGGACTATAGTCAGTCTGTATTTACATCACTTATTTTGAGCGGGGCTGAGGAGGAGAGGGGTAGGGAGTGGGGTTGGTGGGCTGGAAGATTCTTCATTTTGGGATTCTAACAGTAGAGAAGGTCCTCATATTGATACCTCATATTCACGGGTGTCCTGAGAGAGAGGGAGAGAAAGAGAGAGAGAGATGTTATAGACCAGTATTAAAGACCCTCCTGTCTCATACAATGACTATGTTTGTGTGTGTTTTTGTGTGTGTGTGTGTGCATGCGTGTACTTCCTCACCCCTCCTGTCTCGTAGAGTGGGTTGTCAAACTCGCTCTCCACTGTGATCTGGCTGTAGGGGTGTGGGTAGATGAGTGGCAGCCGCAGGTTGGAGTTGTAGCGGCACCTGGTGGCCAAGAGAGGAACAGCAGGGTGTCAGGACTATAAAAACATTTCATGACACAACTGTTTCCATGAGCAGAGAGAGAGAGAGAGAGAGAAACTGAGCAGGATAAAGAATATTACTGTTCTCATATGAGTCACTTGCCTCATTCATTTGGAGCCTATTTAATGAGGTGAAACGTTTGGAATGTTGAAGATAGAATTGTCATATGTCGAGCAGCTGACAAGATTCCCTATTCTACATGACAGAGAATAATGTCTGTTCTACACAATACATTTATATCTGAATGTTCTGTAACCTTGTGGCTGATGCTATTCAACCGTAACAAAGGTTGCACGGTCAGATAGGAAGGTAACAAGGGCAATTTGTTTTTATATTTTCCATATGACCATTGATGGACAATATTGCTTTTAAATGGAATTTAATACAAAATATTCAGCTCCAGTGTCTTCAAGTAAGTAGAGAGTTCAGGGACTCCCATTCACTGGGCAACAAATGGGATTATATATTTTTTAATGAAAGCGGTATTAGCTACTTGAATTTATCCAATGATAATCTAAACAGGTCACTGTGTTGAACAGGTCCACTGGTGTGTAGAGGTGTGTTGAGGTGATAGGGAGCGTGGTCTTACCGTGTGACGTAGACATAGGCTCCTCCCAGCAGCACGGAGAGCAGAAGTACAAGGATGAAGATGCCCAATGCCATGTTGCCTCCGTCCAGACCTGACCCGGCTGCTGCTTCCGCAACTGGAGGGGAGGGGGCGATAGAGAGAGGGGAGGAGAAGGAAGGTAAGGGGAGAGCGTGAAAGCGAGTGGGAAGGAGGAAGAGGGATAACTTCAGTTCAGTCCCAGTGAAAAGGTGATAATAACAGAGCAATACAAAGACAAAAAATATCAACGCGAATCCGACAATTAACAAATGGGTCATTCTTGAATCAGAGTGGCATTTGGGCATGGCATTTTGGAAAAAATTTACTTAATTTTTCTACATTTTAATGTATTTAAATGTCTTTGGGTACATCTTCCCATTCTAAAGGTAGCTTAATGGCTTTAAAATGTGTTTTACCATTATGATTACATTGTGCAACCAGTAGGAGTAGTAACACCAATGATAGTAACATCAATGAGACATTTTAGGTAAATTAGGATTTTTTCGGAAATGGAGGCCACAAATGTTCAAATCTAAGGCCATCAATCCTTTAGGCGCCTCACAGGTCCTCAACTGGCAGCTTCATTAAATAGTACCCGCAAAACACCAGTCTCAACGTCAACAGTGAAGAGGCGACTCCGGGATGCTGACCTTCTAGGGTTGCAAAGAAAAAGCCACATCTCAGACTGCCCATCTTAATTTTTTATTTTTATTGGCCAGTCTGAGATATGGCTTTTTATTTGCAACTCTGCCTAGAAGGTCAGCATCCCGGAGTCGCCTCTTCACTGTTGACGTTGAGACTGGTGTTTTGCGGGTACTATTTAATGAAGCTGCCAGTTGAGGACCTGTGAGGCGTCTGTTTCTCAAACTAGACACTCTAATGTATTTGTCCTCTTGCTCAGTTGTGCACCGGGGCCTCCCACTCCTCTTTCTATTCTGGTTAGAGCCAGTTTGCGTTGTTCTGTGAAGGGAGTAGTACACAGCGTTGTACGAGATCTTCAGTTTCTTGGCAATTTCTCGCATGGAATAGCCTTCATTTCTCAGAACAAGAATAGACTGACTGTTTCAGAAGAAAGTTATTTGTTTCTGGACATTTTGAGCCTGTAATCAGACCCACAATGGCTGATGCTCCAGATACTCAACTAGTCTCAAGAAGGCCAGTTTTATTGCTTCTTTAATAAGCACAACAGTTTTCAGCTGTGCTAACATAATTGCAAAAGGGGTTTCTAATGATTAATTAGCCTTTTAAAATGATAAACTTGGATTAGCAAACACAACGTGCCATTGGAACACAGGACTAATGGTTGCTGATAATGTGCCTCTGTACGCCTATGTAGATATTCCATAAAAAAATCAGCTGTTTCCAGCTACAATAGCCATTTACAATATTAACAATGTCTACACTGTATTTCTGATCAATTGTATGTTATTTTAATGGACAAAAAAATTGCCTTTCTTACGAAAACAAGGACATTTCTAAGTGACCCCAAACTTTTGAACGGTAGTGTAGATACATCTAAATCCCCAAAACATGTCACTACACCTCTAACACTCACCAGTGGGACAAGCCAAGTTGCTAGCCCCCAGTAGTTTATACAGTGCATACAAATAGATGTGTTGCAGTCAGTGGCGGCTCCTGAAAAAATTCTCAGGGGGGGCAATTTTTCTGATGATTTAGGTGACCTACACACATTTTAAAAAAGATATGTCCAGCAACAACATGAAGACAGGGGCAGCATATAAGTCAATACTGATATACACATTACTTGCTTCAAAAAGGCCTCATGGTTGAATTGGAAATATGTGCACCTGAGCAAGCAGGAGCTTTTGATAGAGGCTACTGAAAACATTGATGCAAGTTATTGGTAATAAGAAATTTTTATAGACTTCCATATTCTGCCCTCTTGTATAGATTTGTGAAAATGAACAGTGATAGACATTTTGCCTGAAAACAGAATTTGAAAATAATTTCTAGAAAAGGTAAACACAGCTATCTGTATGGCTTTGTAAATATGAACAACCATATTCTGGCCAATTGTATAGATTTGTAAAAAAAATTGTTTACTTTTTTAAAAATGAAAAATAACTATTTTAAACAACATCAACTGTGAACTGATTTGGGCGTGTGTGTGTTAAAGAGACAGACAGGGAGGGACAAAGAGAGAGAGAGGCTACATTACTTGTACTGAAACTGTTCTCTTCTCTCTTTCAATGCAGCAAAGCGGTCAATGACTTTCTCATTGAAATCAGGCATGCTGAGGACTAGTTTACTAGTTACTTTTTAGCTTGCTGCATGATCAAATTCAGCTGATGCGCATAGCAATGCACGTAATGGCCTTTCTTGAAATGCTCACGCACCTTTTGCCTTCTCTCGCCTCATCACACTGGCTCCATCGTAAGCTTGCGCAATGAGTTTGACTTTCACGTCGTCGGCAAAAAGACCGTTCAGTCTCTCCAAAAGCACACTGGCGATTGAGACTGAGGTTGATTCCGAGATGGGAAGGAACTCAAAAAAGCGCTCCTGCACTTTGTGGTTGTCTCTTTGATGTGAACTTCTTTCAAAGAGACAATCGAGTTGCACTGAACGCTATAGCCATCTTGATAGTAGTACGTGAATTGATTGATGCTGCTACCCGCTCTTTTCTTAGTTACGTTCATGGTTACGTTACGTATGACGAAAGCGCGTAAGTGCAAGCCCTCAGAAACCCATAGAGATTGTATTGAAAGCTCTGAAATTTGAAAAAAATAGATTTTACATGGGAGTCTATGACAGACTTCTGGGCGATTTTCAACCTGACTGAAATCGCCCCAAAAGGGGGGGGGGGGGGGCATTTGAAGCACGACTTTAGCCTGATTGGACATTTAGTGGCAGTGTGGCACTGTGGCAGATCAGACGTCTAGATTACAACACTGATAACTACTGTTGCCGTGATATAATTGATTAGAAAAAAAATCCCTTCCTTTTCCCGTTTGGCAGTGCGTCGCCCATATCGCCCTATTGAACACACCGCCCCTGGTTGCAGTATAAAGGACTTACATATGTGTTCTTGTTAAATAACAGTTAAATAAAACTGAAAATGTATTTTTCATGTTTTTGTCATTTTAAAGTGTTTTTACATGGTGCCAGATTTTACCACCGCAATTCAAGAATGATCCAAAGAGTACAGGTAATTAGGGAGAATACTGCAGATTGGACAGTAGCTGATTAAAGACATGCTCCAGGAACTTTGGCGACTACTAAGTATTTAAACCTTCCGCTTTGGGCTGGATGTGCCAATGTGTAGTTCATACATGCAGAATTAGTGTCTTACCTGCCACAAAATCCCTAGTTTGAAAGCATCAGTCTCTCTGGAAGCTGTGCTGGGCCATTTTCCCTACACTTTCCCCCAAGTGGGCAGCCCCCTAGCAATTTGAGTTCAACCAATGAGCTTCACCCCCACGCCATATGAGTGACAGCTAGAGATGCACATGATGCACACACAGCAGAGCGAGAAAGAGAGAGCAATGACGTGGTGGACATATCTGCACATATGTGATGTGGCATGTGATGTGGCATGTGATGTGGCTTGTGAGTGCTACTTTCAGAACTACTGACTAAAAAGTATACAAAAGTACCGGAGAATCCCTTTAAGTCACTACTGTATGTACAAACAAAGATCTGCTTAAACAGATTGACAGACACACAAGAATATGGACAAAGACAGAAAAATATACAGAAAAACGGACAGACAACCAGGCAGGCAGGCAGGCTCACAGAGTCAGAAAGACAGACAGACAAACAGACTCACCTTCCAAAGCATGGTTGCCAAAGCAGTCATGGTTGGCTGCAAGACATCAGACATTCTCTCAGACATTGACAGAGTAGGTAAGGTATATCATACAGGTACATTATATATATACAAAAGTATGTGGACACCCCTTCAAATTAGTGGATTCGGCTATTTCAGCCGCACCCGTTGCTGACAGGTGTATAAAATCTGGGTTTGGCGGATGCCAGGAGAACGCTACCTGCCCCAATGCATAGTGCCAGCTGTAAAGTTTGGTGGAGGAGGAATATTGGTCTTGGGCTGTTTTTCATGGTTCGGGCTAGGCCCCTTAGTTCCAGTGAAGGGAAATCTTAACGCTACAGCATATAATGACATTCTAGATGATTCTGTGCTTCCAACTTTGTGGCAACAGCTTGGTGAAGGCCCTTACCTGTTTCAGCATGACAATGCCCCCGTGCACAAAGCGAGGTCCATACAGAAATGGTTTGTTGAGATCGGTGTGGAAGAACTTGACTGGCCTGCACAGAGCCCTGACCTCAATCCTATCGAACACCATTGGGATGAATTGGAATGCCGACTGCGAGACAGGCCTAATCGCCCAACATCAGTGCCCGACCTCACTAATGCTCTTGTGGCTGAATGGAAGCAAATCCCAGCAGCAATGTTCCAACATCTAGTGGAAAGCCTTCCCAGAAGAGTGGAGGCTGTTCTAGCTGCAAAGGGGGGACCAACTCCATATTAAATGCCCATGATTTTGGAACGAGATGTTCGACGAGCAGGTGTCCACATACTTTTGGTCATGTTTAGGGCTGCGTCCATTAATTCCTTATATAGTTAGACTACTTCTGACCACAGCCCAGCAGTCTTAAACAACTACAGAGAGGAGAAACTACCAACCTGGCTGCCTAAAGCTGCATGCACAGGGACATACTGAATTATCATTACTAAAACAAGCGCCAATGGCTACATTTGTGTCTATGTGGAAAGTCATGATGAGGAATGTTCCATTCCATGCAGGTCTGTAGGGGTGGTACGTGGGAGCTGGGTCTCACCCCTGCACAGTGGGAGTGGTCCGCTCCAAAACGACGGATTTCCTAGGATGCACTTGATGGCGACCTCGCCGATGAGCTCGTAACCTTGGTAACAGACGAAGGTGAGCGACTCGCCAGGCAGGTAGAGGCGCTTGGACAGGATCTGGTACCCGTTGTCAGGGAGACCGGGGTTCTCACAGGAAACAGATTCCTCCGCTGGAGAGAGGGATGGAGGGAGAGAGAGAGAGAGAGAGAGAGAAAGGGAGGAGGGAGAGATGGAGTGAGAGACAGGGAGGTAAACCATCATCTGCTCAACAATCATCAAGCCCTTGACCAGTCGAATCAGTGCTAGAAGTGAAATAGCTCAACTAAGTGGAACAGCGTGGGGTACTGGAGGAGAGGGTTGGAGAACACTGGTTCTAAGGAGGTGTGAGTCACACGCAAACAGACAGACTGACAGGGAGGGAGGGAGGGAGGGAGGAAGGCTAGGGTGGTTGATTGACAGCTTCTCCTCCTGGTCTGACAGACTCAAGCCCAGCTGCCCTGACTCATGGATAATCTCCGCCCCCTCTTCCAGGTGGCCAGGGCCTGATCTGCACACTGCATTAGCATATCAAACGCCTCACACGTGCGCGCGCACACAGATTAATAGCCATGAGAATGCAGAAAGGAGGAGGAAGCTGTCATACACACACACACACACACACACTTTAATAACCATGAACACAAACAGGCTAGGAGCGGTGTTAGAAGTACAAAGAGAAAGCCAACCCTGTCGAGTCATCTCTGCCAGAGATTAAGTGCCCATCACAGATTAGCTCTGCAACATCAAACGCTATTAAAATGAGCGCCTGGTCTACAGGAGAGAGAACTGTTCAGGTTTATAATACACACTGCAGCCTCCTGTCCTGGAAAAACATTACTGTAGCACAAACTCATCCATTTGGGCTCTGTCCCAAATGGCACCCTATTCCTTATATAGTGCACTTTTGACCCTGTGCACTATTTATTACCAGGGCCGCACGCATGTATACACACACGCACGCACACACACACACACACACACAGGTAGGTAGCCTCCTGTATCTCAGTTGGTAGAGCATGGCGCTTGCAACGCCAGGGTTGTGGGTTCGATTCCCACGGGGGGCCAGTATGAAAAATGTATGCACTCACTAACTGTAAGTCGCTCTGGATAAGAGCGTCTGCTAAATGACTAAAATGTAAAATGTAAAGGTACTCACAGACACAGTGGGGCAGTTTGGATGTCCAGACAGGGGTTCCGGGCTCTCGTCCGTAGCAGGTGAGTGTAGAGCCGTCCTGCAGGATGAAGCCGGGGTAACAGCTGTACTGGATGGTGGTCCCAACCAGGAGTTTAGCGTCTGACAGAGACCTGGTGGAATGTTCCACATGACCCGGATCTGAACAGTACATTACTGGAGAGAGAGGAGGGGGGAGGGGGAGAGAGAGAGAGAGACAGGGTGAGAGAGTGGAGGGGTAGAAGTAGAGAAAGAGAGAGAGAGAGAGAGAGAGAGAAGAGCAAGGGAGAAAAATGAAATAAGTCAGCTAAATATATGTGATTGATAGGTACAACTTTCAAAGCAGTAGTAG